AAAATCTTGTGGATGCGTATTAGGGATGTTGAGAAAATCGAGGCAATCTAGCAGGGATCATTTGGGAATCCGAGTCGTGGTAGTTCTGCTGTAGGGCAAACTTGCAAAGACCATTTAGGAAGTGGATTTTGGCCCCATGACCGGCAAGCAAGCAGAGAGCATTTGCGAATTTCTCACTTTTTTTCAGAACCAAGGCAAGCCAGCAGAGGCGCTTGAGGAATTTAGAACAGCATAGACAAGCTAGCAGAGACCATTTAGGAACCTGGCCTCTAACCATTCACTTCCACGCCCCCTTAAAATGCCCCATCCCGACTAGGAAGGCTTGTTAAAAATTCGAATTTTTGTGCCGGCTGATGGGACACACGACAAGGGCCCAAATGGCGTGTTTATCCATCCCCCAGAGGGCCCATCATTTGTCTCTTTCTCTCTTTCTCTCTCTCGCTCTCTCTCTCTCTCTCTCTCTCTCTCTCTATCTCGCTCTCTCTATCACATCAACTATTCAGGATAATTCGTGTGTGTATCCAGCCAAATGTCGACCCATCTTTTCTCTGTGCTCCCTCTCTCTCTCCCTCTCTTCCCCTCGACTCCTAATGACGGCTAATGAGGCTGAATATATCGAGGGGGAAGGGGCATATTGTAGCCTTAGGGCCCAATTCTAGGGCCCACCCCCTTTTGGGCCCTAACGAACTTACATTCAAAGGGGCACTTGACATAAGAAGACATCAATTTGAGGCCATTTATGGATCTCTAAAGGGCCGCTGCAGTCAAATACGGGGGCAAGATTTGACTTTTGGAAACTTCTAACCTGAACAGTTGCAGGAAAACCCGGTGTTTATTCGTTTTAAAGGGCCGCAGAAGGGTAGTGTGGGCTGTGGATTGGGGCATGGCAGTTTGTCATATCTGGAAAATGCCGAAAAACTTGTTTAAAGGGGTGCTAAAGGGCAGAATTCTATAGATTTCGGAACATTAGCGATTTTTATGAACCGTTGAAGCCCCCGAAACCCGAAAATCCATACGAATTCAGCCTTGCGGGTTCCATTAACTCGAGTTTGGCACGGCGCCAACTGTCAGATTCTTAGATTTACCTGTCTTTCCGGGTCCTTTAAAGCTCCACCTTAAAACCTAGACGTCATTAGGCACAGCCCGGCCATCGTATATTTACCGTAACCCACAAAATCGGGGATAGACACCCGGTTGGAAATACGGACACCTAAAAAAGGCTCGGTTGGTGGGATGGGGTGGGGATCGGCGGTTTTGATCGTAGATCTACATCTACGATTCTCACCGCATAGAGAGACCCACTACACAACCATTCTCTTTACGCACTATCCATCAATCTATACCGCGGAGGGGAGAGGGTGTTGAAATTTTGGGGGTAGCTAGTGCGAATCGTTCTGGAGAACTAGAAAATTCTTGTTGTTCGGGTCATTGAAAACTAGCAGAGATCATTGCGGACGCACCAATAAATCTTTTGTTTATTTCGGGAAACTCCTGGGGTAAGCTAGCAGAGATCTTTGATGGAAAATCAGAGGTCGACGAGGTAGATTTGAAGAAAATTTGGGGGCTAGATGGCGCAGATTGCTTCTGAAAATTCGAAAAATAGGTGGTCTGAGGAAGGGCTAGCTCGCAGAGACGCTTGAGGACACTCTAAGCCGACGATAGCTTTTAGGCTAGCTAGCCGAAATTCTTGAGACAAATTGGAAACCCGATGCTGTCGAGGTAGGGGGCAAGCTAGCAGAGGTCCTTGTGGAAAACCTGTAAACTCTGGGGGTTCTTTGGTCACGATTCCCTAGCCACCCAGCTGAGTTTCTTTGAGAACCCAAGTTGCGAACCAAGTCCCACCTTTCCAGTTAGCCAGTTCCGTTTCAATACTTCCGTCAACACCAATTTGTATATGGTGAGGAGATGAGGGGGAGAAGGGACATTCACTCTCCATTCTCTTCGTTCTCTTCATTCGCAACTCGGATCGTTTTTTGGGGCCCCGACACAAAACCCCCCTGTCGGACACTAATCGCTATGATCGGGGATGAAGGGAAAGAGAGAGTGAGAGAGAGAGAGCAAGAGAGAGAGAAGGTCGCCCCTAAAAATCGTGCCTCCTTATCGAACAAGGGCCCGAAATGTTCGCTGGGGCCCAATCAGTCCCGCGTCTCTCTCACTCTCTTTCTCGCTTTCTCTCTCTCCCGCCCCGAAACCCTAAAAAATTGCTCAAGGGGGTAGGGAAAACAGTGAGCTGGATTAGGGCAGAGGGTCTTGCTCATCAGTACTTCCAGAAACTTTCCCGAATGATCTCTGCTAGCGTATACTCCTTAAGATCTCAAAAATGGTCTCTGCTGGTTTGCCTCCTACCATTTCCGCTCCTAAATGCTCTCTGCTCGCCTGTTCTAGCGACGGGCCCTTCCGCAAAGGATCTCTGCTAGTTTAGCTGGAACAATTTCTCATTCCACTCCCAAATGATCCCTGCTGGCCTGCCTTGTGGGGTATTCCCCTCAATTCCCCCCATTCCACCCCCTCCTAACAAATTCCCAATGCAAATCGCTGGCTGGATTCCCAAAAAAATCGTAAATCGCTCTTGGTTTACGAGGGTCCGGATTGGAATAGAGGGGGAGGGGCCACATTTTGTGTGTTGCGGAGAGAGAGAGAGAGAGAGAGAGAGAGAGAGAGACAGACAGACAGGAATAGACAGTTGATGCTTTTGGGAGGGCGGCCCATTTCATGTCGCTTTTAATAGGTTTTTAGGGAGGGCGGCTGGATTTCTCTCTCTCTCGCACTCTGCCTCTCTCTCCATAACTCTCTCCCTCTTTTACCGTACACCCATCCATTTTGAGATTCTTTATGGCCTCCCCTGTCCCTTCCCCTCTATGGGCTACGGTAGCCCCCGGGGCACATTTTAGCAACCTGACAAATGGGATTGGATTCCCATTCTGGGGGCTGCAACCAAAGTCGAGTCGTTTATTGGTATTGTTGCGGAATTCTTGCATGGACTTTGCTTGCTGCCCGATTCGTCAAAGATTCATTGCTAGCATACTTGAGAAATTTCAAGGTGTAAATTCCGCAAAATGATCTCTGCTAGCCAGTCGATCTATTCGAAAGAATCCCTCCTAGCTTCTCGATTCCACAAATAAGCTCTGCTAGATACCGCCAAAAATCAGCATTCCTCATTGAATCTCTGCTAATTAACTCAAGATCAAAGTATGAATTCGTCAAATGCTCTCTGCTAGCTCCACACGCAAGAACTTCGCAAATAACCTCTACCTCTAGCCGTCGATTCCACAAAAATCTTTGCTAGCTTCCTAAAAATCAGATTGAAATTTCGCAAATGGTCTTTGCTAGTCTGCCCTAAACCATCAAAAATCTCGGGTAACTCTCTCAAAAAGCCAGGTCCAATTTCCTCAAATAATTTCTGCTAACCTGCCTTCCATTCCAAAATAATTTCCGCTAGATATCCCTGAAACACTGCTTAAAAATTCCTCAAATAATCTCAGCCATGCTGCCCTTTCCCTTCTCTCCCCTCCCTATCTCATAAAAACCAGGGCACGCAACCCCCTTCCCCCCCTCCCTGGGTGGGCCATAAAAAATGGGTTACGGTAGTTTTGGAGTAGGGAAGGGGGATGTCAGATATCATCTTCTCTCATTTTCTGATCCATTCCATACTGTCACCCCATCCCCCTTCCCCCCTATTTCGTGCCCTCCGTTTTACGATTTTCCACTGCCCCCCCCCCTTTTTATGGCCCATTCTTGACAAATTTCTCATCGACTCGATGGGGGCAACCGGATTTGGATAACCTTTCTCTTGACGAGCATGACATTCTGCACTTTTGAGGGGGTCTTGTGGTTACGGTAAGGTTTTAGTGGGCCTTTAAAAGGTTCCTAAATAATCCTTGCAAGCCTGCCACATTCCACAAAGATCTTCCGCTAGCTTGCCCTGTGTCCCTGCGAGCAGGCCTCTCGAATCCGCAAGGATTCTCTGCTAGCGTTGCTTGCCTTATATTCCGAAATGACCTCTGCTAGCTTGCCCTCCGTTCTCAAATAATCTCTGCTAGCCATTCGAGCTGTATATTTTCTGGAATATTTCGAAATTAGACGGATTTGCGGCCGCTTGCAGAGTTCTTTTAGGAAATTTTCGCATCAAAACCTTTCGTCAAAAAAATTAGAGCTAACAAGCAGAGAGCATTGAGGAAAATAGCCGACCGAGAGGACGTACTAGCAGAGATTACACCAAAATAGCGGCAAGTAGCGCATGATAGCGGCAAAAACTGGCCCTCTTGCTATTTCGCGCCCTTTTTAGCTACCGTATCCCTTCTGTTCCGCTAAATGTTGCGACAGTGATGACTGTCTCGAGTCGGTCGACCCTAATAACCAATTGTAGCCCCCCAAAGATGCGTCAAATGGCTTTTCATCTTGCCGCGCTTCTCTCTCTCTCTCTCTCTCTCTCTCTCTCTCTCTTTCTCCAGAGGGCATGAACTTTTGGAGATAAAGCATTCTTTTGTGGGTACCCGCATCGTCAGCCTGCCATTAAGAAACAAACGGCCATCCCGCCTGTTCTACCCATTTTTCAAATGATCACTGCTAGCTTGCCTCCACCCGATATTGACGAATTTTTAATAGAGCGCCCGAATCCTCAATGATCTCTCCTAGCTTGCCTTGCTGGAAATTCCCGCAAGAATAGGCAGGCTAGCAGAGATCATTTGAGCTGGGCGAAAATGATTTTTTTGTGATCTATGCTATATCATGTCCCTTTTTAAGGCTCACCAACAGATTGGCAACCTAGCAGAGACCATTTAGGATTTTTCTGGCTCTCCCTACCCCATTTTCAATCAATTCCCCGGCGTGATGCCAAAAAATTCAGGCCAATATTGGGGTTTCTATATGGTGAATCAGCCCTCCGCTCCATCCTCCAATTTCCACAACCTTCTTATCATCATCATTCTATTGATTGCCCCACCTACCGTAACCCTTTGATTATTGCAGGCGAAGAGTTGGCTGATGCCGATGAGGGGCCAATGATATCTGAAGCTATGGATATCGGATTTCATCTTGCCAATGGACAGGTTGGTCGACTTTAATGGACCTTGAAGATGGGGTGGCTAGCAGAGATTTTTTGGGGAAGGAAAATGTTATTTTAATAATTCAGAACGACGCGGTGATTCCGATGGATCTGTCGAAGAAGAGGGTATCGGGGATCGATGAGGAGAAGCCCGTTTTGGAGGATCGAAGCAATTTGTTTCTGCAATTGGGCATTGCTCCTCATCAGGTAGGGCATTCATGATTCCTATAAGCACGTACTATACCGCTTTACGATCGAAATAGACCGTCACCGTCCCTTTAAAATCCAAAAGTCACCCTGTTACCCTTCAAAAGGGGTGTCTCGGTCCCTTTAAAAGTACGAAATACACCTGTTTTCGCTTGAAAAACACTACTATGGTCCCTTCAATTACGAAACACACCCGCTTACGATCGCAAAAAACGGTCACGTTCTCTTTAAAATCTTGAATTTACCGATTTTCTCTTGAAAATCATCTTACTCTCCCCTTAAAGTGAAAGAATACGGTTTAAACTACAAAATACACCATTGGTAGCTCTCAAACTACATTGCAACCCAAAATTGGTCATTTTCCGTTTGGAAAGGGTGTCTCTGCCCCGTTAAATACAAATACACCTGTTTACGCATCCAAAATGTCACGATCCCTTTAGCGCCTATTAATCCCGAATTTTTCCAGATCCTGTCCCTCTACGCCCAACTATCCGGCCGAACCGCCACCGAAACCCCCCAAGAGAGTGAAGGGCCAACGGTTGATGGTAAGAGTATTGGATGGGTTACGGTATAAAGGGCACCGTTTAGAATGCAGCCCGCCCGGATCGTCGAGTCCGGAAAGTCGGCAGGCTGATGTCACCGGGTTGGCATGTCCGGCTGAGGGATGTTCCGAGGTGGGGAATGGATCTTGTAGTCTGGAATTATTAGCCCTAGCTTGAATATTTTCACATTTAAAGTTTATAATAATTTACCTTTAACCTTTATAAAATTCATTTTTGAATGTAAACTATATCTCTACCAGCGCCCAAAACCCGCTTCGCGGGCCTTGGGCGCTGGAATGCGGCCTTTGCATGAGAAATTTGACTTTCTGATGGCTTGGGTCCTTCGGACCCCACCCTTCCTCCGACCACACCCGCGCGTGCAACTTTCAAGAATGAGAAAATTTGTATTTTTTGGAATTATGCAAAGTAGCCCTCCCTGGCGCCGGACACACACACAGAGATACACTCCAAAATTATATAAGGTAGGATATATCTCATGTTATTTGGTAGTTAATAAGCTCAATTGAACTGATTGAAATTAGGCTGGATCCATATTTTTAGACGTACCCATCTCGAGCCTCCCTCCTCTGGCACGTCGAAGAAGCGCATGCCGGGGAGAAGCTGATGGAGTGTGGGGAATGCGGGGAACGCGTTGGAACGGCTCAGGTTTGTCCGCAAATTGTCTCTGCTAGATTGCCCTAAAAATGTAAGCGCGGACCAACCTGCTGTGGGAGCCATAGCGCCTGTCGAAATAGGCCTCTCGCTTGCCACCCATAAGGGGCGGGTTCGAACCTTTCCATTGACGAATTTTTTGCCATTTGTGGAATGCGAACCACAAAGCTAGTAAAAGCTGTTGGCTTTAATTTTTTGAAGAAGGCCGATTTTCAGATGCGAAGCCATCGTTGCGTGGACCCTCCGACGAGGCCGGCCACTGCCGACCCAACGAATGAACCGTCGGACGTTTTGCAACGGAGGAGCGCTTCACCCAGGATGATTAGGTAGGCAAAAAGCGAGCGATGCTCAAGGGATCTCTGCTAGCCTGCCCAGAAGTCTTAAATTGTTTTGGCTAGCTTAACAAGCAGTAAAATATTTCGTGGGTAACTGGCAGGAGGAAGAGGGATAAAGAGAGAGAGAGAGAGCGAGAGAGAGAGAGAAAGAGAGAGAAAAAGAGAGAGCGAGAGGAGTGAGAAAGCCATAGAAAGAGAGAACGATAGATAATTCCATTTCCATATCCTCAATTTCAGCAACTTCTCGATGTTGACCCCGTCATGCTCTCGATCATCGGATCTCCCTCAAGTTCCGGGCTTTTTCTCCCAACTCTTCCCAAAATCTTCTGAAGCCCCGATGGATCTGACGGCTTCAACATCATCGTGTCTCCCGACTTCTCTCCATCAACCCCATCTATTTCCACCATTTTCTGGTAGTTCTACTTCTATTTTCCTTAAAGTATAATATTTAGGATTTCCCCATTCTCCATTCCCGACTGGCCTCCCTCCTGGAATGCCGCATTGTAGGTTTTTGGAGAATTTTATGTCGTAATCGGATCGAAATAGCAAAATAGCGCAGTGCGAGCAATATTAGTCATACATGGCAATCGGCCGGCCCCGCTTTTCGGCCGCAAAATTGAATGCGGCCGGGCCGCGGCGCCGCACTTCCGGTGCGGCCGGCTTTTCTGTTTGAGGCCGACGGCGGCGCCGCGCGGCTTTGGCCGCATCCAAATGAGTTTTGAGTCTTCCGGTACGTAAATCGGAGATGCAATGGGTACTTAGCTTGCTAACGAGGAATATTTCTTTTCGACAACCTTAATTTTCTCATTTCCATTGCCATTCCGCATGAAATCCGCGGATTTTTCGTATGTAAATGAGCTACTTCCGGTTTGCGGCTTCGCCGCAGCGGCCCGGCCGAGCCGCAATGAAAATGCGGCTGGGCCGCAAAGCCGCATTTCCGGAAGTAACTAATTACGGCGGCTCGTGGGGCGCGTTTTTATGGAAATTGGCCGCCGGCCCGGGCGCGGCTCGGCCGATCGGAATTGCCATGTCTGATATTAGTCCATTTTGAGGTTTAAAACAGATTCTATACCAGATAAAATTTAAAATAACAAATTAAAAAGGCTTAAAAATAATTTCGTTGCTCTAGTCTTGCTCCGACCGCCATTCCCTGGACCTCCCGGCAGTGGTCCACCCGATGGTCTATTCCCTCGTGATGTATTGGCCAATGAAGATGATTGGGAGAGTCTGATGGAAGTGTCTAATACTGGTAAGTGGAGAAAGTTTTAAAGTAAAAAATATTGCTCTTTACGTATGCAAATTAGAGAACCCTGTAAACTGCCAAATAGGTCCTTTTTCCATTGAAGAATTTGTTACAAAACGTAGAGAAATTAAACTTTTTGTAACTTTCAGATGAAGCCGAAAAAATCCGAGCTTTGGTCGGCGACAAGCCACTCCCAACCACCGATCCGAATCAATGCATTTTATGCCGACGGGTTCTCTCGTGCAAAAGTGCCCTCCAAATGCACTACAGAACCCACACAGGTCAGCCATTTTTATTTGGGCAATCGCAATGGCAATTTCAACTTGCATTTTTCCTATTTCAGGCGAGCGCCCATTCAAGTGCAAAATCTGCCAGCGCGCCTTCACGACGAAGGGCAACCTGAAGACGCATATGGGGGTGCATAGGTGCGTTGGGAGTAATTAGCTTCGGGCTTAGGATTAGGTCGTGCTTAGGTCAATCTTAGATTTGGCCTTAGCAAGCTGCGTTCAGCTTAACTTGGTTGGCTTATTTTAAGCTTGGCTTGGGCTTAGCCAGGCCTGGTCTTAAGCTTCAGCTTTTGCTTGTTTTTGACTTAGCTTTAGCCTTAAATCGTCTCGTGCTCATCCCAGTTTTGCAGGTCGAAGCACGCGTTCCGCGGCGTGGGCATGGGACCGCCGATGCTCAGCCCGGCGCAGCAGTGCCCGATCTGCCAAAAGAGGTACGGGAATTAAGAAAAAGTTTCCGAAATTGGATCATATACCTTGTCAGCAAAAAGCAAAAAAAAATGTGGCGAGGGTAGGGCTCGAACTGGGACCCTGTGGATGAAATCGAAAACCGGAAAATCTTCAAAAAAGATTTGATATCCAAATTTTCAATTACTTCAGATTCCTCTCCGGCCAACAACTCCAAATCCACATCGCCGAACATACGCAGAAGCTGAGCAACAACCCATTAATGCATGGAGATCGCCCGAAACTCCCTCAAATGCCACAAGGGTATGTCTTTTGGATGGTCTACAGTACCCCCGCCCAGTTTCAGTCTGCCACCCGGATTCCCGATGTTCCCGTTTCCGTTTCCGGCCGGATTCCCGCAACCGCCAATGATGCAACAAACACCCCGAACACCACCACCACCTACAGTACCTAGAAGCCCGGCGGCTGTACAGACGGTTAGTGCGGGGTGGATAGCAGAGATTATTGGGGAGGGGGTGACTTACAGGTTTTCAACGTTAGGCAAGCTAGCAGAGACCTTTAAGGGGTAAGGACAGGCTAGCAGACAGGCTTTAGGAAAAAACCAACTTAGGACCTTTCAAGACCAGCGCATCCTAGCAGTGGTTTTTGGAGAAAAGTTAAGGACTACGCAAGCTAGCAGAGGTTCTTCGGGTACGGGCAAGTAGCAGCCCCCATTGAGGAGAAACTCAGTCTAATGTAAGCCAATTCCAGACACCAACCCCCTTCTCCCTGGCCGCAATGCTTGGATTGGGTCCCGTGGAGAAGAAGGAGAGCAGAGAGGAGCCGCCCGTACTCGAAAAAGTCGAAGCATCAACTCATGCTCCTGACAGCTCCAGTCACTACAACCGACAACAATCACTACCTCAATGCCTTTGCCGAGCGGCTTGGCTTTAAAATGTTAGTGGGGTGGATTTTGTGTTAAAGGGACTGGGAAAAGCATTATCAAGGAATCCTGTTTACCCGGGGCCCCCCGCTAACGCACCAGAACCGCACATTTTTAGGGACACCGACCCACTAAAAGAACTCAAAACCGAGGCCCCGAAACCGGCGGAATCGGTCTCACCGGCCGGGAGCAGCTCGGAGGGATCTGCACATGAACAGTAAGATATACAAGGGATACCGTAACCCGCATCCTCTTTAGAACGGATGGATCATCAGTGGGAAGGGGTGGAGAATCAGAAGCTGATGAGAAGAGACAGTGTGGAGATGAGGAGAGTCCTGAGAAGGCAGAGACGGATCAACCATTCGATGGACCGAGGCTTGACCCGGAGGACCGGAAACGACCCACGGAAAATCCGCTCGAAGCCATGCAGAAGATGTGGGCTGAAGCAAATGTGAGTTAGAGAGGGAGAGAGAGCGTGTGTGAGAGAGAGAGATCGAGCAAGAGAAAATACAAATTTATAACCCATCTTCCAGACGGAACCCCCTCCTCCTCGTCAAATGCCAGTGTTGAGCAAGCATCAATGTGGCGTCTGCTTCAAACATTTCTCCTCTTCATCGGCATTGCAGATCCATATGAGGACCCATACTGGTAGGTTTTCCGAGTTTTTGCTCCTAAATGTTCTCTGCTAGCAGGCCCTTCATCCTCAAATTGTGTTTGCTAGCTTGCTCTTGATTCTCAAATGATCTCTGCTAGCTCGCCCTCATTCGCAAATGTTCATTGCTGGCGCTGTCTGCACAGAAATTTTGCAAGCTGGGGCTCCTTCCTAAATTATCTCTGCTAGTTTACATCCTCAACCCCTTCCAGAATATCTCTGCTATCTTACCCTTCATTTCCAAATGGCATCTGCTGGCTCTCACCTTCTAAAAAACGCTGCCAGCTTGCCCTGCAGTCCCAAAATATCTCTGCTAGCTCGCCCCCTTCCCCCAAATGACATTCCCCCAATTTCCAGGTGATAAACCGTTCAAATGCGAAGTGTGTGCCCGTGCCTTCACAACCCGTGGGAATCTGAAAGTTCATATGGGGACCCATATGTGGCAACAATCGCCATCACGAAGAGGTACTGTAGCCATTATCTCATAAAGTATCACAGAATATCTAGGCCGTCGTATCTTCGATGCAAATGGAGGGCCAGAGACAAGTCCTCGGCCATCTCTCAATGGCCCTGGAGGGCCAATGGTTGGCCCATTTCCATTCCCATTTCCGGGCCCTTCACCTGCTGGCGCTTCGATTGATGTCATGATGATGTTGATGCGGACTGTTTGTTCCGTTTGTCAAAAGGTGGCATTTTAGGACGTTTTTAAAGGTTTTATTCATGATCATTAAATGGCATAATTTAAGTTTTCAGGCTATTAGTAGGAAAACGCGAAAATCCCTGCACTAAAAATCTCGCCACTTAAAATACCGACAGCCAGAATCCATACATTCGAAATCCCGACAGGCCAAAATCTTAACACCTAAGATCCCGACAACCTAAAATACCGACAACTTAAAATACCGTCAGCCAAAATACCGACAAATTTTCAAGCAAAATTCTGAATTTTTTGAATACTCAAAAATTGTTGAAATACTTTTTATGTCATTGGGCTTTTCTGGACTACAAAAAATTCTGTTTCTCCTGATAGCCCCCCGATAATGCAACAGCTCCTATAATTTGTTTATGGAATTTTTGGAGGTCAAACCAGCCTTCACAGCCCCTTTAAACGATGCTCTTTCAGGTATGCGCCACCCCGGCCGAACTTGAGCAACACCTGAAGGGTCACCTCAGCGCCCTGGCCCCGCCCGGAAATGAGGGCAGTACAGCCACCGCCAGCTAAGCTCCAGCTGTCACCGTCCCTTTAAAATCATCTCTCATTAATGTCCCCTTTTCCTTCGACTTTCCCCTCGCCAAGTATCTCACAATTCGCATTCGCCGCCTCGTCACTTGTACACCCCCCACCACTCCCCTTTCAAGCAGTATTCACCCCAAAATACGTCTTATTTTGCATTTCAGGGCTTTTGGCAAGGTACCAGCCCTAATTTGGCACACAGCCAACAGCCCGCCCTTTTTGCCCCCGCGATTTCCGGTGTGAATTCCCCCCAATGGTCTCACTCGCGTTCCCGTGCTCTGCCCCCTTCTTTTTTCGCATTTTGACCCTCCCATTAATGCGTTAGGATGTTGAACTCGAATTTTGGCTTGTTTCCAAGCATTGGCGCTGGATTCAGAGCGCTAACCGGCAAAAAGCAAAAAATTTTGCGGTTTGGGGATTCGAACCCTGGCTTTGAGGTTGAGCAAGCGAGAGCTTTGGCACTCGACTACCCGAACGAGCGTTCCAGGGAAAGGGTAGACCTCTTCAATGTTCCGCGCCAATACGGCTCGAGGGTCCACTGCCGCAAAACAAAACGCAAAAAAACGATAACCCCGCCCGGCATTGAACCCGTGGCTTCTGGCTTGGCTTTTCCGCTTTATAGGAACCCGTTTTTAATGATTTCAATTGTCTAAAATGTTTTTCTCATTTCTTCTGGTGCAACAATCTCAATCATCGGCTACACACCGCTCCTCTTTACACCCGTAATCTACACAAAAATTATTATAAATTAGATCTGGCCCTTTCTAATTACCGCACTTCTCGCCTACACCATTATTATGTGCACACCGCGTGATTCTAAATAGTCCATGTGTTTGATCGATTTTTTTTATTGATTTTGTGCTTGCTATTTATTTACGTCTATTCCACGATGCTCCTCATTACATAACAAATACATATTTGGCGCTACAGTACCCCCCGTTTGCTTATATTTGTTGGCTTTAAAGGTATCGATTTTTTGATGTTTTTTTTTGCTTTTTAAAAGGGCTAGTAAGGAAAGGCTGTGGATTTTTTTGGCTGTGGATTTAGGCTTTCCTTGCCGGCCCCTTTAAAAAGCGCTACCGTACCCTTCGGCGTCTCTTCATGGCCCTTTAATAACCCTGATATACTTTTGGATGTGTGCAAGACTATTTGGTGCTCGCCTCGTTGGCGCTGCGTCTCTCTCTCTCTTCCAATCTCTCTCTCCCTCTCTCTCTCTCTCTCTCTCTCTCTCTCCAACCTTTCCAGCTAGCACTTTGTGATATATTGAATAAAGTGTTTTTTCTGCCAAAATCTTTCTTACGGTATTTATGAAAAGCACCCAATGACTACAGGCAAAAAAAAGCTTCAAGGACCTCTGCTAGCCTGCCTGGTTTTAAATGACTAGCTGGGTCCATGAAAGCCAGTGTATAAAACGTACATTAATGTTCGAAACTAAGGACGTCTTACGAGAAAATTCCGCAATAATCCTTGCTAGCTAGCTGCTATCTAGCGCTTTTCCAGACTCAAACAATCGATCTTTATTCGAGGTTTGAGACAATCCGGGATAGTTGTTTATAGGAATCATGCGTAGTTGTGGACTGTGCCGGTGGCTCTCTCTCCCTCTCGCTCTAAATAAACTATCGCTCCATCGATCTCTAGCTTCAGCAAGGTTGCACGTCCTTTTAAACGGCAATTCCAGAACGAGCTCTGCTAGACTGCCTCAATGGATTCTCTTTCCATCGAACTGCAGAGGGAGAGAGAGAGAGGGAGAGAGAGAGAGAGAGAGAGAGAGAGAGAGAGGGGGGAAGCGACGTACAGACAGACCTAGTCCACCTGCTCGTCGAACCCCCGATTCGTGGCCCCGCCCCTTTTTTCGCGAAATCATCGAGGTGTCTCTCTCTCTCTCTCTTAGCTCCCTCTTTCTGGGTGGGCCCTTAGGTAGATAGATAGAGATGGGCACTCTATCAGGCTTCTCCCCCACCCAACGACATTCGCTTGTACTATTTTTACTACGTATCTCTATACTCGAATCCCTACAGGTAGGCGGGGCTTTCTATTTGCCTTCCCGGTCCCTTTAAAAGGTCCAAAATGAGGGGCAGCTAACAGAGAGCATTTAGGGGCGGGTCTCCATTCACGCGTTAATAATTTACCCCGTAGATTCTGCGAAAAATCAATAATTTCCGGATTCGCTGGTTAGAACCTCCCCACCCATTTCAATCCAAAAGTGGGCGCTCTTTGACTTATGGTCCCTTTCACAAAAATCGGCAATAGCGCCTTTGGTCTTTTTCCAGATTGTTTACCATCCCTTGCTGATCCCTTTAAACCAGAAAGATTGGGCAAATTAGCAGAGACCCCTAAGGAAAAGCGTTTTTTCAAAACAAGGTAATCTCGGGGCTCTTAAAACCCCCAGCGCTGGGCTAGCAGAGAGCCTTTGGGAATCGTAGATGTTTAAGAAATTCCCACATAGCCTCTTTCCCAGCCCCTTTAAACCTCGAAAAACAAGGCACCCTCGCAGAGATCCTTTAGGAAAAGCATTAATACCTTTCCTAAAAGATGTCCCTCATCAAGGGACCTTTATAGGTTCCTCCCCTCCTCCGCTTCCCCTCCAAATGTGGACCCCATTAGTGCAGAAATGAGGCCCGGAAAAGCCCGCTCCAAGCCCGAATTCCGTTGCGCTACTATTCCTGCCTTCCTAATTATTCTAAAATACCGTAACCCACTTCAGTACCACAAAAATCTATAGATTGCTCAAACTACCGTAGTTTTCTTCCACCCTCCGGTTTTCCTGGCATCTTTAAAATAGCGTTATCCACCCCAGTGCTACGATATAATACTAGACTACGATGTGATCCCCCCCCCCCCGATATGCCATTAGGTGTCCCCCGTTGGCTGGCTGGCCAGGTCCAAATTGTCTCATCCGTCCACAGCGGTCAATTGGTCCCCTCCAACCAGCTAACGTGGCCACCCACACTCTGAAATGTCAGCACGCATTAATGGTAGGTCTTCAAGGGTCTCTGCTAGATTCCCCAGTCTTCCATAAAAATCCAGAATTACTCGATTTAAGCCTTTCCATTCCATGAATTCGCTTCTCTTTCAATTCAAGGAATCTCTGCTAGATTGCCCTAAATTCCGAATCAACATAATGTCCTTCCTAAAGAATCTCTGCTAGCCTGCCTCCAAAGAATTTCCAAAATGGCTTGAAATCGACGTTCCAAGCCCTTTAAATGGATGACGAAGTCTTCTAAGCCCTTCGTATCAATTCCTAAAGGCTCTCTGCTGACTTGCCCGGAAAAACTGGCTAAAACCTATGGATTTTGGCTTGGCAATCTCTTTAAAATCGGGGAAATTTCTTTCAAAAACTCCTAGATGATTTCTGCCAGTTTGCCCACAAAACAAAACTTCAATCTATAGATTTAGTCTTGTCCCTTCAAAAACACCAGAAATCAGGTCTTCATTTCCCAAATGTTCTCTGCTGGCCTACCGGTGCGATCAGATTGATAGTAATGAGGTGAGGTGGTCCTTTTTAGCCCTAAGGGCGTCTCTCTCTCCCTCTCTCTGTCGGTCTCTCTCTCTCCCTCGCTTCAATCCAAGGCCCTCAAAGCCGAAAAGATCTCTAGAGGAGGTTCTTCTTCCCCGATTACACTCCTCGGGGGGGCTGATGGCCGAAACGACTGATAGATTGGGGGGGGGGGCCATACCTCCCCTTTTTCATGGTGGAAAGAGAATAGGAATCTCACAGACAGCAAACCCACCCCTCGGAACCCTGGGGGAGGGCTATAGTATCACTACGAAATGATACGTGACAACGGGGAGAATTGGATCAAGCCACTGCAAAAAAAACTGATACCGCATTAATGGCACCTCGCCCTGTAGCGCCTAAAGAATCTCTGCTAGTCTGCCCTGACCAGCGAATTTATAAAGGACCGCTGCTAGCCCTGGGTTTTTGAAGTCGTGCTATAAGAAACTCTGCCAGCCTGTCTTGCTTCGTGGAACCTTCTCAAGTCTCAAATGGCCTCTGCTAGCCACCAGTGATCCTCAAGGTCTATCGTCCTAAGAATCACTGCTAGTCTGCCCTGTTTCAACGGATCCTTCGCTTCCTAAATGATCGCTGCTAGCTAGCCTCTCCGCTGCAAGTTCGATTATCGTTAGGATTCCCAAATGATCTTTCTTCGCCCGCCCGGCAGTCCCAGCTTTTTCGCTTTGGCTAATAATCACTGCTAGCCTGCCGCAACCCATCGAATATTCCTTCCCAAATGATCTCTACGAGCTATGACGATGAGCTAGAACCATACATTGCTCTAATAAAAATCCGAGGCTCGCACAAATGGTCTCTGCTGTATGCCTTTCCTTTAAAAATATTCGTATGGCCCAAATTTCCTAAAGAACCTCTGCAGGTTTACCTCTCTTTCTGAATTCACCCATCAACTCTCGGTGTTTGTGAGTATATGTGTGAATGGATTGGTGTGTGAAAGGGAATAGCAGGGGGATAGAGGGAGGGGGGAAGGGCATCATCATCCACTCGATTCATCGTCGAGAGCCCGTCCATCCGTGATTGAGCCGACCCTCATCATCATCCAATAGGGCTCTCTCTCTCTCTCTCTTTCCCCAAGCACAAACATTTTAATAAAGGGGTCAGACAAAGACGACACGCGTAGAAAATTCCACACCGATACTCCTTACGGATTTAAATGGACGTAAAAAAGATTGCGTGTCGCGGGAAATCCATAATTCAGAAATAAAATCGAATTTAAATTCAAAATCGGCGAATTTTTCGGTTCTTCTATCTTGGTTATTGCACTCTATCTCCCAACTCACTGCCACTCTCTCTCTCTCTCTCTCTCTCTGTCTGTCTCTCTCCCTCTCCCGCCATACATATCAAAAGTATACTCTTTCAGCCCCTTTCCTAAACGTAGACCTAGTGACCGTAACCCTCATCCTTTTCCATCAGGTAATACCCGCACGAATCACATTGCCCCGTCTCCAATATCATCTAGCAGAATGGAGAAGAAGATACACGGAATGGCCATTGCTGCTGTGCCCCCCCGGTATGAGTTTGGAGTGGATAAATTGGATTGGAAGGGGGAGACTCTAGAGGGACTGTGGGTCCCCGGGGGCCACCACCACCTAGGGCCCATCCAACAAGGCCCATCGTCTAAGTGGATTCGATCCACCGTCCCGCCTAGCTTCTCGGCCGTTGTTGGCCCTTTATTGGAGGGCCAAGGTTTAAAGGGATCGGCAAAGCATTACTACAGATTTTCAGGGATTATTTGTGCCCACGAGACGATAAATCTGTAATGATCCATAACGTTTCCTTCTCAGGCCCTCGAAAGTTAATTTGAAAAAATTGATAAAATCTATTTTTTTTGGTTTTATCAATTTTTAGTACTCCTGCAAGAATAAGGCGCTTTTTAAGCTACAGTTTTTAACTATGGCGTACCACTATTACAAATCTCAAAAAGTTAATGCATTGTATTACTATTTGACGGTATATGTCGGTTATGCGGGGAGGGGACATTTTCGGGGGACGGACGGGACAGGCGGCCTCTTTGGATGTTGTCGTTATTTGCTCGGAATTTTCGCAACGGCATTCGATAGAGTATCGAAAAATATACTAAGAGTTTTGGTTTTAGCTCAAATTAGTGTAATATAAAAAAGTTATGGCAAATACCAAATAAGCTTTGAAAATCGGTTTGAGCGGCTGTTTTTCGATATTCGCGCTATTTTTTCGACATTTTCAGATGCCATTCGATAGAGCATCCAAAATTACTAGAGTTTTAATTTTAGCTCAAAATAATGTAATATAAAATAGTTAGTAATAATTATTGTAATAATTATTTAGTGCCATTCGACAGAGCGTCGAAAAATATACTACGAAGTTTGTTTGTAGCAAAAAGAAACGCAAAAAAAATAGTTGGCTCGGCCCCAACAGTCCGTCCCCCCGGCGTAAAATCCCCCGCTTAGCCTACATATACCTATTTGACCATTTTCTAACAAAACCAATTTTTGGGTAGAAATTGAATAAATAAAACAAAATAACTCAAGATAGCCAAATGTAAGATTCAGCCATTTTAAGCTTTAATTGATACATTTCTTTCGCTACAAATCAACTAATACGTCCCCAGACGCAGCAATAAATACCTTGATTTAATTACGAAGCTCGTATGTATCAGAAGAATCGGATCTGCTGTCCCCCGCGCTATTGCAAAAGTACCTCATTTTCCAAATTCATATCGACCAATCTCCACTGTTAGCGCCCAAATTAGCCACCCCACCAGGCCTCGCATCCACAACCCAGGAGCCGAGATGCAAATTCGGCGAGGCGCCAAGCCGGCTTAACCCATGGGAGCATGCCCATCTCCGATTTGGCGTCCAGACAACTCCGGCCCGAGTTGCGTTATGTCCTTTTTATTCACATTCACAGGTTCAAAACGGGGGGCTGGTGATGACAACAAGGAATAGATAGATGATGAAGGACTAGGCGGGTGGAGGAGAACGGCAAAAACGAGTGCAGAATTAAAATGCACAGAAAAAACGAGGAAAACAAAAAAATGGGGTCGTGTGATTGGTATTATGGCGGAAATAATTTACAGCAGAGGTTTTTTTGCACTATTTCTCCTCCGGAGCAGCTGACGGCTCGGCCGGCTTCGAGGCGTCGCCATTGCGCAAGGTCAGAGCACGGCACAAGTTCTCCAGGGTGCCCACCTGAAAAAGGCGATTATTTAGTAAAAGGCCATGGTCACAAAATCATTCAATGCGACAGACTCATAAAATAGAGCCGATCTGAAGCAATCCAGAGAAAAACAGTATTTCCGGAGGTTTACTCTTTTGTAACATAAGTTGAATGGGTATTTCCAAATTTCTTGTTCTAAACGTAAAAACGTTCCAATTTTATCGGAAAAACAATAATTATTAGTTTTCGAAGCCGTTTAAAAAGTTGCCAGTTTCAAATATAGCCAAATTCCGAAAACCAGTTATATAAACGATACCTTCTTCTCGTAGGCGGCCGCCCTCTCTTCGATATCCTTCTTCTGCATCGTGGTGACCAAGATCATACTGAAAAATACAATTTATGAAGTAAAAATTTAAAATACTTGTTGGCCTCGTCGTATTTAAGCCTCCACTTCTGGGACTCCATCTCCACCTTCTTGAGCTGGGTGTTCACCTAAAAATATAATGGAATCATAGTTTGCTACACCTACCCGATCGATCTCCTTCTTGAATTTGTCAAAGGCGGTGCTGCTCTTGGACAGGCTGTCCGCGAGTTCAGTGTATCGCTCAGCGTATTCTTTGACCTAAAGATTCAAACATGAACACAGGTTGATCAGAGAGAATCGATTCTAAGGTCTTGAAGGTTAAAAAATAAAAATCACATGCCTGGTCACGGAGTTTCGTCTCATTATCAAGGGCTTCTCCCACCCGACGGGTTCCCTCGACGAGGCTACGGGCGTATTCCTCCTAAAACGAAGAAAATGAACTTACGTAAAATCAATAATGAAAAAATTATCTTGAAACGTAATTCTTTCGCATTAACGGGGGGGCGGTTTTGTTATGTCTAGAAGTGTCTAGTAACTGATTAATAAGTGTTCCATTAATGTACGAGTCGAATATAACTAGTTTTAGCCTAGAAAAACTGCCTAAAACATTTTGAAAAGCTTGCATTGAAAATTTTGAATTTGGTAAAATCGCCCATTTTTGGGCGAAGACTGATAAAAAGTTGTAAAGTTTCTACGGTCAGGAAAAGTAAAAAAAAAGTTTTAAAACACATTTATATTTGAAACAATCGATCGTAAAAAAATTTAGTCGATCATGCGAAAGAACCTAACACGTAAAAATATTCACCTTTTCAAGGGCGGTCCGCTCCTGGATCAACAGGGCCTGTTGAAGCTTGGTCTTTAGCAAAGTAATCTAGAACGGAGGTAGGCCAAAATTATCAAAGACGCACCTCACAATCACGAGCCTTCTTGAAGTCCTCCCAATATTCCTCCTTCTTTTGATACTAAATCGAGGGCGTCACTATCGTAACAAAAAGCTAACCGATGCAACGAGCTGTGTTAGGCGCTCTTCGTATTGGGTACCCAATTCTCCCAACTTCTCCGAAAGACGCTTGTTGTCATCGGCCAAGACGTCAGATCTTAAAGCACAACTTCATGAAAATAGCCTACAAACCTGCTCCTCCCCTCGCTCATATTCTTCTCAATTTCATTCAACGAGAACCGGAGTTGCTAAAGCAAATAAATACGAAGGATACTACTTCCCTACATTTACAGCCTCTTGACGTTCAGTCTCGAGCATTTTCGTACGGGTCAGACTCTCCTCGCGAATCTGAAAACAATGAGACGCACAATACGAACCAACATACCTCCTTGTTGCATTTCTGAAGCTCACGGCAAAGCTCTTCTAGTTTGCTCTTGCTGGCCTCCGTCTAAAAAACAATAAAAAGCTATGTCCAGACCATCTACCTTCACAAGAATCTCGTTGCTTTTCTCTACTTTTTTCTCGAGCTGCTGGAAGGCCTTCTGCAGTTTATCGAACTAAAACGGAAAATATATTCGTAAATAAAATTCCTAACATTTTGAGCCTTTTGCACATAGTTTGCCCGTTCGTTCTCCGCTTTCACCAGTCGCTCCACAAGCTTGTTAACCTGAATTGAATAAATTTGGCTAAATGGAGAGATATACCTTTGCCGGGTCATCGAGGCCTTCAACTGATTTTAGGACGGTCTCTGCGGTGACGGATGGTGGGGCTGGCTGCGGAGCCGAGCTTGAAGAAGCTAAAAAACGATCGAATGAATTAAACCCGAAAAACATTGATCCGCCAGATTTTTATAACCATTTTTCTATTTTAAACGCTTTAGATTATGCGACGCGTTGTATCATCCTGGCAAAGAAAAGATGGATCTCAACCATCAACAAAAACCCGAAAACGAACCCATTGTCAGACAAATATGACGAAATAGAAGCCGCTGATCTCAAGCAATGAACGTATCGATATTGGGGTGGCGCGCGAAAGAGCCGAGAGAAGCCGGGAGGACTTGGGGCACGAGGAGATTACACAAAGCGCGGCCTGGAGAAGACCCTCTAGTACAAAAGAGCAGGGGCACACGGCAGGGACTGGGGCCCCGCCACCATTTCCACACATGTTCCACGAGCTTTAGGTCATCCACCAGCTGCTAGTGGGACAACAAGGACGGTTAAACTATATCTAATCGATAGAATCATTTTTTAGAGCATACGACATCTTTTCGGAAATATTGTCCGCTCAAAACTTTATAAAATGTTGACGCCAGAAATTTTATGGAGCTTTCCTTTATGATATAATCTTCCGCGTCGTCTAAAAGCAAGCGACTAGGATGATAAAGACTGGACAAGCCCTCCACTAACGCCGAAACCTCCCAAGCTTTCAATCCTGTAATAAGATAGGCAAATAAACGAACCGACGCTTGTACTCGGCCCACCGAGACCCTTCTTCTTGAAGCCCATCCGTGCAGCGGTCAACCAGCTGGCTGAAAACCTGTAGAATGAAAAAAAACTATAAGCGTTTGCAGCGAGTAACGAAACTAATCAAACCCGCAAATTTTTGGCTGCCCACAGCTGTCGGTTCTCTCCCAACGGGCGAGTGCCCAGTGTGGTGTAAAATGCGTACGCGGCCCGGCCCAGACGAAGAAAGAAACTGTGACGATGCGGAACGGTGCAATATTGTCAATCAACCAGATAAAATCAACAAATATTTATCGTCAACGCATACAAATCAACATGTGCAATGCACTAAAAACCCGTAGGATCATTTGCACAATCACGAAGTGCATTCCGCTTCCGCAAGCCGCCGCCCTCTTTGTCACCCGCAGTTTTGGCGGCCGATCTGAATTGAAAAATACGCAGTTTTTTAATAGAGCCGCTTATACGGATTCAATAATATTTTTAGTAAAATTTAGCCGTATTTCAAGTGAAAAAAACTGATAGTACAATTCCATTTGGGCTAAAATTGCTATTTTTATCGTTTTTAATAAATTCTTTGTAGCGTTACGTATAGGAATAGTAAAAAAACGCATTAGAAACACCGTCTCGGGGGGGGGGGGCGGCCCGCCCCGGCCGCCCCCCCCGGGGGGGCGGGCCCCGGCTCCAACCCCCCCCCCCCCGGGGCCCCCCCCCCCCCGGGCCCGCCCGATCGAAAAAAAAAAAAAAAAAAAAACCCCCCACAAAACCCCCCAAATACAAAAAAAAAAAAAAAAAAAAAAAAAAAAAAAAAAAAAATTTCCCCAAAGGGGGAAAAAAAAAATTTAATAACCCCCCCCCCCCCCCCCCCCCTCTCCCCCCCCCCTAATAAAAACAAAAAAAACCCCCAAAAAACCCCTCTTAAAAATCCCCCCCGCTTTTTTTTTTAAAAAAAAAAAAAAAAATTTTTTTCGTTGTTTCCCGCGGGGGGGGGGAGGCAAAAAAAAAACAACAACCCCCACAAACCACCCCCCCCCCCCCCCCCCAAAAAAAACCCCCCAACCCCCTTTAAATTTTTTTAAAAAACCCCCCAGGGGGGGTTCGGGGGCGGTTTTTCCCCCCACCCAAAAAACCTTCTCTATCTATAAATTAGAAAATAATAAGCATTTAGCAAGATCATACCGAGCGATTCAAAATTTCAGATAGCGGCACATCATCGTCATCGCTTTGCTCACTTTCACTGCTCTCAATGCGCCGTTTCTTGGACTTGTTGTTCCTCTAAAAGATTTCGTTTACGACTAAAACATGAAAGTACCGAGCGGTTTAACAGTTCCACGAGCGGCACATCGTCATCGTCGCTCTCGTCGCTGCTCTCAACGACAACAAGGCGGCGCCTCTTCCTCTTGATGTCCTGCTACAAGCGCCCGAATTGTACGTATAAACAAAACGTACTGGGCTGTTCGATGGTTGAGCATCGGCAACGGGCAAAAGCGGAGCATCTTCTGGAACTTGTTCCTCCTCAACACGCTCGACTGTTCCGTCAGTGGACTTCTTCTATAAAGCGGGATTGAAGGGCTCAACGAAGAACTACCATGCGAGACGCAACCTCCGAAAGCGTCATGTCATCGTCGCTTTGATCTTGTTCAACGCTGGGGTGCCGTCGTTTCCTTGTAGTTCTGTTGTCCTAAAAAAAACAAGATAAAGGTATGATAAAGACCCACCTTACGCAATGGACCGGCATTTTCCCTCTCATTGTTTACGGCAGAACGCCTGGGCCTTTTCTTTGTGTGACGATTCTGTAAAAACACGATTAACGTTTGAGCTAAATCTACCTTGGGCGTCACAACTAGGGACGAGGGTTCGTTGGTCTCACGCTCGCCCCCATCACCGTCCGCTTTCGACCTTTCTGGCTTCTCTTTCATACTTCTCTAAACGAAAATAAGTGTTCAAACAGATTACTTTACCAATCGGCGGAGCACCGTCGCGATTGGGACGTTTTCGTCTTCAGAAGACTCGCCGGTCACGTTGCGCCATAACTACAAATGCATATTTTAATTCAGAAATGCGAAAATTACCGGAGTAGAACGGGAAGCAACGGTGCAACTACGGACAGGCCGTGATCGTGGCGGCGTTTTTTCAGGGGTCGAATCGTTAATGTTGGCTTTTCGAGAGGGGGAAGGAGTGTCCAACGGGCTTCCTTTCCCATTTAGCTTTCTGACTATGTGGGCCCTCATCTGGCCCGGTGTGATTGGCGACCAAGTTGGATCCGAGGTAGCTTCACTGAAAATTTAAAGTCACCAACTTTATACGAAACGTCGATAGCTTTTCGTTCAGGCAACCAATAGTGGCTCAGGATCGCTAAGTCAACACGAAATCACGACGCTTAGGTCGTTTCGGTTCAATGTGTTCCTCATCATTGCCGGTGGTTGCATTACCAAAAAAGTAGTGGCATAAAAAACAGACTTTTTAATATCCTGCAACCGCAGCTCACGTCGAGTAAATAGTCCCGCAGGGGTACGTGCGACTAATGGTGAATTGATATGCATCTAAAAAGGGACAATTGCGCCTAGAAATTATAAATTACCCGAGTAGGCGTCATTTCATCCAAGCTAGCCCTCTCAAATACACTCGGTCGCGATTTTGGCGTTTTCGAAACACCTGGAGGCACTATAGCGTCGATCTGGTAAGGATCGTTTCCATCCCTAAACACTCGTAATAAACCCACTCTGGGTAAATGACTTGATCTTTCAACCAAGATCGGCATTGCAAAAAGCGTACTTAGAAGGTGAAGCCATCATTGTGAATAGATTATCCCGAGGTTTCATGCGCTCCCGCATCATCTCTGTGTACATGTCATCGAATTCCCTGAAATAAAAGCTCACAAACGGTAGTTCCACGTACGATTTCTTGGCCACCGGTGTTGGGGATGCGGTTGACGTGGAAGCGGAGAGCGTCTAAGCGGATGCTGAGATCAGAGCTTCGGATTACCGGAAGCATATAAGAATAGTCTATCGGATCTCTGGTGGCTTCGTCCTCATCATCGCTGAATAATACGGGCTTCATATACAACCCGGTTCTGAAACAAAATCATAGTAAAATCCGAGGTTTTAGAGACGCAGTCAAATAAAGCTCAAATAATCGTGGTCAAAAACCCAATTCGTTCACTACCAAAATCCTGAAAGTCGAATATTTATTCGCAAAATAAAAGCATAGCAAGAAGGAGTATGAGTAGTTCTGACATTATAGAAGCGACTAGTTAAAGGGGGTGAGAAAAGGAACAGGCAAAAACACAATGAGGGGAATATCGTAAAAGGACCCGCTTAATTACCCTTAATATTTAGTGCCACGATCACGTCGCTCTGTTCCTGGATGAAGATTTTGTCGCCGCTCTCCGTCGTCAACGTCACAGTCGGGAATTCGGATTCATCATGGTCCATCTTGATGGCAGCGGCCAAGATCTGAAATGGGGGGAATTAATCTTTGCGGGAACCAGGGGAATCAGAGTGCGGCAAAGTTTGTGGTTGGCGGGAAAATTCGAGGGACCAGCCTCCCGCCAAGAGCACAGAAACAAGAAAAGTAAAAAAGTTTGGCAACCACTAAAGGAAGGTCCCAAACTTTATTCATGATGGGGCCCAGTGTTCGTTTACTGATATTTACCCGCTCAAATTCCTCCCTCTAATTCTCTAATTACTTCACACAACAGTGTATACCTGTTTGTAAATCGCAGATCCTTCTGATGACAAGGTTCCACGCGCAGCAATACAAAATCCCCGGCAGTCGATCACGCATACGCCATCGATCTAAGCGTTTTTGATTTATCACAAATTCATAAAAATACCTCGGGCAGATGAAGGGCTTTGTCAATCGCTTTCTCCAACTGCCCTTCCATTTAGTGCTAAAAATGGTTGATAGAGTAAAAACTGACAAATTTTCATAAAAAAAACTTGAAATTTGAGAAGAAAACCTATTTTTTTTATAAATGTCAACGAATCAAGGTTAGTGTTTCGATCGGACATTTTTGGTTTTTAGCTACGAAAGGCACCTCTGTACGCTTTGTTTGTGTGGATTGTCGGTCGGAGGCGGCCCCCCGCCGCGAATCGTTGGTTTGGGCCGCGGCGACCTTCGGAAACGCGATATTCGTCAGACAGATGGGGCTACAAAAAGTTTATATCGTTGAATATGATTTTTTTCAAATAGCTTTTTTTCGGGACCTATAATAATTACCCAAAAAGGCGACAACAAACGTACCTGTTATCATTTATAACAATTTGATTGACTACATGACTCGCCAGGCCTTCTTTTTTCCAATTTAATTCTGTCCGTTCCGACAATTTAACCAGTTTTTTTTAGAGGAGATGATGCGCCACAATCGACCTGACCGCGGTGGACGTTCGGATCGTCCTCGTCGCTCCAGGAGCCGCTCTCCACATGGCGCTAGAGGTGCTTTACTTTTCTTTATTTAGGGCTTCCGTTTGTTGCTCGACAAGGGATTCTTTCTGTGTTGATTGGAGAATTTCTTGTTTGGTTTGTTTTCTGCGACTTTCGTGCATTGAAATCATCGAGACCGAACCCGCCTGTCACCCGCTTGTGCCGAAGAAGAGCCTGAATTCCTTGCCATTCGGCAATTCGAATAACCGGAGAAAAACTGGTGAAGAAGTGCGGTTTCGAGCCAGTCATTGGCACGACGTTAACGTCTTCTCTGGATTTTTGAGCGACGCGGAATTTAATGTCCGTTAGGTTTTGGGGACTTGGAGACCTTATCGCTGCAACGCTTGATCTATCAGACATTTATTGATATATTTTACGACGCAGAACGTGTTTGGTCGGAAAATTAGGACGTTTTAGATTCCAATACGTCAGTCATCTACATCAACAATTTGCCCTGGCAGCTTCGATGGATTGAACTAAAGAATATCCTGCAGGAGAAGGGAGGAGAGGTCCGGCTATTTTTTATTTTTGACATAAAGCGATATTGGCCCGGGCATAGGTGTAAACTCTCGAGTTGCGGGCCGGTGTACATAGTCCTGAAATTATTAGAATTAGAAATACATTTGTCACGGAAACGGCTGGTCAACTTTGCTCCTAATCCTTGTCAAACTGGTAGCTTCAGTGGCAAGCTCGGACAGGCCATTTTTGACAGGAAAGAAAACATTTTGTCGCCGTTTATAAGAACTGTGTCCAGGTTGGTTATGGATGGCCGATATATCCCCTCGAACGGAATTTATCGATGCGCGTAGGATTGCGCATAATCGGTTCTAGTTCCGGAATATCTTGATCGATTTGTGATTGGGGAAAGGGCGGCTCCCAGGGAACTTTAGAAACGAAGCCTGGTGTTATTTGAGTATTAGGCATTTTCTTCAGCTCCTGTGGGTCGACATCCTGCAAGAGAAGGATGGGCGTTCCAAGGGCGCCGCAATCGCCGAATTCAAGAAGCCTGATGATGCCGATCGTTGCGTGCGGGCCATGAGCCAAAAATTTGAGATATCTGGAAGGACCATCTATGTGAAGCAGATCAGGGTAAGCTTTTTCTGGAGTATGGTTACCGGGACCCTCGTTCCATTTCCTTTTGCTGAAAATTTCCGAATGTAAAACGGAATATGGATGTTTGAACCGACTAGTTTAACTTTTATAGAACTTTGGGTTTCTTGATGAGCAGAAATGATTTGACCTTGTTCTACTTTATCGTAGTAGTTCCTTCCTGAAGTGGGGGCAGTAAATTCGGACATAATTAGTTATTTAGGGTGGAAGAAGTACTACTCATTTTAGCCTTGGTTTTTCATAAACTTGTTAAATTTGGGGCAGAGTAGCTGTATATAGTATTTTTAACTCTTTTCTTCCAGTATTAGGAAAACGCCCCGTCGTTGATAGGAGTTTGCTCACCACGGTCGCTTGCAGATACCAAAACTTTCGACGAAAGTTTACTTATATGCATCCAATCTTCCGTAATCTTGACGTTCAGGACCCACACCAGTTCTTGCGCAAGATCAAGGAGGAAACCGGCGTTGACTACTTGGCTAGGAGGTATCCCTACAAACGCGACATCACTTCTGTTGTTTAGCGGCGGTGATCGCAGTAACCCGCCACGTGGAGCACCCCCTGTTGATAGCGGTCGTATTGAAAATCACGATACTTATGGACTGAGCATGGATTTCCTGCGTACGCACAACATCGACCCCCCGCTAGTTACGAAAGTCTTTGTGGCGAATGTAGCTTTGATTTTTATATCTTTAACCCGCCGATTTAGATCCCATTCACGGTCGGCACGGGCAAGCTCTGCGATGTTTTTGGAATGGCCGGCCAAATCAAGTGGATTGACCTTCAGATGGACAAGGAGGGCCGCAGCCGCGTAAACGGAATTTTTGCCTCATTGACTTCCAGATTTTAGGGAACGGCCGTGATTGAATATGGACATCCGTTGGAGGCCGTGCAAGCCGTCTCTCTCTTCAACCAGCAGAAACTGCTTGATCGCCCTTTGCTCGTCAAGCTCGACCGTATGACGAAGAATGAGGACAGCGGTCCGAAGCGCCCAGGAGAATTGCCACGTGGACTGCGTAAGTTGAAGTTTTTTCTGTCGGGTAAATTATTGCTTTAGTGAGCATCGGCATGGGCCTGGGCACTGATGGAGCCGCCATTTCTGACATCAACAAGATTCTCATGGCGCAAGCGAATGCTATGGGAGACTTTATGCCACCGCCAATGGTATGCTAAAGGAGGGACTTTGGATTTTTGACTGGATTCAGACTTTTTAGAATCTTCAAAAATCTATAAAAACTTTAAAAAATTTCTATAGATTTATATTTATATTTGATAGATTGATTTTTATAAGCTTTTCTTATCTAAAGACTGCGAAAACTGTATAAAAATTATTATGACCCGCTAAAATTTGTGCTACTTATGTATAGGACACAGTCTAGAACTCGTTTTTTAGCAACAGCCGCCGATCCATCAAAACATGGCTCCAGTCATGTCGGCACCGGTACCGGCCCCGCAACCGTACGGCGGCGTGCCCCCTCCTCAGGTTTGATTCTCTCGGTAATATTAATAATCCTCCTTTTTAGATGAACATGCCTCCAATGAACGCTTTTGCCGGCGACCGCTATGCGCCCTCGAACAACATGGGTTTCGGCAGCGCCGTCCCGCAACAGGCCCCCGTTTCGAACAGTGTAAGTGCTTTAGATTTTGATTCGGTTCTCAAAGATAGTATTTTGTCTTTTTATGATCCAATAATACTAAACATCGTAGGCGTTTCGAAATTGTCTATGCTATTCTTCTTGAGCGTAAAAATTACAAACAATTTTTTTTGAAAAGATAAAACTAAAAATTTTTCAGGATCAAGGTTTCAAAATTTTGTTCAGTTCCGTGGCTTCGGCGCAGATGCCTATGGAGGAGGTGGAATGGATCGCATGCCTGGTGGCGGCATGGATCGTATGGGAGGCGGTGCCATGGATCGTATGGGAGGCAACGCGAATCCATTTGGGCAACCTCAAGGTATCACAATTTATGCCGTCGTTGACTTTATTTTTAGTGAAACAAGATCCGCCGTCGGCGTTCGGAGGAAGCGGATTTGGTGGGAGTATGGGCAACTCGCGGTTCATCGTTATCAAAAATGTGAGGCATTTTTTCGGGGTAATTATCAAAAATCCTTTTTAGCTGCCGCACGACTATACGTGGCAGATTGTCAGTGACCGGGTCGCTTCATTCGGAGAGGTTGAGGGTGTCGAGATGGTCAGTAATTTTTGAGTAGTTATGATAATTGTTTATTCCTTTCAGGCGGGCGCCGGGGTCGCAAAGGTGCGCTACGCTACGACAGCAGATGCGGAGCGTGCGAAGGCGGCACTCAGCGGAACGGTTGTCGAAGGACGCGGCATCCTCGTCGAATTTATCCACCCGTAAGGCCCATAATATGTAGGCACCAAAAATTTGTACTTTGTTCCGTTATTGTTCCATTTGTCATTTATCTATTTCCCTAATCATTCATTTCCACACCGTTAGTGGTAACAGATCTCCGTTCTTGGCTGTTTTCAATAAACGTTTCTCCAATGATGGCACAATGGATATACTCAGTTTTGAACAAATACCCGGGTGCTTCACGAGGGGGTGCCGCGTGCCGGGGAGGGTCTCTCTAATCCGTTTGGCAGTGTTCCCTTTGTGGGGGTCGCGCGCGACAGCGTCAAGAAGGGCTTTGATTGGCGAGAAGGTGAAACGCCGGCAAATAAATCTCCGAAAATTGGGTTGTGTGGCGCGTCTTTGTGTCGCGTGTATCCTGCTGCAAACTCAAACAAGTATCTGGGTACGGTAGTGCTTTATTCAGAGGTAAAGTTTCAATGGTTAACTGGGAGGTTAGAATTTTATAGATTAGTGCCTAAATGTTTTGGGGACCCGTACTGTCGGCGGCAAATAGCGAATGTCGCACGTTAGTGTTTTGAAAGCAAAATTTGTGTAGTAATAACGCTTAAGGGGGTACTACATCGCAAACAGTAATCTATGGTATCAGCGCATATGCGCGTACTTTATAGCTCAAGTTCGGGTTTTAAAGTCTGTACAGTAATAAGCATTGCAACAAGCGTGTGACGGTTGCTACATGCCCTGTCGACCGAATTCAATTCAATTTTCACCTCATGAATTCAGGATCGCGTCAATCGTGAAACTTTTTGGAAGTACTGGTGGCCGTTGGAGAGGCGACTCTTCGTTCGTGCCTTTTTGGAGGTCGAATTGGACCGGGTAGGGGACGGTGAAGCCGAAGATTGGGCTTGCGTAACTCAACTGAATAGAGGAATTAAATTTTGAGCCTGCGCGAAATTTTAGGACTATTTGACCTTCCTTATTCAGATAACCCCTGAATACACTCACCGGATTACTGGCAACCAATGGGAACAACCTCGGAGACGCGCTTGGGCTCTCATCTGAAGATTCCCCCTCTGGCACCGAAAGACCCATATGGCGACGAACCTATATTATTCGATTGACTAAATATTCGGACATTTTGGGACCTTTGCCGCTTAGAAAAAAAGTAATAGGTTTTATTTGTAACTCCCACCTTGCGCTGCGCCCTACGCCGCCGAAAATCTCCGCGCTCAAAGTCGCGCAGGTTTGCCGGATGGATGGCCCAGTAGTGGCCCTTCCCATTTGCCGCCCGGCCAGCTAAATATTTTTAGCATGGCATGAAATGGTCAGCGGCTGCTTACCTTTGATAAAGCAGTCATTTAGGGAGAGGTTGTGACGGATGGAGTTGCGCCATCCACTTCCGCGGGTTCGGAAATATGGATAGTGCAGGACAATCCAATCATAGACCTCGGAGAGGATCATTTTTCGCTCCGGGGATGAGAGGATTGCCATTGCTACAAGAAAATAGATTACTAGAATGTGGCAGTTTTCCTTACCAATCAGCCCAATGTAGGAGTGTTGCGGTTTTGGTTGTTCGCAGAGGGGAGGCGTTAGGTTTGGGTGGTGACTTTCGGATGGGGGCGCTAAATAGAATTTTTTGTCTTGATAGGTAGGTATTTTTGGCATATCCTTATTTTCTAACCAGCGCGCAAAAACCCGCTTCGCGGGCCTTGGGTGCTGGAATGCTGCCTTTGCATGAGAAACTTTCCCATAGCTCGGGTTACCCCTTCCCTCACCCGACCCAACACGCCATTGCAACTGGCAATGAGGAGATTTTTTTTCCACATCAGGCAAATTAGCCCTCCTATACCCCCAAAAATGACTAAAACCGGCTTTAACTGGTGACTCACCTAGAGCTAATAGACTCCGAATACTCATCGGATCAAGCGCTTCGAATAGTCGCTGATAGCTTATCGAAAGTGTTTCCATCGTGGGCTTTTTGCCTTCGTAGTTCTAGCGGCCAGTGGAAATCGAGAATTTCGAGGATAAGCTGCGCAGGTATCGTTACTGGCGATCAAATGTCTAGGTGGGTGGGCGTGGCCTCGATGGGAATCCGGGCCCTAGGGCCTGGGGCCCAGGAGGAGGAGACAGGGGCCCCCCTCCCCACTTGACGACTCCCAATTACTTGGGGTGGATGGAGTGGGTTACGGTGGGGGAATGATGTGCCAGATTGCGGAAACGGTGTTCCCGGAGGCCACAATGGGACACTTCCCATCACATCTCAACCAGCTGATGACCCGCAATGGGCTTTCCCAAATGCTTGCGTACCCCGCGGACATCATAGAGCCGTTCGCTGTCGTTCGAGAACTTGGTGTTGAACTTATTAGACACAGTGCCAACATTTTAGCGCAATAAAAATCGTCGAAGGTACTTTCGTATTATCGGGGGGCGGACCAACCTTTCCTTAGGCACCCGTTTTTTTGCTACTAAAGGAAGTGTTTCTAAACGGTTATTATTAATAAAACGTAAAAACTGTGCACATTTCTTACAGACGAAGGAAAATTACCAATTTTCGACCAAATGTTCAATTTTAACAATTTCTAGATAAGTTTTCCACTGAAGCATACATAGTTAAATTCGAATAAAAAAACTCTTAAGACTGCTGTAAGTTACTAGGCATGGCTACTTTTAGGTTCGGTCCCCCCGATAATTCACAAGAGCCAAAAACGACTTCTTTATTGGCGCAGATAGTTCATAAAAGTGATAGACCGTTTTCAGTTAGTCTAGGGATTATGTATCGTTTAGATTCGATTTAGACCACGGGCATTCAGAGGACAGGGAAAGCGCCTGTGAGAGGAGGGGCGGCTCCAGGGCACTCCAATGGCCGCGCGTGTACTGTGCACGCTCCGCGATCCATGATCTCCCCATAGAAAGGGCCGAAAAATGGTCAAAAATTTTGAACTTCAAATTGCTATAACTTTTGAAAACGCCATGTGAATCGGGAGCGCTGCTCTAGGAATGTAGAGAAGAGTCTGGGCTATGTCATGGAACAGGTCTCAGGCCGATCTACAGCAGAAATAAGGACTTCTATAGCTTTTTAGCTCAAAAAGTGTCAAATTCCGTCCTTTGTGCGAAGCGTTTTTCTTTGAATTTAGGCTCATTCTTTGTAGTTTTTTCACTGAATTTGCTTGGGAAAGCATTGTCAGTGTTAAATCAGCCACTTTTTTGGTCCTGGGAGGCTAAAATTTGTTGTTGCGATTCCGGCAAGCTTTTAATTTATTAATTTTTCGCATACTATGCGCCATCAATCTTCTATTGGGACTTTTCCGGGCTTTTGGCGTAAAAAGCAAAAGGTTAACGCGCTCTCTTGAGGGTGGGGAATCGAACCCGCACCCTCAGACTGTGGCTCATACCGGCGCCTTAGACCACTCGGCCACGCCCCTCCCCCTCCCCCACGCACGCTCTGAACGCCCGTGAGACGCATCGATAATATAGCTCCTTGAAACCCCGTTAATTCGAGAGGTCCAGTTGCGCGCCACTAGGTTGAGTACCCTCCCCTAAATTGGCGCACCCGGCCATGTGTTTTCACAGAAAGTCCGCCGCACTTGAGAGTGTTATTAATTCGTATACTTTATTTGATTTATCACAAAACGAAAATCGTGTGATTGAGAGCGACCGGGCGAAGCCTCAGCTGAGGTGGTCAGAGATCTCTGGATGTTTAAGCAGGAAGATGCCCATATTCTGGTTGTATATCTCGTCACTGTACGTCTTCAGATGATGCTTGTCGGTGCGTGGTGAACGGACGCTGCCCCTGATGAGAGAAATTAGGGTGCTTTCGCAAGATCGGGGGTGGGACCGAATTTTTCCTATAAGTCTAGAAATTCCTAGTAACGTAATATTAAGTATTTTAATAGTGTGTTTAATACAATTGAACCATTATTCAAGCCGAAAAGCAATTTAAAAACATGGAAAAATTTTAGTTGCCGTTTTGGTCGAAAATCGGTGATTTTTGATCGAGAAATCGATATTTCTAGGTTGTGAATTAAAATTTAGCAAGTTTTTGCGTTTATGAATGCTCAAAAAACGTTTAACATACGTTATTTTAGGAAAAATGGATCCTTAGAAAAAATTTGGGTCGCCCCGATAATGCGAAAGCACCGAGACTACATTTTCAACCACTTACAATTTTCTAGCCAATTCCGTCCTAATTTCGCGCCGTATTTTCCACTCGTCGGCACTGTTGGATGGTGCCTGGCGAAGAGTCTCGTAGAATAAATCTAGGAAGGCTCAACTGGAGAGTTGAAGGGGGAAATGATACCTGCAGCTTGGGTTATCAAATCGGGCGGAATGGTGATCGGGGTTCGTCCCCCGCCGTTGATCATGTCCCTGCATATCTTTTAGTGAAAAAACCACGGCTTTCCAACCCTACCGCTCCCCGATGGCTTGCAGGATATCATCATTGGTGGTGTTTAATACGGGTAGAATTTGGGATGGAACCATCTTAAAGTAGCATTTTGATGGACGCAAAGACAAAAATAAGCTAACCATGCGGACCATTTCGATGGCCGCCTTTTGCATCTCCTTCTTTCGGCTCCAGCGGATAGGGTTGGCTTTGTCGAGACAATGGAGTCGAACCGTCTCGGTTTTCTAAATCCGACGATGCTCATACGATGCTTTTGCATTATCAGGGGAGGGGGGAATTATTTTGTACGCGCTAAAAAATGCCTCTTAACGTAATAGTAAGTTGTTTAATAGCGTTTTAGTAAAATGTGACCATATTTAGGTGAACAATTTTTTCACAACAATGGGTAAAGCTTCAACGCTTAGTAATAATGGATACTTAAAAAATGGTTTTCCCCCAGATTAACCCGCTCCCCCATCCGATAATGCGAAAGAACAGATTTTCAAGGGCGATGAAGTCAAATTCCCGTTAAACTCACCTCCAGAATTTGGAGCATATGAAAGCGTCGAAAAGGAAATACGGCATCCAGCCAGCCCTCGCCAGCTGACAAATCATAGGCCAACGGGAAGAAGTGCCGCTCCGTCGACTCTGTTTCGGCGACAGTGCTGCAGCTCGGAGATTGGCTCAGCTCCTCGAGCTGCTTCTCCATTACGCAGAGCAATGGAGTCGATGGTTTTGTCTCCTAAACATTGGAAATATAAATAAAATAAAAATGGATTTTCCGGATAGCTTCACTAGCCTTACTTTTGGGATCGTAACTTTTGGTGCCGGCTCCTCGCCATAATTCTGTTGTCCGATGATGATCTTCTTTCGCAGGGTTGCATTTTCAAGCTCCAACTCTGCGACACGCCGACGTAGACGAGCGTTCTGAAGGAGGAATATTGTCAGAAAAAGATTAGCTTTTCCATCCATTAACGAGCAACAGCGCTCACCTCATGTTGTTGATCCTTGGCTCGCGTAAAATAGTGGGCAATTCCCTCCATATTGGTCATAGCCGCCCTGACGCTCATCAGCATTTCGTCGAGTCCGTCGTCGGCTCGGTTGTCGTTATGCTTTAAAGTAATCATGTACGCCATCAAGGGAAATCGCCTACAAATGAGGCTAGGGAGATTGAGTTTGAGCCGTAGGGTTCCTCGTCTTCATCGCCAATCAGGTCAGTGATGTCCATTTCCGGTTCAGTCTTGGCTTTTTTGCCATTCAGCAACGTCGGTGGTGATGGACGGCGTTTGTTGCTCAGCTGGATTAGGAAATAGTTGTAGGTACTTTGGTATTATCGGGGTGGGCGGGGGGGGCGGCAACCGTTTTCCGTAGGACTCCATTTTTCTAATATAAACAGAGTAAGCGTTTCTATACCCTTCTTTTACTGCTCCGAAACGTAAAAACTTTACAAATTTTTGTTAAAAAATACAAAACTATTGTTTTCGAACAAAATGTCAGTCTTGGTAGATAGTTTATTTTGCTTAAAATATCCTTACTTTTTACTACAAATACCATTAAACCATTTATTTTTCAGTAATAGGGACTTTCTTTCACAAAAAAAATTGTCCCCGATGTGGTTTTTAGATGAAGGATTTTTTTAGAGTTTAGAGTTAACGGAGTTTTTTAGGTTTAGAACGCCTAGTAGATTTTTCGACGCTCTATCGCATACGGTAATTGAAAACGATAGGAGTATTATTTGTCCCAAATTCATCCAAAAGCCCTTACCACTCGAATTTGATGCACGGCGGCCAAATGCTTGCCGAATGCCGATGTGCCGTGGGCCCGCAGAAATTTTGCGCCACAATATCGGCACTCGAATTTGAGGTCATCATTGTGCAGATTGTGCCTCCACACATCGGAAGTGCTAAACAAATGATGGCTGAAATCGGTTAGTCGACTCACTACCGCCGGACGCCTTCTTCGCCGGTGGGCGACCGTGGTGTGATGTTGATTTCGCCTTCAGGGGGCTGTTTTGAGCTCGAAATGCTCATCTGCCTGTAATGAAACTTGGTTCAGAATAGTTACAGATTAACTGCCGAATGGAATTGGCACCGAATATGAAGGGTATTTCGAATGATCGGAGGCTAGGAGAATAATTGAAAATATGGCTCTGGGTCGTTATCGGGGGATTAATTTGTTTTTTTGTTGTATTGTTCGCTCTTTTACGCAATAGAATAGAAACTATAGCAAAGCCATTAGCGCGTAGTTTATAAAATTGTAAAGCATTAAAGTTTTCTTTTTCTAGTTTGATCCTTTTTTCTGTCTCGTTTTTTACTTCAGCAAATTTCAGCGGTTCCAAGCGAAATACAGTATATAGTTGATCTTATAATTGAATAGAAGCATCAAAATCAAAGAAATGTAAGTGTTTTAGTCAACACCAGTCGCTGTGCTAGAGCGGGTACCCGGTAGGACACGGGTAAATTTCGACAAAGCGCTTCGCTAAATATTCCGCGGGGTAAAAGCCGGTTTAGCCATTAGCAAATACTTAGAAAATTGCAAGAGAGCTTTTATAATTATTCGGTGGGAAATAACAGGCAGACTAGTGGCATCGCCGAGATCTGGGTATGTATTCGGGGGAGGCTGCGAGGGAACGAGGAGAGACCGGGGTGGCTACATTCGATCAATACCCGGCGCTTTCCAGCCGGAGTCAGCGTCCCGATGCTGGTCTCTCCGCTTCCCGCACCTTCCCTCGTTATCTGCATTCTCATTTCATACTTCCAATGATGCGAATGCTGTTAAAAAGATGGTTCTTTCGCATTCTTCGCATCGATTTTTCTAAAATTTTTATTTTGTAGCTACGTTCCTTTATCAAGCTAGTTCTTGATAAATCAAATAACGGTTTCTTTTCCACGTTACACACCCCAGTATAATCACCGGGAATCCGTATCAAACAGTTTGCCGCCCGCCAGCGCGCCCGGGTTCAATGCGCCGGAAAATTGGCGTGTTTTTGCAACGGGTTGGTGGCCATGGCTGGGGGGGGCGACCCTGGCCGTCCCATAACCACCCAGGGGGTGGCCCACGCGTCACCTTTGAGGGGCCAAACGACCGTTTCTGGCCCTTATTTTGACATCCACGGATCGCAGTCGCCCCGAAAAAAGTCATATTCAAAGCCGGGGGCGAAAAATAAATTGTAGGGTAAACTGCGATAGGGTGTAGCAAGTCTCAGGTCAGGAATCAGAGGGCAAGCCAGCAGAGATCCATTGAGAATCCGTTGGCAAACCAACAGGAATTCCCTGCGAATCCGTTGGCAAACAAGCGGAGTATCCTTGAGAATCGTGATCAGCAAACAAGGGGAAAATTCAGCGTGACAAGGATAAGATGTGACAATGCAATGCGTATGCCGCTATCTTTATTCCAGGAATACAAAAAAAGCAAAAATTGCGGGAAAAATTTACAAAAAACACAAAATTTGCTCAGGTCGCGGCGGGGATGTTGTTTAGGCGGCGGCCTTCTCCAGCTCGATCAGCTTCTTGACGCCGTCGTACATTTGGCGGACAGCCTCGTACCTGGAAATGGTGATTTTAGCAGGTGTATATTATTTAGATAGTTAGAAATCTCGAAAAACGTACTCGGTGAGGCCGAGGCGCTGCTTGTTGGAGATGTCGTAGGTGCCGGCCTCGCTCTCGGAGTGCTCGCCGTGGATACCGCGGATTTGGAGCTTCATCTCCTTGCACACCTTCTCGAACTCCTCCTTATTGGCCGAGATCTTGGGCAGCTTGATGTGGACGGAGGCGCGGACGGTGGTGCCCAAGTTGGTCGGGCAGAAGGTCAGCCAGCCGAGGCGGGGATGACGCGCGAACGGGGCCTTCTCGGCGATCAGCTGGAAATGGAGATTAGATGACGACAGGCAATTCCAGCTAGAAAAAGCTCAAAACAAACCTTCAATCCCTTGATGAGACGTTCGAGCACTTGTCCAACATGTCCGCCCGGCTGCATGGAGATGATGCGAAGATGGTCCTCCTCATTCACCCACACCAAGAACGACTTCTTCTCGTTGTGGAAGATGCCGCGCCCGGTGGGCCAGAAGCGGTTGGCATTGGCGGCCGACAGGAACCGATCACCCTCCTTGAAGAGGAAGTGGTCGGCGATCAGCTTGTCCTGGACATCCTTGCCCATTCCGGTCAGCGGGTAGTAGGTGCCCTTCAGGTCCGGGTCGGCCAGTCCCTCCAGGATGCCCTTCATGCGCGTCTCCATGTTCTTGTAGTTGAGCTCGGTGAGGCAGGGGTTGAACGGGTAGCCGACGAGGGAACGACCGCAGCGGACACGGGTCGAGACGATGAACTTGTTCTCCGGGTCGAGGTCGGCCAGGTCCTGGAAAACAAAGGGTACTGGACTGTTAGCAGGGGGGGGGTTCTAGTAAAATCATACGGAAATACTAAAATGTGACTATTTTTGAAGTGGCAAAACTACTAGTTTAAAAATTTGAAACTTTGAAGTAATAATCGAAAACTACTAATAACGATAAAAATAAGCTAATTTAACAGATCCCTCCCTGGAATTACAAGCGGCAAAAACAGCGCCGCTCTCGCTAATACCAAGTACCAAGTTCAAAAACCACTCAAAACTTAAAAATTCCTTACAGCAATGTTCTTCTCGCCAAGATCCATATCCGGCTGCTTGTCGGTGGCTTTAAAGCCATTGTGGTACTCCTCGATGATGGGGTTGAACAGGTCGGCGAACAGGGTGTACGCCTCCGCGTCGGGGGCGTAGACGCCCACTCCAGAGTCGAGGTTCTCCACGCCGGACTGGACGCAGTCGAGCAGTGTCGCGCCGAGCTTCGTCTTCTTCCACTGAAAAAGAAACGAGATATTTCAGCCAGGAGATGAACAGGCTGACCTTGTTGCTGCTGAGGACGGTCTTGGTGAAGTGCTTCTTGAGGAGCGACTTGCAGTCGGCGGCGCCTTGGAGCTTGGCGAAGCCCTCGTCGAGCTTCTTGACGACATCCTGTGAGACTTGAGCCATGGTTGATGACGGTGTCTACTGAAGAGCAGAAGTGATAGTTGTTACCGGTTTTTGGCTGGGTTTTATAGTCGGAAACGTATGGAAAAGCCGATGTAAAGTGTGGAAAGGTAGGGTAATTACCGGGGAAGATATTCAGCGGTATTAGATGGAAATTCCGGGAGTTTTAGCGTGTAGGAAAGAAAATTAGCCATGAGGATCTAGAGTTAGTTTTTTTATTATTAAACTATTTTTTTAAATACTTTTCACTTATTTATTTCGTACATTACGGTTATTAAAGGCGTAAAAGTAAAAAATTAAAGTTAATGAACCATTTTTCTAACTACAAATTAGTTACAATATACCTATTAAAATGTATTACAATATACCTATTAAAAGCAGTATACCTCTATTAAAATTTTTAAAAGCTTTTTTATTGCCTTGCATTCATGCAAAGCCATATGGCTCTTAGATTCGTAGGCTTAAAAACGTTCAAAAAGATAAAAACCTTTTAAAGTCAAGCTTTAAGGATTTTTTCTGGCATTTAGAAATTTATTAAAGTTTTAAATGCATTTAAATGGATGTATTTTCAACAGTTGGCAATGGCTGTCGCGCTTCCTTTAAAGTACGAAATACGCCAGTTTGCGGTTTAATGAGATGGTCAAAGCTTAAAATATTAAAAAATGCTGTATTCGCCGATTGCACAAGCTCCCTCCCCCCCCCCAAAAAAAAACGCGTGTGAGGGTGGAGGGTTGAGATGAGAGATGTCGTGTCTGCATCCGAATCGTGTTGCCCTCTCGATTCGGGCCAAATTGGGCCGTTTCCGCCACTTGCTTTGCGCAGTCGGCTGCGGTCCACGGCTTCTCACTCCAGCCACCCGGCTTTTCCCTTGCCCACCCCCAAATCTCGGGCCCATTGTGCGACTTTCGGGTTGAAAACGTCGCAAAATGCTTGGGGCCACCCGGGCAATGATTGCAGCCAGCTTGCTGTTGTTTTCCGCTTTCCATTTGTCACCCCGGGGCCAAAGTCTCGATTTTTCAGACGATGACGGCCACCCTAGCAATGTTCATTTTCCTATCATGGACGATGAACGGGTTGGCGGCGATGCTGTGCTTCAACTGCGCGACGAACACAACCGGCCAGCTGATGTGAGCAACATCTTTTTGCTATAACACTTTTTTCTAGTTGTAAGGAGCACTGTGACGGCGAGAAATGCGTGGTGTGGAAATACCGGACGCGCGATGGCCTTCAAGTTCGGCAGGTAAAGCCGAGCAATTTTCTCTGAAACCCCCTTTTTCTTGAGTTCCATTCACTATGCCGAATTTTGCTATGCCGATTGACGCTGTGCCGATTTCCGCTATGCCGAATTTTCGCTATACCGAATTTTCACTATACCGAATTTTCACTATACCGAATTTCACTATGCCGAATTTTTGGTATACCGAATTTTCACCATGCCGATTTTCACGATACCGAATTTTCACCATGCCGAATCCTCGCCATACCAATTTTGATAAGCGGTATGTTCCCCATTCTTTTACTATTTTTCCAAATATCATGGGCCTAGAAAGTTAGTTAGCCTAGAAATTTCCAAAAACTCGGGCTGATCGTAGGTGTAGGCATTTGCACCGCAAAGTCCCAGTCGATCGTAGTTATTAACATTAGTAGAGACTATTGGTCGTAGAGTAGCAAAAATTCGGCATAGCGAAATTCGGTATAGCGAAAATTCGGTATAGTGAAAATTCGGTATAGCGATATTCGGCATAGCGAAAATTCGGCATAGTGAAAATTCGGCATAGTGAAAATTCGGCATAGTGAAATTCGGCATAGCGAAAATTCGGCATGCCAATAATCGGCATACTGTAAGTCGGCACAGCGAAAATCGGCACAGCAAGTATTTACCCTTTTTCTTTAGGGTTGCTTGGTAAATTCGCCGTTACTAATCGGATGCCGTCGGAACCAAGTGGGGGCCCAGCTCTGTATCTGTGAGTAAGTTATCAGAAAGCAGGAAAGGATACAACATATTTTCGATTTTTTTCAGCACCAATTTAGTGACGGTGACCTGTGCAATCGAGTAGAACGAGCTGAAAACACGCTGCAACCGCTTCCGATCCGGTTTCTGCCCTCGGTAAGGCAAAAAGCTTTACTAAATGAAAACTATAGTATTAAATAAAAAACTACTATTCGACTAGTACTAAAAACATGATAAAGCTAAAAGATGTTTCATCAACTGAATGAAACACATTTTCAGGTATCATGCGAAGGTCGTCTCAGCGAACTAGACACGCCTCACGCAGCCAGAATGCACTTTTGCCGCTCCAACTACTGCCATTACACAGCTTCCACGGTATCTTCAACTTCCCGAAAAAACCGTCTCATTTCCGACCGATTTTGGCTCGGGCACCGCCGACACTGTAGTCAGCAGAGGTTGCGCCGAGCGCCCAGAGTACGATTTTGACCTGAGAACGAATGGGTAGGAAAGGCTTCCTCTTTGTGAAAAGCTTTTTCTTCTAGTCCTCTGGACTTTCCGGGACTCTATCCAAATGCCGTCTACAGAATCACCGCGGTGCCGAACACGCATGTGCTGGCGCTGACCTGCTCAACGGTACTTCAAATTATTTTTCCCTCATCATTTGTATCCTATCTGGTTTCAAAATCCATGATTATTAATTGTATCCTATTAATTATCTTTTTAAGAACAACTGCACAAGCCGGCGGCTTCCCGAGCTGCGCGACGGGCCGACACAGTAGGACGGCTGCCAAAAAAAATTAAATTTTACCCTCTATTTCAGATGCTACGTTTTTGCGGCCAGGGAGACGATCTCGATAGATGAATCGAAAGTGGGCCCGCAACACTTTTGCTACGGTCACTTCTGCTTTATCCAGGCGAGTAGTAGCCACGTTTTTTTCTTTCAACGCAGCCGAATTTAAATTTTCTTTCAGAGAGTCGGCAGTAAAGTCTCAAAGGGCTGTCTATCGCTAAACGAAGAGAGTGCCCGCGACGCGACAGTGGTGAGTGACACGACACCCTGCATTAATATTTCCCATAGCCGGGCTATCGACGCATACTCGAAGCGGAACAGTGGCTGTGCCGTTCGCATCTGTGTAACTGGGATCTCGAACGGGTCGACCGCTCTTGGAATCCACCCACCACCCCTCTTCTAACATCTCATCATTCAAGTGCCTTCCATTTTCACTTTTCGACCACCCTAACTTTTGTTTGCATATTTCTCGTGGTGCAACGATAAAACGTACTTCATATCATCGTTTATCGGTGCTTACTTTCTCATCAATGACTCGCGGTATAACCATTTCTCTTATATCGCCTCGGTCGACAAATGCGTAGCCGTTTGCCTTGTCAGCCATGACGACAATCTGAAATTAGATGGGCTTTCGGGCGCTCAAACCAAAAAAAAACCTTGGCCATATCCTCCTTTTTCCGCACGTCAAGTGTTGCAAATGAAACCAAATCGTAATCGTTGACGATTTGGCAAATGGCTTCGCTGAGCTTCTGATATTTCTGAAGTTCCGGGATATCCTAAACAACAGTAGAAGAAATAGTGACCGAATTTCTTACGTTTAACATCTCCAACAAGCGACTGATATCCGGCAATTGTGTAAAATACTCTATATCAAAGGGTATGTCATCAGGGAGCAAATCAGCCTTTGAGAGGACGTTCACCTGAAAACGTTGTATAAATACAAGGGGATACAATACCTGTGGCATCTCCAATTGAATCATCACGGACAACGTACTCATCACAACGGAAATGAACTTGGCCGCATCGGTACAGTAAGTCGAGTCGGATAGATGAAGAGCACAGAGTTGCACGCCGCTCTTTTGCAATGATTGGATCATCTAGACATCTCAGTTTTAGGAGATTTATCAGCATACCGAGCAAAAGTCGCCGTCGCTCTTGTAGATTTCTAACTGGCCCGGACAATCAATGATCGCGTATCGATCCCGTGTCGAAGTCAAGATATCCAACAGCCAATCCTTATTTGCCGACAACGTTGCGATGCAGTATCTAAGAAAGGTTTTCTTTTTTATAAGCTTGACATATTTTGAAAACAAGGATAATAAAGTTACCTCAAAGCACCGTTTGGGCCAAGCTGCAACCTGTCCATGACCTCTTCCACAGTTATCAGTTCCCGTATGTCATGATGCACATCATAGGGTGTAATATCATTCGCTGGATCGAGGTTGATGCTAACGTAGTCTCGCTTCAGCTGTGCAAAAACATCAGCCAGTCCGGCACAAAACGTGGACTTTCCGGCACCGGGTGCACCGATTACCAACACTCCATACATTGCCTAAAGCCAGATGAGCATCACTCAATGCCAGGACCGGCAGGCAACCAATCGGTTTATACGTGTCTTTGTTGCAACGCGAAACCACAGAGAAGCCCGTTTATCAATGTACAAATGTTATATGATATGAATGATCAAAAAGTGAGCAAAGACCCGTTATCACAAGCAGAAGCCAGAAGTACAGTTAAATAGTAGTACAATTATACAAAGGGTGGCTATTTCAAGTCAGATCCCTCGAAATACGTGGGCTTCTCAATATTCGCGTATTCTTCAATTACTTCTTGGACTGCTTCGGCAGCGCTATCCATGTCCTCGAGGGTGAAGCCTTCAGCCTTCTTGTAAGGCTCCAGGTAGGATCCCATCTTGCGCATTCGGGTGAACTCGGCGAGTGTGTGGGAAAGCAAGTTGACGGCACTTGTATGATTGGCTAGCATCATACCGGATACCTCAAAGTTGTGATATATTAAAAACAATAAAATCGATTCACATTGACTGTCGAGTTCACAAATGGTGAGCTAGGGGCCCGGCAGATGTGCATCGGGTTGTATTCCATCCACGCCGGCCTAGCGGTTTCGTCGCGCATCATCGTTTGGACCTATAGAATGTATAACCTCGCCAAATATTTTCGCTAATACCTGGGTGGTGGCATTAAAATATTCTTGATTATTTAGTCGTCCTTGCATTATGGCTAGCCCGGAGAGGAGCACACCGGGCTTTGGATTGCGCATCTTTTCAGCGCGCGAGATCTTGAAAAAAAGATCACCAATCGAAAAAAGCAAATCACCATCAAGTTAACGGGCCTCAATAATTGGCGCATCACACCGGCAACATGGGTTGCCCCGTTGAAATCCAGGGCATCTCGTGGGTCGATAACCGGATAAAGAGCTATAAAAAACCAGAGGTGCATTATTTCACAAAATTCTCACAAGTCTGTAGGAATCTGAGCGGCGAAAAGGGCACAAGCGTGGCCAGTAGGGAGCTCATTCGCGTGAATAGAGGCGCTGGGAATCGAATTGTGGCCGTCGACATGGACATGATTTTTGACACCTGAAAAATAAATACCGGCTAGTGGATAGTAATTACCAAGTAATTAATATGCTCGAAGCGATTGGCGTTGATTGATTTGATGTGGTTTCCGGCGACGTGGTGCAGCGCGGTGTTGTCCAAGATGACGACTGCATCCGCTTCTTGAATTAGCCGCGACAACGTCAAAACAGAGTTGTACGGGCTGACGACAACATCGCTGGAGCCGCTCGTTTGATTCGCAAACACGGAATACGTCTGGATCACTTTCTTTGGGTACCTAAACCAATACAGTAAGGAATATGAGGCTTACTCTTCACGGACACGCTCCAGGAAAAAGGATCCCAGACCAGAGCCGGTACCTCCGGAAACCGAGTGTGTTAACATAAAGCTGAAAAAAGAAAATGTATTTAGGGGAATCACAAAGTACCCCTCCAAATCGTCTGCTCGCTCAACTTCGGCGCGTACAATTTCCATGACATCCTCCATAACTTGCTGCCCTTGGAAATAGCCGCTCGCCCAGTTATTACCGGCACCGCCACCATGTTCGCTCATATATGAGCTCGACCTAAAACAGGATATCTCCCTCCAAAGATGACCAACTTTTTGAAAAATTCTGAATAATCGCCTTGGAAAATCGTGTTTATCACACGCGGCTCAAGATCCACCATGACAGCGCGGGGTATGTACCTATTGTGGTCTCCCTGAAAGAAATGTCAAGTCGAGAGGAAAATGGCAAACCTCGCTAAAGAAGACACCAAGACTGTCGTTACGTTCGCGGCCATTTGGCATCTTTTGCGCTACGCCGTTGAGCCCGATGCCATGTTCTTGGGATAAGGTCCTCCAGAAGTCGAAGCCGATTTGATTTCCACATTGCCCAAAATGCAGTCCTATCAGCGAGGACATCTAAAAAAGCCGGATGATTAAGGTACGAGAAAATGAAATATCTCGAAACACAATTTTCGACGACAATTAGTTTCAAAAATCTATGTATCCACACTAAGAAATATAAGCGAATGTATCGAAATGCTGCCAGCCGCTCGGATTTGAAAAATTCGCCATGACCAGAGCACACCTATGCACACAAAATATTGTGGCCGCCCTTCTCCTAATTATTCCGTGAGAATCCTCAAGACGTCCCGGCGAACAGGGATCCAACTGGAACGTTTTTCGCTCTGTTTTTCCCATTTTGACCATTTCCTTACTTTCGAACTTATTCTCTACCTTACCACCGCGCGTCCATGTCTTCTACCCCCCCGCATATTCCTCGTAGAAAATATTTATTAGACGACGGAACACAGGCATTTAGAAATACGTGTGCCAAGAAGAGGGGTTACAAAAATGTGTTCGTCGTTCTGGGGCATGTTGGGCTTCGCATGGCTGTGGGCTGCTCGGTGCTCATCGTCTGGTGCTGGACTAGTCACGATCGGAAGATTCGGACTCGAGCGATTTGTCAGTCTTGTTCTTCATGTGCTGCTTCACCTGAAACCCCATGGTGTTAGCGCAATGATAACAAGACCTGTGCAACGTATTCCTCGGCGGTCAGTTTCTTCTTTGGAGCAGAAGGCGTGGCGGATGATGTCACGATGGCAGTTACACTAGCCTGTGTCGGCATCACAGAAGAGTTGTTCCTCTGAGGCATTTGCTTTCGTTTCCAACAACCTACCACAAGCACGCTTGGCCCGCTGCTCTTCTCGCTATCCAAAACGGCTTGCTTAGCCATCTTCTTCCTAAATATGCCTGACTTGGTGTTTCTATATTTCTAGACTACTTTTTCCACATGAAGAGCCCGCCAATTGCGAAGCCAATGACGATAGCACAGAGGACCAGAATGCTCAGGATACCGGCGTAGACAACGTTCGATCCAGAACCTTTCTTGCCGTCCGCTTGTTCGATCGCGTCATACTCATTGGCGAAGAACGGGTTGGGGCCCTTAGCGAAAGCCAATTTCTAGGGGGTTTTTTTCATACTGCGCCGTTTTTGAAAATAGGACGGGGGTTGCACGGCTGCTTTCGCTTCAACTTGGGGTTCAACGATTCTTCTTTTGAACACCATGGGAGGCAGGTTGACAACTATAAACGTGGAAAATTCCTTGCTCTACATACCACGTAGAATGGGTCGTAGTCCAGGTGGTCTTTCGGGATATCCTTGTCAAACAGATGGGTAAGGCTCTGGTTTTTATGCTTCTCATCTCGGCACGTGGGGATCCTGCGGCAACCCACCCCGCTGAAAAAATTGTTTAGTTTAGGTCAGCCCAAGATTACTCGTTTTTCTCTGGTGTGCACAATTTCTCGCAGTAAGTCTTGTTGACGACAATGAAATGCGTGGCATCGCCCTCGAAGTGTGGGTAGAGGTAAGCCCTAGGATAATCGTTTAGAGATGATCAGCAACTACTTTCGGTCTACAACCCCATCGGAGTCGCAAAGCGGTGGCAGTTCGCACGCTTCGGCCTTGGCGGGATCCTCAATGTATAGGTCGCACCACTATAATGCAGCTTGGTACAAGGGCTGATAACCTACATTTATAGTGAAGGTCCAGGTCTTTGCATCGGGGATAGGAGGATGACAGACAGGAGCCAAACTAGAAGTAATTTCGGCCGTCTTTTGGGGTAAAATTACGGCTTGGTAGGATCCACTCCTTTACTTCCCCATACGATCCGATTGCGCTTTTGGCAAGGGAAGGCGGCGCAGGTCATAAGATTTCCTTGGAACGGGGCTCCATCCCAGTTGAAGTTCGCTAGAGGGCAGCCATCGTTTACGGATGAACCCGGCGGAATAATGTTTGGGTAGCCCCTAAATATAACTTCACTGGTGAACCGCCGGTGCTACTGTGAGTTTGGCGGGTATCCAAGGCATTCTACAACGGGTTCTTCTTTCCCTGCATTCGGCGTCTTCACCTGGTCGTTTGCTAAATGATCGAAAGTACGAAGCGAGTACGTCAATACTACCTTGGTCCAACACTTGACGCGTGACCACCCGGCTATGGTCGCAGTAGTCTGAGGCCAATATTTCTTCTGGCTTCACACATTTCTCATCCGGCTTTGGCAGAAGACAGACGACCGGGAACTAGAATGCTTGCCTGACTAGGCTGAAGTGACCGACCGGCTTGTTATCAGCCGCTTCCACAGCTAGGCGACTCATTAGGGCGAAGATCAGCAAACGGTAGTAAACCATCTTTGCCGACTGCATGCGACGGGATGGTGGTGTTTGGGTTGCTCATGATTTTACTGGATTTCCATTTCTATTTTTTATTCAGTTACTGGTTCATTCAAATTATTTTACTCTCGTCTTTTGAATCGCGGAAGCTAATCTCATCTTTTAATTTTGTAAAATAGGCTAATTATTATTGGTGACTGATCTTTCACTTAATATCGCGTTTTGCAATTATTTAGACAAAACCATCTTTATTCTTTCTCATGGGAGCTTATCTCATTTGGGGCGCTGGGGCACCTCTCTGATCTAGCTTTCAATCGATTTTCCGTGTTCATATTCTTTTTCGTTCCCCATCTGATATACCAATATTTTTAGATGTCAGAGCACGCTGGAAAAGTCATCACCTGTAAGGCTGCCGTGGCCTGGGAGGCGAAGAAGCCGCTGTCTATTGAGACGATCGAGGTAAGCCGTACCTTTCCTCCTGGAATCATTTTTCTTCAGGTTGCGCCACCGAAAGCGCATGAAGTCCGCATCAAAGTCCTCTTCAATGCCGTTTGCCACACCGACTCGTACACCCTGGATGGACACGACCCCGAGGGACTGTTCCCCTCGATCCTCGGACACGAAGGCGCCGGAATCGTGGAAAGCGTTGGAGAGGGCGTGACGGACTTCCAGCCTGGAGACCATGTGATCCCGCTCTACGTCCCGCAGTGCAAGGAGTGCAAATTCTGCAAGAACCCGAAGACCAACTTATGCCAGAAAATTCGCATCAGCCAGGGCAACGGCGTCATGCCAGATGGAACTTCTCGCTTCACGTGCAAGGGCAAGCAGCTCTTCCACTTTATGGGCACTAGCACCTTCAGCGAATACACTGTCGTCGCCGATATTTCGCTGGCCAAGATTGACAAAAATGCGCCGCTCGACAAGGTACCCCAATTTTTTTGACCTGTTGACCTCAAAGTACCCTAAAACATCTTTTTTTTCCAGGTTTGCCTGCTCGGCTGTGGAATTTCTACCGGCTACGGTGCGGTCTTGAACACGTGCAAGGTCGAAAGTGGATCTACCGTCGCCGTTTGGGGACTCGGTGCTGTCGGACTGGCCGTGATTATGGGAGCTCGCACGGTTGGCGCAAGACGGATCGTCGCAATCGACACGAATACCGGAAAATTCGACGCTGCCAAGAAGTTCGGCGCCACGGACTGCGTCAACCCCAAAGATTGCCCGGAAGGAAAGAGCTTCCAGTCGTGGCTAGTGGAAGAATTTGACGGAGGATTCGACTACACCTTCGAATGCATTGGAAATATCAATACGATGCGCCAAGCCCTGGAAGCCGCTCACAAGGGCTGGGGAGTTTCGTGTGTTATCGGAGTCGCTGCTTCGGGCCAAGAAATTGCTACACGCCCGTTCCAGGTAGATTTTATTTATTTTCTCGTTAATCCATTCGTATTTTCCAGCTCGTCACTGGCCGCACGTGGAAAGGATCGGCATTTGGTGGCTGGAAGTCGGTGGAATCGGTCCCGAAGCTTGTGCTGGACTATATGGGCAAGAAAATCGAACTCGACGCCTTCGTCACCCACACCTATCCACTCGAGAAAGTAAATGACGCCTTTGACGCGATGCACAAGGGAGAATCGCTGCGAGCCGTCATCACGATCCAATAGTCTAGATTTTATGTGTTTCCTTCTATTGTAATTTTGCTCATCAACTTTTATTGATAATGCTAGTGTTATTCGTGTAATAGTCTTTTGTGATTTTTAAACTTCGGGTTTTCCTCACTTTGCCAATGTTGCCTGTATATTAATAAAAAATAATTCCAGGTATTGAGGATGCTATTGTGGTTGCTGCTGTCAATCTGCAGCACCCACGCCCTCGCTAGCTCGGTCAATCGGTGCTACCCAGGGGTCTTTCCGCCAAAGGGGACCGCAATGAAACTCGATCGTGGCTTGCTACTTTCCGCTCCCTATACGGTAGATATATCGTCTTTCTTTCAAATATGATTTTTCCAGGTCGACATCTTGGTCACCGACTGGATCAACAACCGCATCAACTATTATACGGAAGGCGCCGGGAAAGGGGGCATTTTTGCCAAAACACAGGTGAGGTGTTCCTCCTCACTTTTACGGTTTTTAGGATGACAAGGGCTACATCATCTATTCTACACTGGGGTCCATGAATCTTACCTTCAATTCTACAAGTGCGAATGTTTCTTAAAACTGATTTTTTTTAGCGGGAGAGTGCCGGGCAAATTCCACGGGCTTTCTGCAGGCGATCTATCATTTCCCCGATGCCCTGCGCGAGTACTTCGGCGAGAGGGCTGAGTATGCGGACGAGTTATTGCTGTCTCTAGTTGATTTGAGCGAAAAGAATCCGGCTTATGCTGTAAATTGCCAGAAATATTTACATTTTCGCTTTTATATTTAGATGGGAGAACAAATCGTGTCCGGAGTGCTCGGCGTTGAATGGTTAATGTGCGGGAATAAGGAAGGCACTACGAGCACTTTCCAGGTTTTCTTGCATTGTCTACCAATTTTTGGTTTAGATCAGCGTTGTGGCCGCGGGGAAAAACTCTATTTCTCCTTTTTCCGGAAAGACGAACCCATCACCGTTGTCGATCACTATTACGCACTATGCTAATGGCACTGGTTTGTATATGTCGATTCTTTCCATTTCCCTAGATGCAAATTCGACATCTGACTTTGATGTAACGTTCACCTTCACTTCTTACGGGTCTTTTGATCCGGAAAACGCTCAATTCAAGGTACAATTTTGCGTTTCGGTGCTTATCTTTTCTTTAGCTCCCCAGAGGTACTTTCTGCCCGGATCTTCCGCAAGTAAAACCTCCGCTCGAGAAGGCGCTCCCCGAAAAATTCTCCGCCGTCGTGCAATTGTCGCAGGATATGAAGACGTGGTCTGCGCCAAAGGTTTTTCGCCGCCTAGTAAAATAACGCATGCAATCCAGTTGCTCTATGCTAGTCCTTACGTCGCAGTGGCTTCCCAGACGAATGGGAAGATTCCTCTATTTAACCAAGATCTTCCAGCGCAGACCATTGCCGTTACTCACGATTATTCGACAGGTTGATGTCTTTCGAATATGGACAATCGTTTTTCAGGGTACGAATACCTGTTCGCCGCGAACGGCGGCTGCCTGGAGGTGCAGCCGATCGACGGCAAAGCCCCTGACCTTGCCGGCCAAACACTTGGGGCTGCCATTAACCTTTTTGTTCCAACAAAAGTCTCCAACTGGTCCGCATATGAGGATGTGAGTTTGGTTCCCAATTGTATAGCATACGAAACTATGGTAAAATCAGTGGCAACGCTCGCCGATGCTTCGCACATCTCTATATTGTAGGTCAAAGTGGCGGAGGGCACTCTGTCAGTTTATCGTGGTGTTTTCGACAACGATAAGACCTGCGAAGTCCGTCTTCTGAATAATGCCACGCTTTATGACGTAACGCACTTCCAAAAGGTGAGACATTCATGGTTTCATAATCAGAAAATTTCTAGGATGGGGCTACCTCGAAGCCGGACTCTTACTATCGTCCGCTCGTCGATCAATCCTTGAACCTGCAACCGTTTGGTCGAATTGAGAACTGCTTTCCACGACGCGATAATACCACCTTCGCTGTCACTTTTGCTGAACGTAAGTTTTATATCCGTTTGGCCTCATTTCCACTACGAATTTCGTTTCGAAAATGAATTTCAGGTAAATTTTCAACGGTGAATGCCGAATTCGTGGCCCTCGAAACAGCGCTGAAAGCACAGATCCAACAACTAAAGCCAATTTCCGCTGGACGGATCTCCATTGCATTTGTAAGGAATAGGTTTTTCTGCTGCTTAAATTTTTTCTAGGTTCCTTCCGCCCATGATGATCTAGTGGCGCTCATCGCGTTGGCTGATGCGCGGACCGACCCTGCTGCCCCGGTCAGCTCAAAGATTGCGGTAAGTGAAATTTGGCATGCTGATATTTTACTTTAGGAGACCTCTGTTCCTGATTTCATTACCGTCTTGAACGCCACCATCGCAGGCGACAATTGGACTGTCAAGGTTTTGGACGCGAAGAATGTGACACAGGTAAAGTCTTGCTCAAAAATTTTACTGATCTCCATTTTCAGGACTTTGTTGTGCGGAAGCAATCGTTCACTGCCTACCCGGATGTCTCGAACAAAGCCGACTTTGTCGGTTTCAGCGGAGGCTCAATGTAAGGCTTTCTCCTCGCGTCGTATATCCAGCTTTAGGACCGTGCTGGCAATTTCGATGTTCCTGATCGGCGTGGCGATCGGCGCAGTCGGCGTCTGCTGGCGCACCAATCGTGCCGGAATCCAACAAATCGCCTACCAAGTATTTGAATAGCTGCTTCACTACTGTTTCTCCTGACCGCCCACTTTTTGCGATTTTGGTGCCAATCGAATCCTACTTCTCCCTTCTCCAAGTGCTATTCACCCAATGCCAGTATTTTCTTTCTTTCCCATCCCCCCACAATGGTACGATTGTTGCTGTGACTGTCCCTCCCCTTTTTTATCTTCCCACTGTGCAACTTCTCAATCTTGTGATACGTTGTCTGGAAACGCGTGTATATTCCTGAATTTAGTTTTTCATTGTATTACCGATTGTGGCATAATTTATTGTGATACTCCTTCCGCAAATGTGCATACACCGATGATAAATCATAACTAGTGATTGATTTGATTACTGGAATGGAAGTTTAACTTAATGATACCAATCGTATTGCATTTGTGGCGCGTCTTGATTACAAACAAGCACTTTAGGATGGGAAACCCGGCAAGGGCTGCCTCATCGGCCACAGAACGTGCCCTGAAGATCGTGGAGAGGTCGTCACGAGTGCGCCTGCAAGATCTAAGGGACAACCTTGGCGCTCGCACTGAGGGGCGCCAGCAGACGAATGTTCATAACCAGGTTTGCAATTTTTTGGTTTTTAAGACTTTTTCAGCATGGTCACACAATCGGGCAACTACAACACGCAGCGAAGCCGCCATTAGGATGGATTTGGGGCGACTTCTTCAGACCATGGCAGCGAATGTTCCCAGGAACAAAAAACTTCAACGCAGATATCAAGTGAGGCTTTGCCGTGTGCTTTTATTTGGCTGTCAAATGAACAAAAAGAATCTTGCTGTTTTCACGCAATTTTGTGAGGTTGTTAAGCCGGAATCTAAGTTTTGACCCCAGCTCAGTCTTGACAGGCGCGGGCGGTCTATCAAATGGATGAGAGAACAGATGTCAGCCACCTTACCTTCCCCTTGCCAATCCCATAAAGCCCCCAATTCTCGTTCTGTCGGTCTTCGCCTTTGCTGCAAGCCCAGATGCTTTTCACGCGTTGCTGACGCTAGTTGACCGCGTTGTGAATTAGGCTTAACCTAAAGCATAGTCCCCGGTGTATGGGGCCGGCGTGTAAAATCAGTTGTAAGGTCTCCTCTCCCAGACAGCTGTCCCGCGCGGCCCCTCAATGTTGTCAAGTTGGCCCCACACATGTCAACACACTGGGTTTGAAAGTGATCGCTTGGATGCGCAGCTCTGGATCGTTGAAACCAAAGCTGCCCAGAAAATGAGCTCAAAGTTCAGTGTATCATTCCATGTTTCAGTTTCCGACGAGAATACATCCCGTTGTCTTTGATCGAATTGGCACGGCTGATCGACCTGGGTTGGATTGACGCTAAAAAGGTATATTTCGCAAGTAATTTTAATCATTGTCAAGCACCTTGCCGAAGATGACTTGCGCGGAAATATTTTTTCGGATTTCAGACAAATGATTTTCGCACAGCTAATCGCCTAGTAATTCCAACCATCTTTTTTTAGCCAATCGACGTTGTGGCTCTTTGTGCGACACGCAAGTTCAAGATCGAGCCCCACCTACGACAATGTGGCTTCGACTTGACCCCAGAGGGAGCTGACGCCTGGAAGTACCCCGTCGATATCGAAGTCCAATGGGCTAGCCAGAGAGCAATTGCCGCTGTCGAAGCCGCGGGTGGCCGCATCAGAACGGCCTATTACGATCCGCAGAGCTTGGAGGCAGCAAAGGATGCAAAGTCTTGGTAATGATCGTACTTCTCACCCGATCTCTGTTTAGGTTCCAATCAGGACGTCCCGTACCGCGAAGGACTGCACCACCACCGTCGCTCGTTGCCTATTACACGGACCCAATTAACAGAGGGTACTTGGCAAAGGTGACACTATTTTCTACATCTGAAATTGGGGAAACGCAGTATTCCGGAACTATAAGCATCCTAAAACTTACAATATATATAATCGCTATAATCAGTATTTTTCAGGAATCTGACCTGACCGAAGCCATCAAGCGACTATCTCTGACTATGGGCCACCCAGCTCCAGTTTCGAATTTCGAATCGAAAGCACCGAACCAGGTCGGTTTTCCTAACATAACGCATTTTTATGCTTATTGTTTTGGCCTTCAAAACGATTCATTTTCAGGTCTTCAATGGGCTCCCTCCAGGCGCGCTCGTCTCGTTGCGGGATCGCAAAGTGTTGATGCCATCAAGCCCTGCCATTCGCCAGTACTATGAAGAAGGGCTTCGAACTGATCGCCCGCACCCATGATTGTTGCCCTATCTCACACTCTGTTCTCGATCCGGGTATCGCGTATAATATCATTACTTCTTCATCGTTAATTTTAGGCCAGTTTGTTTTAGTGAATAGCTGCTCTCTGTTAAATAAGTGTTTGTTTGTTGGTCCGTGCTTGTTTATGATTTCGCAATCTGATTCTTTCCAGAATCTTAAAGTTTTTCGTTGATCCCTCGGTTTTTGTAGGGGTGAATAAAGCGATTACACAACGTAAAGCGCGGCGTGAGGCAAAAAAATGGGCAACATAAGAGTGGGGGTTCAGATAACAGGCGGCGGCCGCATTTTTTGATTAGCCGGACAGGTTGGCTTGCCTGACAATGGGGGTGTTATCACTAGTAGCTGTTCGTGGAACTTCAGGGGGATTCTGGGGGAACATAATCGACATGACGGAGGAGGAGAGGAGCAGCAGTGGCAGGTTGTGGGCGTGGTCGGAGGGATGCGCGAAGACGCCAGCCCCTCCAAGGGCTGCTGCTTGCTACCAACCGGTGAGTGTTCTGTGTGCGTTTTTAGATTTCCTGGATTATCTGCTTTACTGTTCTAGTCGTTCGCTTCAAATCCTCTTAAAAACGAGCCGGTGTTTGGTACTGGTGTCCTTGACGTAAGCAAAAATTCCCAAGAAAACTATATCCGATCCGTGCTGGCCCCTTTAAAATAAATTGCCAGAGTTGAAAGGTCGCTTGACATTTATTTTACCGGATTCTTGCAGAGGCCCTTTAATTCGCAATACAACTGTCTTTCGGTTAAGCTGTCTGGGATGCCCAAAACAGATACAACCACCCACATCACTCGGCCCGCTTATCTGTCACCACTTTTAGACTAAAACCGTATGCGATCGGTGGGGAGGAGAGGCCCCCTATTCTTGAGAATTGGCACCGAAACACGACGGTACACAATGCCAGCTGGTGGCCCGGAAATTGTTTTTGGCCGGTTTTGGTTGGTTGGACCAGTTTTCTTTGGATTTTCCGCTCCCGCGACACGCAACGCACGCGCACACGCTGGATCACCGTGAAAAAGGAAGGCTGTGCGTTGCGTGACGCGGTCGCGGCAAATTCTATAGCCAGGCCTTGTCCATCGCTTTAATGGGTCGACATTTAGATCTGACATAGACAACATATAATCGTCATATTACTGTATCTTACGATATAATTGTTCGCGTGTTTTTTCGGGCGGGTTTTACGCTTCGCCCCCCCCCATTCTTTAAAACCTTCGAAGTTTTTAAAAATCCCATTTTTACAACGATTGCACCCCCCCGTTATTTCTTAATCACCATGAAACTTATGCGACAATATGCTCCGTCGTCTCATGATCTCGTGAAAAAGACCCACAAACTACTAAAAACTGATAAGCCAATTGGGAAAATATTGCCCAATTTCACCTGTCAACGCTCTCTTTCCCCGCTTGCGTCATTGGCTTCAATATTACACGCTTTATACGCATCGATTGCATATTCTAAGGGTATTGCATAATATACATTTCAGGCTGCCATGTTTCTGTTGCCGAATCAGAACGATCGATTCGAAAGTGACGAATTTCTAAGGGATCTTCGCGGCGGGGCCCATCACATCTGCCGTTACGTGGTACCGTAGCCCGGCTGTCGTCTTATCGTATCCTTTAGAGAAAAAAGCTGCCGGGGAGGCAACAGGCTCATAAAAGCGGGTCGTTGGATTTTTGGGGTACTCGGAAAATAGCGGCAAAATGTGATGCTCAATTTCTCAAATGGTGAAACGGCTTATATCGTTTGGGTTTTTTCTGTTGGTATACGGTTCCGTGCAGTTTGGGGGGAGGACCGATTTTTTTGTATCTAGAAACGCCTAGTAGCGCAATATAATTGTGTTAATAGTGTTTTTAGCAACACTTTAACTTGATGTCGTGGAAACACTATCCGAAAATTTTGAAAAAGGTCGAAAATTGGCCATTTTGTTCGTAAAAATCGATATCCTTGTATGTCTCTAGTGGTTAGTTTGAACAATACTTTGCATAATTTCGTACGTCGTACGTTTAGCGATAGCAAAGAACAGTTTAAAAACATTTATTCACCTTTTTTTGAATAATTTAATTTTATGGAAAAAGTGGAACTCTAAATTTCTGAAAAATTTCGATGTTTTAGGAAATCCCGCACGCGTCGATGCCCGATCGGCGCACCCAATTTCGGCGTGACTACGAGGCGGGCAGAATTAGAGTGGTTAGTTTGAACTTAAATATTTTCGGGACTCGTAATGGCGGCAGAAAACGGCGCGTGTCACGACTTCTCAGTCCCTTTAAAGTCCGCTTGGAATGCGCTGGGTCAGCGCGAACACGGCGCGATCAAGAAGGGGAGGATGTCCTTGCACTTGGGCGGGAAGCGGTGTCGAGTGGCTGCTCATAGGCTGCTCGCGTGATTATGATCTGCCAACGCTGAACGGGGTGACGGCCTTCCCTTCAGAAGATGCGCTCGGTAGATACGACCTTTTTGGGGGCAGATGCGCGCTCCGCGCTGACACGCCTCTTCATTCTGGCCCGTGTCCGTCCCCCCGGTACGCGTGTGTGTCACCAGGAATGTCGCGGAGAAAAATGGCTGCCCTGGGGCGAGGAATTTCAGGGAGCAGAACGCGGTTCTTTTGCATTCCCGGGGGGGGGAGCGAGACGGGGTTTTTAAATTGATTTTTTTTGCTATTCCTAAACTAAAAACTATCGAAGAATCATTTTTAAAATACAAAATAATGAGCTTTCATCGAAAATGGGTGATTTTCGACGAAAATTAAAAAATTAAAAAATTCTAAAATTTCTAAATAGCCTTTCCGCTTAAATAAAAACAAAATTTAAAACAAAAAACTAACTTTAAACACATTAAAGTAAAAATAAAAAGCCTCATTAACTAAAAAGTCATGAAAAATAGGGTGTAACGTGTCGGCAATTTTTATTTTTCTAAATCTTATAGGCATTCGGAAACGGCGTCGGGCCCACACTCAGCCTGGCCGGCGAGCGCAATTTTGAAAATGGAAGGGTTAGTGTTCTTTTGAAAGATTAAAAATAATTCTCAGTATACAATCCTCTCGGAGCCGTTCGTCTTCAATGGAATATTAGTGATAGCGAGAGGGCATATTGAGGAGCATACGCTTGAGGGACGCATCCGAATAGAACAGACGCAACCCACAAGGTTCGGATACTTACCTGATGCGCACCTATCCAGAAATGGGTAGGCTATTATTTTTTGAAAATTACGATTTTTTTGAAAAATGAGTATATCGAAAGCTTTAGTTTAGAGAAGTTGGTTGTTGTGTATCCGGGGGGAATTGCGGGGGAAACCAACTTTTTTCCTATCGGGCCTGGTGGGGATGGTAACCAAATATAAAGTGTTTTCACATTGTTTTTAGCAAAATTTAAGCCTATTTGAATCGGAAAAACTATTTTTAAAAAGTTAGAAAAACGCTTGAAAAAGTCGAAGATTTAGTCATTTTTGACTGAAAAAATTGGTTTATCGACCTAAAATTAAATTTTTTAATTAAATTTTGTAAAGGTTTTATGTTTAGGAATAGCTATAAACAATTTAGAAACACTTCCACTATTTATATAAAAAATCTAGGCTTGGGCGGAAAAAAGCGGTCCCCCCTCCGGGAATACACAAGAACCAGGAAGTTGGCTTTTCGACAATCGTGATTGTCAAAAAATAATGTTGAAAAAGCTATATAAAAATCTATATTTAGAAGTGTTCTCGAACCCACACCGTCGCAACTCAACGAGATGGATCGGCTTTGTGGCCTTTACAATATTTCATGAGATTTCGGGCTTTGAACTAGCAATTTTAAAATCTTAAATACCAAATATACTTTCACCGGTATTTTCCTTTGATGTTTTGATTTAAAGGGCTGCCGACGGCATGTGTCGATCCCCCCTCATCAACAAATTGGCAAGTAACCAACAGGGGATAGAACGCGTCCACGGCAGAGGCGCAGAGACATTTTCTTTTCCGCGCGTAACCGATTGACTATGCCGTCGGCATCCCTTTAATGATTATTTCTGCATGACGAATGTTCTCAACTAATCAGCTGGTTAAAAACGTTAAACTATCAAAAATTAATTTTGCCTAAGCCAAAAACTTCCAAACTATTTTCAGGGATATTTATGGGTATTGTTTTTCGCGTCTCACTGATGTAACAAATTTTTATGCCTATTGCACATACAGCGAATGAATCTTTTGTCATGAACAACACAAAAATTCTGATCGGGCAAGCCATGCTTTCAATCGTGTGTTAAACATTTATGGCTATGTACATCAGCTTATTACGAAAAGCACAAGCAAAAACTGGATATCATCGCCTGGAGAGGGCATGGTTGAATTGGTGGGCAAACTTCTGCTCGATCTTCGCCTTGCGCACCGCGTCCAGATGTGCCGAGATGCGGGCCACCGTACGTTTGTCGAGGAGCTTTTTCTAAAAAAGCACACAAATAATCAAATCATAGGCTGCTCACCTCCAGTCTGTCACGCGTCTGTTTGCTAGCCGGCACATCTCGCTGTCTTTTCTTGGTGCGTCCGCCTGGCTTTTTCTGGACGGAGCCGCCGCCCAAATCTCGGCCGGTAGCCATCTAAAGGAAGTTAAGGTCAAAATTTGAGGTTACATCAAGTCTACCTCGACATCGCGCACAAATTCAGCGTCATCTTCCGCTTCTGGATTTGGGACGATGATGTCTAGAAGGGCAGCATAATGCTGTGCTCATGAAAAGATACCCGGAGATTCCTGGAATGGGAACCCTTCATCGTCTCGCGGCACAATTTTTCCATGGATCGGGCATCTAAATATTTATAATATTCATTTTCTGATCCATTTTTTTACCTCTCAACATCCATCCTCGGGCACAATTTCCCGCTGCTCAACCGTGCTTTACAAGCCTGCAAAAAGTAAAGTAAACAGAAGGGATAATGGAGTACCATTGTCGGGACGACGGCTTTTCCAATGAAGGTGATGACGCGCGTCGTGTAGACTGACGACTGTTCTTTGGAAGTACTATAAAACAAGGACTTCTAATGATAAAAAAATTACATACTCTCCCTCGTCCGGTGGCCGCCAAAAGCGATGGCAATCGGCATTGTTTTTAGGGACCTTAAGCAATTTTTTCATAAATAAAATTAATACTCTACATACCTCGATATCAGCCGGCGGCTCCTCACCCCAATATTTGAGATCGAGCCCGTAAGGTACTGTCGGCACCAGCGGTTCTTCTACAGTCATTTTCGACGTCTGCGGCATGTCCATTTGGCTTGAGCCTTGTCCATCTTCCATTTTCCGGATACGATCCAGGATCACCAGCGGTACAGAATCATCAAGCGGGGCGACAAACTCCTCGACTAAAGCACGAAACACGGTTCCTTGGCATGATTTAGACGTTTATTGGGTTTTTCCACTTGCAATATAGATAAATTTTAGTAAGATAGTTTACTACTAGAAAAGCACCGTTCAAAAAATACTTGGTTTTACGTTATCTGACGTCATCGAAATTATCAATGCAATTTTAACTTCCAAATTCATCGAAATCCCCCCTCCCGAACATGCGAAAGAACTGGAAATACTTTTGTGATTTAGAACCACCTTCCTTCTCCGGAACATCCTCAAAATCGCTGGCCTCGTCACTCGAATCATCATCCCGCGACGGCTTTTCAGGAATTCGTAGGTCATTGATCCGGAGTCGCTCTTCTTCAATTCTAAAATAAAATCCATAAACAAAGGCATCTTCTCTTGATGTACCGATTATTTATATTGAGAAGCGGCGCGCAGTCCTCTTGTTTCGCTCCAACACTCGCCATCCGCGTCAACCAACTGAAAATAATGATCAAAAGTGCGTGAAAAGGCCTAAATACCGAGCGATGTTTTTCCTATAAAAATCGAGCATCGATCGGCCATCCCGGACTGCCGAGACCAGCGCCTCATTTTCTTTTGACAACTTAATAAAAATGCAAAAAAAAATGGTAAAACAAACTTTAACACGAGGTAGTGCTTCTTTGAGATTAATCGAGATGGAATGCGCGTCAGCGTATCCGTGTAGGCGCTAAATTTTCGATAAATTTTCATAGTTTTAGATTCGCCAATTATTGCCACTAGCAAGTACCCCATCGGAAGTTAAAGGTAGACAATCAACGGCAAATGCTTCTCCCTCAAAATCCTCGGCGAAATTCGGCACCAATAGATTCACGGCAGAAGACACCTAGAGAAAAGAATGTGGCTCGATGCATTTCTAAGGCACCTCTTTCAAACAACGCTCAATATCCGCGTGCATCATCTGGAACTTGGCCATCACCTGTTGAACGGCCTAAACAATAATACTCATTTTCTATTCCTTTCCTACTTTAGCCGTCTTCTCTTCCTCCTTCCGCTTCTCTTCTTCTAGCTGCTGGCATTCGATTTGTAGACTTGCTGAGGCGCTTTGATAGTCCATCGACTTGGAGTTCGCCAGAAAATGCGGGACATTCTTCAGCCGTTCGTAGCCTTCCGAGAACTTTTCGTGCCACACCTGAATCGACACTAACGATATATTCAACTCTACAAAACCTTGATCTTCTTGATTGCGTCCACCTTCAGATCCCTGGCCTCCGATTTTGGCTCGGGCAATGGCCGGTGCAGAATGTCCAATTCGCAAAAAATTATCAGCACCTCCTGAGCACGGGTGTAATCCGAAAGCCTGATTCGCTCACTTGTAAATTATCGACCACGCGGGAGCGCCAAGCGTGAGCCCGATGGAAGAAATAATCCAACAGAGATAAAGCCAGCTAAACATAAAGCTAGAAACGTTTCTAAAAAGTACCAGGCGCTTAATGCAGTCGGATTTTTCGGCCTCTTGCAACAAATGGTCGACTAGGGCGGCGTTCCAATCTAAATTTGAGTCGCTGGAATAATGATTCTCCCAAACCAGGCTTATTTTTGACGACTTGGCGGAGTTCGCGAAAGGATTTGTCGCCGAAATCGATTGCTTTGCGGCCACCCTCATCGCTCTAACTATATAAATGAGAATAAGACGAGCTAACCTTTCTGATGACTCTGTTTAGCAAAGTCGTTGTCTCCTTGATGCTGGCCATTTAGTTCATTAATTTTTTTTAAATTTTTTTTACAAAGCGTTAGACGATCAAATAGCCCTTTCGAAACCCGATGCAATGCACTCGTGCTGTTCAACCGTCTGATGTATCGTTGCGGAATGAGCTTGGGCAATCAAAAAAATATAAAATTGTTTTATTTCACGTTTTTTATTTAGATTCATAAACACGTTTTGTTCGTTGATAAGTGAGTGTGGGCAGGGAATGTAGCGGCCACCATCGTTCGCGCAACCTCATGGATAGTTCGCCATCAGCTCGGTGATCGCAGCTTAAAAAGCTCATTTTGAAGGGCCTCTGGGCCTGATCTTACCGATATTTTTGGCGTTGAGGGGTTCCGGTGGGTGGATGACTCTGAATGGGCGTTATCCTCCTTTTTGGATCATACCCAACGTAGGCTTTTGGCAAATATTTTCCCGCGCGTATCTCCTTGCCAATACCTCGGTAGTTCTCTAAAAACAGTTTTTCCTAGCTTGGGTTTTGGACCAACTATTGTTCGCCGTACTGGAAATCCGTTCATTGTGAAGCTCATCAAAATAGTCGTGGAGTTGCTTCTTGCCTTCTCGCTGGATCATTAGTCTAAAAATGGTCCGTTTCTGCTGAATAATAATAGCTTTTAGGCGTACCCATGATAGAGATTGACCAGACAGAATCCGATCAGGATGTTTAGGATAAAGATGAACCCCGCAACTATGACAAGTAGAACACCCCATGTCTCGAACGTTGGCGTGGTGTCTAAACTTGTTTTTCCGAATCAGAAAAGGCTCCTACTGCTGGGGCCTGCTGGGTCAACGATAAAACGGAGACTTCGTGTATCGGGCTGTAAGTTTTAATATATAGCGATCCTATGTAAAAACCTTAGTATCGGTTGACAGATCCCCGGATGGCGACTCCTTCGTTTTATCGGGCTGAAGCGGCGATACCCTAAGTCAGTCGAACGATGCGTTGCCAGGAGGGCTTACTCGGTACTGGGGGATATCTCCGAAGTAGTTGTGGGATCCGTTTCTGACGGGTCACTGACTTCTGGGGTATCGCTAGACGAGGGCTCAGGTTCCTCCACGGTCGTCTGCTAAAGTTATTTAGTTTAGAAGCTACTGGCGCCTTCACGTAAGGGTCTATCGTACTCCCGTCAGTCGTTTCATTCACTTCCAGTGTAATTCTCCCGGATGGCTCCTCGTATTTCTCAATTGCCCATCAACAGGTTCCACCGTAGATGACAGCTAGAATAATTTTATTGAGTAGCGAGACTTTTTAAGCTTGAGTCTACTTTGAATAGTTTTCCACCTACGCTTTGCTGTTGAGCAAAAGTCTGAACGGTTGCATAGATGAGGCATAGACATAAAGCTAATCTGATGTTGCCCAGATGGTAACCGAACGTCCAAAACATTGGTTGGTAAATGCTCCGAATTTTTGTGTGTATTTCATCAAGGAATCTATGCAAATTCTTTCACAAGGCTCTCAAACCCGCTTGGCAACTAAAACCTTCTAGAGGCTGGGTTGCCGACCCCCTTTCCAGTTCGAATCCTCTTCGCCGGGGGTCTTCCCCCTTGGTGATTGGCCCCACTCGTAGCCCATACGAAATTTTTTAACTGCTTAGACCGCCCCCAACGATAAGGACTTGAAGTATTCAAAATGACTACTAATCTATTATCAAATTGTGTGGGTTTTCGGCTTACTACGAGATCGGGAAGTGGGTATTTCAGCTCTAGAATTCTTCTCCTAACTGCCTTCTTGTCCGTTGATCCCAATACACTTTTCTTTTTCAGAATTGTTTGATGGTATTGACTCGCGTTACGTTCTTCGCCTCGCGACGGCCCCTAATCTTCCAAAGTATCGTGTCGGGCTGCATCGCTGCCAGCGGTGATGCGATGAGCCAGCTGGTGATCGAAGGCACCACGCTTGACCGATACGACGTGGTCCGGACTAGTCGATTCGCCTTCCTCGGGACCTTCCTTGTGGCTCCAGTGTTGTTTCACGTAAGTCTCATCTTCTTCTGTTCCCAAATAGACAACAAGTTTTTCGCAAATTTTTTTACTGCTTTCGAGTGAAGCGGAAGCGGATCCGTAAATTCAAAAACGAATCACCCTGAAAAAATACGCGTTTTAGATCCAAAATCGGAATCACTTTCAAACAATCCAAACTGAAAAATTCTTCTGAGAAACTGAGAAATATCTTTTTGATAATTATCAAAAAGACATTGTTTTGGTTGGGTTATCAGTTTTTCGTAATCAGCGCAAAAAACTGAACCAAAGAAATGAGGTTTCGGCCATTGATAAGTGGGGCCAGCAAACTTAAGGGGGGGGGGGGGCCCCCCCCCACCCGGGGGGGAAGGAAAAGCCCCCCCCCCCCCCCCCCCCCCCCCCCCCCCCCCCGGCGGCGCCGGCGCCGGACCCCCCCCCCCCCCCAAGGGGGGCCAAAAACCCCCCCCCTCATCTCTTTAAGTAGCGCCCAATTCTGTTTCCAACGTTCCTTTTTAGTGGTTCCGCACCTTGGACCGTCTCCGCTTCGGACCACCTGTTCTTCACCCCGTGCAGCGCGTCCTCGTCGACCAGCTCCTTTTCGGGCCGGTGTTCAGCACTTGTTGGCTGACTTCACTCCGCATCCTCGAGGGCCGCTCCTGGGAAGACAACTTCAAACTGCTCCAGCGCGATTGGTGGCCGTTGTGGAAAACTGGACTCTGCTTCTGGCCAATCGTCCAGCTGCTCAACTTCACATTCGTCCCGCTCAACAATCGCGTAATCACCACCAATGCCGCGGGGCTCATCTGGAACTGCTACATCTCCTTCAAGACCCAAAAAGCTGTCATTTGATGATTCGGTTGCTCTATGTCTATGATGCTGCTTTGTAGAGATTCTCGCATGCATTTGTTTGACTAATCATTTTTTCATGCGTTCATTTTTAACAGTTGTGTGATATTTCGACCTCAGGTCCTCCTCACTTTACTCGCGTCGATTTCTATATCGGGTCCTTCTCTAGTCTTTCTTCCACGGCTAAATTTCTTGTTTCAGGTAATGGCCTCGTTTCGAAAGGAAATGCCCGTTTCGGGTCTTCTCAAAGACTCGACAACGGGCGAACCGAAGAAATCCCGAGGCGAATATCGCAAGGAGAAGGATCTCGAAGAAGAAAGAAAGGTGTTTCTTCGATATTGGTATTTCATGCTCTTTTAGGCCGGTACGGCTCCTGCTATGGTGGACGTGGACACTGGACGGGACATCAATCCACATATTCCCCAATTTATCAGTCAGACGCCTTGGTATGTGCCGTCGGAAGGGCCGACACTCAAGGTAATTATTATTAGACAACGGGTGATAAAACGATTTTTAGCACCAACGTCCGCATCCCGAGCGTCAGTCCGAACTCTCTCAAGTCGACGAATGGTATCAACGCGGTACGACCGGTGTAGCGGCTACCAAATTCCGAAAAGGTTCGTTTTTAACAAGACCCATTTCTCGAGCACGATTGTAATTTCAAAAAAAAAACCCCCCTGCTTTTCAGGAGCCTGTGAGAACTGCGGAGCTATGACCCACAAGAAAAAGGATTGTTTCGAGCGACCTCGCAAGAAGGATGCAAAGTAATTTTGGCCATTTGTTATTTACATTTTTTTATTAGGCGTACTGGCCTCGACATTGCGGCCGACGACTACCTCCAGCCGAAACTCGCTCTCGGTTTTGACGCAAAACGCGATCGGTGGAACGGCTATAACCCGGAAACCCACAAAGAAGTCGTCAAAGAATTCGAGCAGCTCGAAGAAGCCAGGAAACTGATCAGGGCTGAAAAGGTGGGATTTTTATTATCGATCTTATTTTGGTTTGGCAGATGAAAGAAGAAGCCGCTCTTGGAATCGCAAAAGAAGAGGGAGAGGCTGAAGAAGAAGCCGGAGAACATGTCGAACACGATGAGGACAAATACGCCGAGGACGCTGATATGGCTGGTGTGTCTGTCGACATGGACAGTCGAACAAGAATTACGGTAATTCATTTAATTAAACTACAAATCACTTCATGCAGGTCCGAAATCTGCGCATTCGAGAAGATACCGCCAAATATCTATACAACCTCAACGAAAACGGACCATATTATGACCCGAAATCACGTTCGATGAGGGAAAATCCTTTCCAGGTATGGAATATATGATTAAGGCCGACACTGCTTTTAGGGGCTAAAAGGAAAAGAGGCGGAAGCAGCAAAATTCCAAGGCGAAAACTTCATCCGATACACGGGTGAAGTGACGGAGGCCAACGAGGCACAGCTTTTTGCCTGGCAAGCAAGAGCTCAGGTTGTGTTTGCGACCGCATTTTTTATAACCTTACTTTAGGGCATTGATGTGCACTGCATCGCTGAACCGACGAAACTCGAGGCGCTCAAGAAGACGTACGAAAAGGAGAAAAGCTCTGTAAAAGACGACACAAAGCAGGTCAGTCAGATTCGAAAATAGTCAACTCCGGTTGTAGATGTTAGTCGAGAAATACGGTGGTGCCGAACACTTGGAAGCCCCTCCAAAAGAGCTACTTCTTGCCCAATCCGAGCGTTACGTCGAATACTCGGCAAAGGGCAAAGTGATCAAAGGAGAAGAGCGGCCACTTGCTAAAAGTATCTACGAGGAGGATGTGTAAGCCCCTTTCTGAATGTTTTAGCTATTTTTATTTTTAGCTATCCCGGCAACCATACAACAGTCTGGGGTTCCTACTGGCAAGACGGGAAGTGGGGCTTCAGATGCTGCCATCAATTTATGAAGCAGGTATCGTTTTTCCTCTCAAGATGTTTATTCCTGACTTTAGGCATATTGCATTCCGGTGAAGAAGAAGGACCCAAAGGCTGAAGATGAAGAAACTAAAATAGAGGTTGCGCCCCCACCTCCGGCCACCGTTGTGAAAACTTCCGGTTTGGTTGTTTCGTTGAGGCTAATTCCAGTATCTAGAGCCCAAGCAAGAGAAAAAAGCAGATGCTTCATCAGCCAGTGAAGCCGAGGAAGAAGAAGCGAAAAAGGAGGCCGGATCGGGCGAAGAAGAAGAAGAAGAGGTCGAAGAAGTCGAAGAGCTCGATAGTGAAGCCGAACGGGAGCGACAACAAGAGATCGCCGACGAAAAACGAAAGTGTATGGCCTATATACGGTTTTAATCGCTTTAATTTAGTTGAGGACAAACAGAAGAAGCGAGAGCGAAAACGGGAGAAGAGAAAGAGAAAGAAGGAGCGTCAAAATAAGGAAGGAGGCCGCAAGCGGAAACACAGGTTGTTTTATAAACCAGGCTGACTATACCTGTTTTAGCACTTCTGATTCTGATTCGGATGCCTCGGATTCCGAAGACAAGAAGAAGCGAGAACTGGAAAAGGCGCTCAAAGAAGAGAAGAAGAAACGAAAGAAGGCCCAGAAGGAAGAGGAACAGGTAATGCTTTTGTGAACTCAGTCTCTCTCCATTGTGCGCTGTCTGTCTCTCTGTTTTCTTTCTGAAACGACTTTTTTAGGATGAGAGGAAACGCAAGTACAACTCGAATTACGAGATCAAAGCCCCGACAGAAGCCCAGGTCGAGGCGTTCAACCTCACACGAATCCACTCGGCCGATCCGATGGCCAAATTCATGGAGGGAAAATGATTGTCGTTAAAGTCCGCGCGTCTGTTGTTTTTATCCTATCATTTATTTACAAAGTTGCACAACCATACAATAAATCGGTTGGAATGTAAAGTGAGTAAAGCGGGAATGTGACTAAGGAGGCAGTGGCGCAAGTGAATTTTACAGGAATGAGCTATTTCTTGCGCTGAATCAAGTCTGGGTCAACGTCGTCGAGCAGAGGGGCGGGGTCGCGATAGGCTTCTGAATGCATCTTGCGGCCGCTCATCTCCAGCAAGGCTCTGGCCTAATAGAGATTATACATGGTTTTCTGGTAGCAAGGTATACCTGCGGGTCTTTGTCGAGGATGGACTTGGTGCTCTGGTTCACGTAGACCTCTTCGCCCTCGGCGTTGAAAGCTTTCGGTCGTTCGCCACAACGCCAGGCTTCGATCGTCTTGATGGAGAATTTCTGTTTGTCGCCGCACAGGTTAATGTTCTCGAAAGAGGAGACGTGGTGTTGGCAAAGGCCTTCCCCGAAATCCTCGGCTACGAACAGGGGCCACACTTGCTCGTAGCCGCCCATACCCTGCAAGCAAAATTGTTTGAAAAATACCAAAGGAAACCCACAATTCCATTCGGCATCTGTTGTTGCTGATAGTTCATGTACGCATAGTTATCCGTGCGCCCGGTGGCGTTTGAGATCTGGATTTCGGGATGCGCGGCAAAGAGGAACGAGGTGGCGTTTCCACGGTATTGGGGCCCCGTACAAAAGCCTGAAATCAAAGATATGAAACTGCAAACATGGATTTACCTTCCGAGGCGAAACAACCGAAAACATGTCCATCCGTGGATTCGATGACGAGGAGACACGGGCCTTGGCCATCAATCTTCTGGCTCAACTGGGAGAAGGAGCTGCCTTGCCGGTTCCTGTATTCAACGGTTATTGGGATTATCAGGCTGCCGGATAAATTTTAAATTTTCGGAAATTTTGAAGCAAGTTTTAAATTAGCGCCAGAATTCGGCCGATTTCTATTTGAACGTGTCGGCTCCATATTCAATTCTGTCAATATCAACTCACGTCGAAAATAGCTGCGTCCAGTCCCGACGCCGTTCCATCGGCAAATTGGCGTTGATGACGGCAAGAGCGGCCTCATTCAGGAGATCACTTGATGCTGAGAGTCTAAACTCCTCGGTGGAATCGGTTTATCGACAAGACCTTGGCAACAATTCAGAGTCTTGTGCCATTCCGCCGGTGAAGCCGTCGATGATATATCGGAGTAACGGGAGAGCGATTGGGCAAGCGTGTAGCCAACGGCCGAATCGAGATGGATCCTGGAATGATCCGTAAGTACGAGTGAATGTCTAGATCGGTGCGCGAGGCTAAAGACCGGGGCTGCGCAATCGCCATGCGCGGTCAAAACAATTTCTCCGAGGGTAAACATGTTGTGGGCGGAGCCTGGATCACCCGCGTTTGGTGTGCACCCTGTACCGCTCGGAAAAAGATTCGCACAGGCGAAGGTTGTGTGTCTTCCGCTTCATCCAAAACCTAACCATACCTTTGGTGCCTCCCTGGTAAAGTATCGCAACAATTTCTCGCTGCCCATCGCGCTGACCTTCGCCCGAACGGCGAATACATCGATCGTTGCTTTCAACGCCTAAAACAAGGAGTTTGGCGCCTTATTGTCTAGCCGCACCTGGAGGGGATCCGGGAAGACGCTCAGCAAAGCATCGGCCAAATCCTCGACCCCGCCGTGTAGACTATCGATCAAGGCAAACGTCTTTTCCACCGTCACCTGAATATCGAGATTCTGGTAATGGAAGACAAAATACCTTATCCGCGCCTTTCGCCAGTGATGCAAAGAATGTCGCTTGTACCGGGGTCAGCGCCGGGAAAAGCTCCTGACCATAAAATAGACCACTTCAAAAAATAATTACCGCAAATTTTTGACGCTCAATCTTTCCACCCTTCGACCCATCATGTAGTGTTTTCCACGTTATTTTGGCCTGTTGCGCGTCAAGGTTCATGGCTCGTGGCTGAGAATCGCCTTTCTCATCTGCAGCAAAGTACTTCTTGAAGAAGCTCATTTCTAAAGTCAATGATGATCTACACCAGTTCGACGATGATGATGTTAGCAGGAATTCAAAGGAATCTCTTGTTTTATAGTCATCGCGACAAGTTGAGAAAAAATATTATTATTTCACAAAAAAGCAATGTTACCGACGCAGGAATGGCATATTCGCAATACTAATGGGCAGCAGCTCAGGAGCTATGTACATGAAAAAAATGTGAAAGTTCGGGTAGCGTATTAATGATGGGGTTTCACCGAGAAAAGTTACAAGCGGTTAGTTAAATCTGCGGCGGGTCAATTTGGTTCTGGGTCATGAGATCGGTGATGTTCTTCTCGAGGTCGTCGATGCGCTTCGTCATATCGTCTATCCTAGAAAAGCCAAATTATTTTTTTAAATGCGGACAAACCTCCGGATGATCTGGTCGGACATGTGCTGAAAACGGTCTTGGGTTTGTTGAAGGACGCCTTGGATCTAAAAGCAAACTTAGTAATAAGATGCATATAAAATTCGTACCAAAATCGTCAAATCCGTGGAGGCGTTCTCGTCAGCAATCTCCGCACCAGCCGGGGCAATCTTCGGTTCTTCAGCGCTCATCCCGACCTCGGACTACCTGTAATTTTTTTTATTAAATTTCTTATCAACAGACAACAAAGAACAAATGAGGAGAACCGGTACGTAGGCGGGAAAATGTGTGGGATAGAATATCATAATGGACCACAACACGGAATCCAAGAAAAACGGAAAAAGGATAAAATGGGCGAAAGAGAGCTTCGATTTTTAGGCGGACGATTGCAGGATCTCTTGGTTGACCTCAAAAGAAATATTAATTGAACGAAAATAGCACATACGGTTTGAATATTTTGGTGGGAGGTGCGGAGACTGGCGATGAGTCCATGGAGGCGGGCACGCATCCCTTGCCACTGTTCCCGGCCGAAAGTGCGATGCTATAATCCGGGAAATAAACAAGTCCGGGACCGAGAGAGCGAACCTGGTATGATGCGACGGAGAATGTACGCTCCACCTCGTTCACTTTGCCGGCGATTGCGTTCACCTAAAGGAATAGTTATCGCAAAATTTGAGTGCCGCGAACCTGAATGGCTTCAATAATGAATTCTTCGAGCTCCTCGTCGTCGGGGAGGCAGAGCTCGGAAGAAAGTTCGGAGAGTTTAATAACCTAAAGAAAATGAAGAAAATCGTTGAAACGATTACAGGGTTCTTCTCGGCGATCGACATCAACGTGAGGAGGCGCATCTTCTTGACCAAAATATCTTCGTTCACCTAATTACAACTTTAGGGCATTCCAGGCACTTATTACCCTCAACTTCTCCGAAACAAAGGTCGGGTTGCGCTTGACGAAGGCTTGGTAGTCCTTGAGTGTACCCGAGATGAATAAATTTAGCGCCTCGTGCATCAACGGATCGGCTTTCTACATGAACTTGTGTTTTTAAGAAATATTAATATACCTCAAGGTGGTGGACAGCATCCAGACGTGCTAGATGGTCGAAGGAAAAGCTTTTGGGGTCGACGACGGCCGTGCGTACGCACTCCCGAGCATCCTCGTGCGCGGCTGGGGCATCAGCGGCCGTGTATGTGCCGAGCAACTCGAGCATCACCTGGAAAAAATGTTTAGAGAATGTATTTTCCGGGATATACCTTGGCGGCTTGATCAGCTCGTTCATCGTGAAGTAATGCGGCGTGGAGCGCGCGAAGGATGCGCTGACGACCCTCTCGGTTTGTGCCCCAGTTCTTCATGTGTCCTAGAAAGCGATAAGAACGGATAATTCCAAAAAATTTACCATCGATGACGGCTATATCAGTGTCCACATCAGAAATCAAACGCGCTCGGTGGCAGATCACGACGAGACGCTCAAACACAACCTAAAAATCCAAAGATTGGTGGCAAAAGTTTTTCTGAATACCTGCTGAATATCGCCGATCTTGGCAAACCCGTGGAACAAGTTGGACAAAACGCGTGCGGCAGCTCCGGCAGGGCTTCTCCAGCCTTCGCCCTATAAATAAAGAATTAAGCAAGGAAGCTATGTATTTACCCCAAATCGCTCAGGCGTCAGTTGTTCGCAAAATTTGGAAACGACCTCGAAGGCGCGGTCGGCTGGGACGCATACTATCAACGAGGAGATGGACGAAAGCATCACTTCGACCTAAAAAAAATACAATTATTCGAAAGATTTAGACACAACACGCCTGGTGGCAAGAATGATGTGATCAAAATCCCAACCTCTGTATTGCTTTTCAAGTTTCCAATCAGGCCGGCGTGCTTGACCACCTCCAGCAAGTTGTCGCTCGTGTCCTGCGGGCCCTTCGGGTCGATGTTGGCGTTCAGCTTGTTGAGCTCGGTGCGCAGCTCCTCAAGCTGGCACACATCCTCCAAGTAAGCAAATACGGGCAGAGCTTTCGTATCCGCCATCGTCTCCTGGAAAGGGGGGATTTGACAGAGTATCTGATAAGAAACGAAGGGTAAAATAGAACAAATAGCAACAGGGGAAACAAATGGGGAGCTTTTACACAAAGGGGCAGATGGGAATAAAAGCGTTATTGCATCAAAGGGGCGCCAGGTCGTCTGGGGTCTCGCCAGCCCCACTAGTGCGCTATAGCCACTCAGTCGCTATGCACTTCAGCAGATACTTTTCAAAAGCCTTGTACAGCTATAAAGTTGTACTTTTTACTATTTTAAAACCGATTGAAGAAAATCATATTTAGAAAAAGCAACAAAAAATTTTTCCGGGAAAAGGCGATGGCGACGACAGTGCCTTTTACCGCGGTGGTGTGCAGAAACATACGGTAGTTTTTTCAGGCAACAATGTTTAGAAAGTAAATAGGTTTGAATTTTCGAAATTTTGCCATTTCAATTAAAACTTTTATAATTTAGTGCGAATTTGAAGTAGTGGTCGAAGTGGTAAAATTTATTCGTTGTGATTTCGATTACCCGTTTCGAGGTTCAAGCACAATAATGACGGCGATTTTATACATAGAATTCCTTGTCCATTCGCCGGTCGTCCTTCAGGGTCACCTCGGCCAGCTCGTAGGTGTTCTTCGCTCTAAAAGCGCGTTTTTTGATCGTTGTGACAGACGCAAATTGCGTAAAAATTCCCAATTTACTTCTTAGATACGCTCGTTTTGCTTTTTGATCTATATATTTGTCTTTTATTGAAAACGGACCTTCTACAAAGTATGAGCGCGGTGGCGAGGATTAGGAGGACCAGGATCAGACCCACCAAGCAGCCGATGATCCATAGCGAGGACATTCATTCATCAACTGGCCTAAAATCGGGTTTCTTGGATCTAAGGAAATGGTTGAAACGAAGTGTAAAGAAGGGAAAAACGGTAAAATATGTCATGTATGGTCGAGATGAGTTGGTTAAATAGATTATTCCAATTTGAACGTTTGAAATTTTGTTGTACAAGTCTAGAAATGTCTAGTAAGCTAATAGAAAGTACTTCACTGGTGATTGTAGTAAAATTTTCCAATTTAAACCCGATAAACGATCTAACAAAGCTTTTAATAATGCGGAATTCGATTGAAGATCGGCCATTTTGGTCGAAAAACTTATCCTTTTATATTTATTTTGTATCGTTTTTCTTCTTTGTATAATATTTGTAAGGGTCGTTGCGTTTAAGAATAGCGATATATATTTTCTAGTATGCTAGAATCTATATGCCTCTATTTTGATTAGAGAGTACTAAAGAAAAAAAATTGGTTCGCAAGTTCGTGTTTTCTAAGCTTTTCCAAGCCGCCCTGGTAATCCGATACATTTGGAAGAAAAGGCGCGGTACTTCAGGTCGAGTGACGACATCGACAAATTGAAAAATGGGAGGGAAGGACAACTTTTATACGGACGACTTGGGCACCGACTGTTCAGGTGTTTGGAACGGGCCGGACGGCGGGCCCTAGATTAAATTTGGGCCCTAGGCCATCAAAAAAGGGGGATGGATGAGGGGTGCCCATGGCCCGAAGACATTTTCCGCCCTTTTTGGCGTCGGAAATGGGGGCTTGGCGGCCGTCAGGAGCTAATTTGTAAAGGGGCTTCTGAGGAGGACGGGGTTGGGCTCAGAAGGAGAGTCGATACTCCCGGAAATCCCTCCTCCAGACTTGACAGAGGGTTATAAAAGAGCACGAGGGGGAGGGGGAGGAAGAGGTATGATTTATGCGATTGGATATCGCGCAATTAGCTTAAATTAGACGCATAGTGTATCCGGTTCCGGTGCCCGAAAACGGCCCTTTCAGGTGCTTTCTCATTATCGGGGGTGGGGGGGGGGGCAGCTTTGCTAGGACCTAATTTCTCAAATATTAATAGCGCAGCTGTTTTTAATTCGTTTTGCTATGCTTTTTAACTTATAACTTATAACTTATAAAATATGTAAAATTGTCAAAATACAAAAATCCCGCGTTGTTCGACCAAAATTTCAAATTTTTAGCAGTTTCTGAATTTTTTTGGATAGTTTTTCCACTTGGAATATAGTTTAATTTTAGTATAAACACTTACTATCAACTTTCTGACGTACATATTATCTTGTCCAACTTTTCAATCACCCAGTTTCCACCCGGGACGCCCATTTTTCCGCGATTTTTTTTGATGGCGGGGCATTTCGGCTTCTCGCAAATGCACAAAGCCCGCTGCGGGACCAGTCGATGAGTTACGACGGCCATTTTTATGGGGGAGACCCTGGAAACTGGCGGCTGGCCACAAATTGGGGGACAACCGCCGCCTCGAGGCGAACGCTTTTTATTGACGCCAAAAATTTTCAAGGGGGCCGAGTGTATAAAATAAATCGGTTCTTTGGCATTTTCGGGGGGGGGGGTTTCAGTTAAGTTCACAACTGGCTAGTAATGTGATAGTAAGTATTTAATAGTGCTTTTAGTAAAGATGAAATATTTTTTGAAAAACTTAGAAAATTGAGATTTTGCTCTGGAATCGGAATTTTTGGATATTTTTTCGACCATTCAATCGGCGAAAATTACTTTGAACGACTGATATTCGGAAACAGGATTTTCAGGTTCTTTGGCATTATCGGGGGTGCACTATTTTTTTGCATAAAAGCCCGGAAAAGCCTAGTAGCCAACAGGGGAGCGAAGGTGGGCCCCTGGGCCCGGCCCCGAAATCGGCCGGGGCCGAAAATTTCTTAGGGGGACCCTTATGTTTTTATTTTCTCAAATTTGCTGCCTGCGGCGCTATTTTTTCACGTTTTTCGACTATTTGTAGAGCTAAAGCCTTGTTTCTAAATTTTTTTGCCTGCGGCCTGTCTGTTAATTGTTTGAGTTTCTTCGGAAATTTTTCGGGGCCCCCGAATTTTTTTCTGGCTACGCCCCTGAACTTAATAGTAAGTATCTTAATATTTTTCTAGTCAATAAACTATATTCCAAGTAGAAAAGAATATCCAAAAACTTTAAAACGTAAAAAAATTGAAATTATTGTAAAATACGCCATTTTGGTCAAAAAATATTTTTTTTCATAAATATTGTTATATTGCCCCCCCCCCCGATAACGTGATAGATCCGGTTTAGGAAGGTTTTCGATAATTTCTTACCTTTAAAGATGAGGATCGAAAGTTCTCCCAAAACGCCGACAAGATGATAAGTTCAAAAAATGCGTTGAGGCCAGTTTTGATGGGATGGTGATGCTCCTCCTCTTCCTCCTCCTCCTCCTCCCCCAGGGCCCATCCTTTTTTCCTTCTCCTCCTTAGCCTCCTCCTCCCCACACAACAATGCTCAATTTTGTTAGGGCCCTTGGGGCCCAGGGCCCAGGGGCCCGCGAGGGTGCTTCTCGCCCCATTTATGAGCGCTTGAAAAAAAATAGAAAATCGACAGAGTGGAGGGGGGAGAGGGCAAATTTTCTTAGCATCCGATTTTTTTACCACAAAAAGAGGAAGTGTTGTTAAACTATTAAACTATCATTTTTTATGAAATTAGGCTACAAATTTTTATTAGAAAATCCGCGTTTATCGATTTTCCGACCAAATTTTTTGAATTTTTGACATTTAAAAAAGTTTTTGGATAGGTTTTCGACGTAAAATAAGTTAAATTTTGCTGAGAACACTATTAAATTATAGTCGTGGTTAATTTACGTTACTAAATTGCTGGACTGCTACACCCCCCCCCGGTAATGCCAAAGCACCGAAGATTGCTAACGCACTCGTTCTCAAATGATTTCTGCCAGTTTGCCTCTTTGTTTAGAGTGTACAAAACATCAATTTAAGTATATAAACATAATACAAAGATTTATTCATCACACTTTCGCAATTTTGTAAATCTTCAAGGCCCTTTTCTCGTCGAACACAATCAGATCACCCTGGAAATTCGTGGCCACACACCTCGCGTTTAATTTGTCATTGTAAACCTGGAATTGGGGGTACTGTAATTAGTATTCATACGTGGCCTACCTCCTTTCTCTCGACGGCATCATAGAAATACACCCAATTTCCATCAGCAAAAATCAGGATTTTGTTGTCGAGGGTCTGGAAATTTGGATTTTAACCGGCTTTTAAGCCCAGGGTTCTTTTACCAACTTGTTTTTCATCAATTAAAAAAATAGAATTTTTAATGTAAACAAGTAAAGGTTTATAACCGATTTTCGACAAAAATCCCAAAATTTTTCTAAGTTATTGGATATTTTCCGCTTAAATCTAGTTAAATTTCGCTAACAACACTATCAAAAAATTACTATCGCATTACTAGCCATTTCCGGAATTATACAAAAAGTTTGGGCACCCCCCCCCCCGATAATGGAAAAGAACCCGAAATCATATTTCTGAAGGACGTGTTTTTGAAAACCAGAATATCTAAGATAATAAAATAATAAAGAGTTGCATATAGATACAAGGCAAAAAACGTTGGTTTACGAAGATATCGAAAATATCGAAACAAAACTAGCGATTTTCTAAAAATAATACCGTAATTGAGATGGGATTGATGGGTACAGCATCGAGAAGTGTTCCATCCATTGCAAGAAGCCTTGGTCTACCATCTTGGGGACAGACTAGGCAGCCCCCACCAGGCATCAATCGAACATCTATTAATGCATGGGGTCGAGTGGGGATTGTTCGAATCGGCAGATCTTCTGACGAAATATTGATCAAGAATAGACCGCCCGTTTCTGTGGCCACAACCACGTCATCATCCAGATGGCTGCCTGCCACGATGGCTACTTTCTGCAAAAATCGGGGGTTTAGAGAGGGGCAGGCTAGCAGTGATTCTTTAGGAGAAGGCAGGCTATCAAAGATTCTTTAGGAAAAGGCAGGCTGGCAGAGATTATTTACAAAAATAAGGTTACAAACCTTTGAAGATGATCCAGCTTTTCTATGCTTTGCCGGCAAATCCGTAATTGCCAAGCTTTTGCTCTAAATTTTGAATTTACGAATTAAATTCACAAAAATAATTAATAATTATAAGACCCAAATCCCACCCGTATAATCTGCAGTTCAGCCCCATTTAACGTCGAGATCGTCAGAGATCCATCCATAGACGCGCTGACCATTTGCGTCGAGCTCAACCATTTCACAAATGTCACCGCAAGCTGATGGATCTGTGTAAATTGGTGTACACCGTAGCGGGGATGGTGGTACCTTTGCAGTGAGGAGCACGACCTCCCCCTTAATGATGATAATTTCGCCATTGGAATTGCCGACGGCAAGGAGGCCTTGAGGGGAGAATGAGGCTGAAGAGGGGCAGACACCGCTTGCGTGGACGATTGTCTAAAATTCTAGGAATTTTTCGTGACATGAACGAGTACGGATTCCGTAAAATTTTTTCATGACCGCGGCACGCAACGCGCAGGCCACCTGAACGCCTTGAAAAGGTTGCAATTCGTTACGCAACGGGAAACCGGCGGGCGCGTTGCATGGCACGAGTCATAAAATCCATATTCAAGCAGTGCCCGTGCTTTAAAGATTACGGTAGATAAATAAGATACCGTGCCCCGATTCCGGACGACAACTTTCCCATCGTGGACACAAAAGCCATCGTGATCACGGCTTCCGACTAGGAGAGCTGTTCGCCCAAACCCACCACACACCATACCCGTCACTTCCAGATCGTCATCTTCTGTCTAAAGGGGTTGAATATAGGTCATAAAGTGTCGCTGCTAGCTTGACCTGGAATAACGATTTTCATAAATTTCCTACATAATCTCTGCTAGCCTGCCCACTATTCCTAAATGGTCTCTGCTAGCTTACCAGACCCTTTTTAGCCCTGTAGCTTTTCCTCAGGATTCTTTGCTAAACTGTCTGATTTTTATGCGCATCTCCTGCCTAATCTTTCCGATTCCACAAAGAATCTCCGCTAGCCTGCCTTCTCCCCAACCCTACCTGTGTTATTACAGTAGTCCCCACAAGCTGTAGTTGTATTCGGGACCGAACATGGAATCTGAGAAGTGTATCGAGCAATTCCATATCTTCTTCCACATCTGCCATCGCTTCCTCCATCAATGCGAGCACCTGGGAGTACTGTGAAAGGAGCAGCAGATACCGAGTTACCTCCCGGGATACGGTAATTTTAGCATCACTGCGTTCAAGGCGTGTCGCGCCCGTTTGGGTCGATTTTTCTGGGCCGGGAATCGGTTCCGTGGTGGCGTCTAGAGACTAAAAAAGTGGATTTAGGGGCAAGCTAGCAGAGACAGTTTGCGGAATGGATAGGGCGGGGTAGCAGAGTTTATTGGGGAATTGGGGACACGAGAAACAGTCATTTTGGAATTGGGCAGGCTAGGAAAGAACATTTAGGAATGGCTGAGAAAGACTAGCAGAGATAATTTGGGAATCAAGGCAGGCTAGCAGAGATTATTTGGGAAAAATGGCAAGCTAGCAAAGACCATTTGCGGATGGGCCGGATTGGATAACAGAGGCGTTTTGAGGAATTGGGGCAAGTTATCAGAGAAAATTTTGTGATTTAGCAGTGACCATTTGCGGCCCGGACAGGCTAGCAGTGTTCCTTTGGGGAAAATGCCAAATATTCGCCACCCTACCTTTAATGCATCGGTATTCTGCCCAGCTTCCGCGTAGCTCCGCTCCTTCCGATTCCAAGTCGATGGGATCGAGACGGAGCCGAGGTCGCAGTCGTCGAATTTTCGCGCCTTTTTTAGCATACTGTAATCGCGATAAATTAGTATAATTATTGGATTAAATTCTGTCTATCTGTTAATAAAATTAGCTGCCAATACCTATAAAGGGGTTTTGATCCCCAAGCTAGCCATGTCAACCCGTGTTTCCATGGTAACCAGGGCTAAATAAACTCCAACTTGGCGCCTTGCCAAAGGATTCAAAAAACAATGATTTTTAAATGTACGCGCAATGTACCAAAAACTAAAGGACCGCACCATTATTTAAATATTCCATTTTCGAATACCCACAATTGCAAAAAATTAGCCTCAGCAGCGTTTTTCTTGCCATTTTCTACAATGCAATCCGCGGAGCTGCTCGTCATTTTTGTAGCTTGTAGCCGGGGGCTGCTGGGTACGGTAGGTGGGGGCACTTTTTAGAGAGATAGGTAGCGAGAGAGAGACACAGAGACAGAGAGAGAGAGAGAGAGAGAGAGAGAGAGACGCGACGCTCCCCTTTACAGGCGACGCGGCTGAGCCAGAATTCATTCGGTGCCCCGCGCGCGGAAATAGCACGGTTTGGGTGAAACGGGACGTGTTGCGGGAATGGAATGAAGACGAGTGTCGTGCCAAGGGTTTGTAATTTAATTTTTTAGTGACGCGTCCCCCGTAAGCCAAAATCCTTAGATTTCTGCCTTCCCGGTACCTTTAAAGGACTATTGAAGACAAAATCTATGGATTTCTGCCTTCCCAGTACCTTTAAAGGGCCCGGCAAGTCAAAATCCTCGTATTTCTGTCTTCGCAGTACCTTAAAGGACCATTGAAGACAAAATCTATAGATTTCCGCCTTCTCAGATCCTTTAAAGGACTGCTGAAGCTATTATCCATAGATCCACTAAACCAGAAAATTTCAGACTGCCCTCCGGGCCATGCCCCCATCCGCCTGGTCTCCGCCCAAAAATGCGTACAATTCGCTCAATTGACTGCCGGAGTACTGCCCGATTTATGGACCCTCTACCGTAATATCACCCATCTGATTACGCCACCCAATTCAGCGTGCACGCAAACGCAACACGTCAACTGCGGTGGGACGCGTCGCGTGCTGTGCGTTGAGGAGGATATGGTGGAGAAACACGATGAAATGGAAGGGAATTGCTCATTGACAGGTGCGGTTACGGTATGCGCCTACAGTATTCTGTAGATTGCCCGGGGCTACCGTATCACCATCCGTGTCGAGGCGTCAATCGTACGCAATGCTACCCGTACGCCCGGATTCTGAATATCACCGAGGAGGGAAGATGTATTGTTGATGGAATCGACGCTGAGGGTAGGATTGTCGTATATACCGATGAAGATCTGTTTAAAAAGGTGCATACGTAGCAACGTCCGAGCATGAGCATGAGCTTGAACTAGCAAAGGTCCGCGGAATTTAGCCGTTGTAGGTGCTCATCCAAACTTCGTCACCCACGACCAGCAGGATCCGGTTGATCTGACCACGCTGGCCTTGCGCGTCATCATCTTCACCGCCCTCATCATCTGCATTGTTTGGCGTGAGTGAGAGAGAGAGAGAGAGAGAGAGAGAGATATTCCAGACAATCGTTCGTACTTTGGGCTGAAGGCGAAAACCCTGAGCGCGGCCAAGTCGTCGGCCACCACCGCCCCTACGTCGAAGTCCAGCCCCCCGGATTCCACCCGTAGTGGTCCGCGAAATTTGCATTTTGCAAAAAAATGCGTATTTCGGTTCGAAAATCGAGCTCTTTCCAGAAAGATCAGTTTCCACAAAAATCCATATTTTTCAATTTTTTGATCAAGCCTTGTAAAGTTTTTGCGCTTAAATATTTCGAAAACTGCTCATTTCAGGTGAACTGGACAGCTCGAGAAAATCGACCACCATGCCGGCGTGATAGAACGCAGAGGAATCCGAGGAGAACAAGCCACGCCCCCTTTTGAATGAGAATCACCGTGCTTTTGCGTATTTTGATGTCTATTGTATTGTCGTGTACTACTGATTTTTGTGAAGACGAAAATAAAGTTTTGAAGATGAAAATGGTCAGTGTCTATCTATCTTCTCTCTCTCTCTCCCTCTCTCTCTTTCTCTCTTTCTCTATGGCTTACTCTCGCTCTCTAGCTCGATCATCTGTAGCAGAGAGAGAGAGAGAAAGAGAAAGAGAGAGAGCAACGTATACCTTGGCAAATTTGCATAAACAGTGTTAGAATAATTAAAATAGCTTCAAATGACTTTTCCAGGGCCTAAAAACCCGATTCTTTGTCTTTCTCGCCCATCTGAATGAGGTTGGTCACACGAAAATGCTAATTTTTCTTTTTTTCAGCAAAGAGGGTGAGGCCAACCCGACGAAGGCCAATCATCGGTAAGCAAAATCGACTTTGGCCAAACTCCAGATATACCCCTGCCTACTGTATCTCGACTGCCTGTTGTCCTACATGATTGTAAAGTATACCAAAATACTCACCAGGGCAAACCCAACATTTTGGCATACTTTACAACGCGGTAGCACAATGTGGAGACGAGATAGAGTAGATGAGGTCGACTTCGCTACGTATTTTGTATTTGAGGGGCGCCCGGCCGCGGCAGGACCCGGTGGAGACAGGCCCCGCCACCCCTCAGACGCCATTGAGTCGAAAGAGTACGGTAGGGTACTGTGGACGGGTACGGTAGCCGGGTGTATTTTAGACGACGGCCCGCAGCGACACCTCATCCAAGAAGGCCACCAGTGCCAGCGATGAGGTGGGGAACAGCCTATCTGTGCGTTGCTTGTCGCGCCCCGGAAAAATGAATGGATTGGCAATTATCATCCCTTTAAAACCCAATTCCTACAGTCGCCGATGATGGAGACGTTAGATGTGCCGAGGGGAGACATCGAGCCACTCGCCCCTAGATGCCACACTTGCCGCAACCCGCTCCGCGACGCTGCTGGGGATATGGTGCGTCGGGAGACGGGCACTAGCAAAATTTCAATTGTTTGGTTCTTTTGCGTTATCGGGGGGGGGACGAAATTTCTATAATTTTTAATAGTGTTTTTATTACAATTTAGCTTTATCGCAAGAGCCAAAACTCAAAAAAGCTCGAAATTTTGGTCGAACAATGATTTTCGTACTTTTTTTTTGATAAAGCGAATAGTAGGTATTTAATAATATTTTTTACAACGTGAACTGAATTCTAAGCGAAAAACTATCTATAAAATTTGAAATGCCTTCCAAAAATTCGCAAGTTCGATTAAAAATCGTGTTTTTAGCTCAAAAATCGTTATTTTGTATTTTTCAAAAGCTTGTTAAGTTTCTACTTTTAAGAATAGTAAAAAAAAATTACGCTACGTTTTCAGACCCCGTCGGTATTCGTCGGCGGGTTCTTCTACCATCAGAAATGCATGGGATGTCGTGTCTGCAGGGCCAAACTCGATGGAAACGCCTTTAGGTAGGGGATTACGGTATTCGATTACGCGATCTATCTAGGCAATTGAATGATGAGCTGCTGTGTCTGGACTGCTATCAGTTGTCGACACATCCCGCATGTTCGGGATGTGGAGGAATTCTGAGGGAGAGGGCCAGCTGGGCACTTGGACTGATGTGGCATCAGGGATGCTTCAGATGTGCTCGTTGTCATCTTGGAATGCCTGGTACGGGAGATCTCTCTCTCTCTCTCTCTCTCTTGCTGTCTCTCTCGCTCTCTCTTCTATAATCTCCCACTTTCAGCCAATGAATGGGTGAACATGAATGGTGTCCCATTCTGCGAGAATTGTGCCTGGATGTGTACCCTCGAGGGCTCCATCCCTCCCAAGCCCAAGCCCACCCAAGCCGCTTAAGCCGCCCCTCCGACACCACACATTAATGGTGGGCAAGCTTGCAGCGAGACTTTGGGGGATTACAGAACGTAATCGGTTGTCTAATCAGCTAGGGCAGGATAGAAGAGGCCATTTGGAATCGATTACGGCATGCTATTTTTTCCGTTTTTTTCAGAATTTCCTGCTCCTCCTCCCGTCCATGCTCCTCTCAACAGCCGTTTCGTCGTGGATTCTGAAAGTGACGTCCGCATCGCCCAGCAAAAACAACAATTAATTCGACCTTTTTTGGGTGTGAATAAATGTTCCTGGTTTTTCGTTTGATGTTACAATATTTATTATACAATTTATTAATCCGAAAACACGACAAAAACTATGCAGAAAAAGACACACGGCAAGTGGGGGGTTTTTGGTCGTAAATAGGAGGATTTTTGAAGGTGGGCTACTGTACTTTGGGGTGTAAAGGGGAGCGTACGTACTCCGCTACGCAACACTCCTTTCTACGCTGTTCGTCAGAGAAAGATGTATAAATGAGCGTCACGTCGTCGCGCAAGCCGCTACGCAACGCTTCTCTTGACAGCCCATAATTACAGTAGCCAGCCCTCAAAAATCCCCTAACGTTTTGCGTTGTCGGGAATACACGTATTGGGGATAAGGGGAGGGGGGGCTATGGGCTACGGTAGACTACAAAATACGTGCAGTAGACGGGAGGTAGATGACACGGTAGGGTAGAAGGATTTGGGGTAATTGGGGTACGGTAGCCGGGGGCAGGTTTTAGGAAACGGGCGGAAATCTTTGGCAGTTTGATGGCAAAAAGGACTGGGATTTTGATAGATTCTTGGGTTGTCGGCACCTTTAAAGGGGTGGGCAAGGCGTGGCTATGGATTTTTTGCGGGCAATTACATAGCGTATTTTCATAGCGTAATGGGTTAGAGTATACATGGGCGGTCACCCCGGAGGGTCACCCTGGGGGTGACCGCCGCTCACCCCCTGGGGGTGAGCGCAATGGCACCCTGGGGTGACCCTCCGGGGTGACAATCCGGTCACCCTATAGATGCAAAGTGCTGCATTCAAATAAACTTCTATGGCAAGATACCGGTGTTTGGCCGCAAATATCATAAATTTTTCATTTTAATCGAGTATAAAACACCCTTCAAGCGGTAGTGGGAAAGTATATAACTTAAATTAAAAAAATTTAGCCTTCTGATCGCTGCCTACAGCAAATTCTTGACCGTTGGTCATTTCCATCTAAGTAATTTGCGTGGATAGGGTGATCCGGTTCCGCACCCTCACCCCCACGAAAAATGGAGGGGTGACACCCCATCGTGCCATTCAGTCACCCCCAGGGGGTGAGCGGCGGTCACCCCCAGGGTGACCCTCTGGGGTGACCGCCCATGTATAGGTTAGAGTTAATGGCGACGCGCGCATTACGTGTCGTGTCGGATTAAAGTCGATTAGAAAAAGCGAAAAATCCTTGGCCGTGCCTTGGCAGTCCCTTTAAAACGCATTAACATAGGCTGTACTCATTGCCGCACTCAAGACTCAGGATAATCCGCTGTGCTGGAGGCTCGATTGTTGGCTGAAAATGTTAGAGTTGATTAAGTTGCTGTTTCTACGCATTAATGAGCAAGCAGGAACCTTTGGGGAATTCTTACCGTAGTCACCTCTTCGGTCTGGTTTTTCTCCATTTCTGGCGGCTCCGGGGCACTCCGTTTTGCGCGCGAAATGGCATTATTGGAGAGGGGTTTTGGAGTCTCCTGAAAATTTTAGAGAGGTGAAGAGAGAGAGAGAGAGAGAGAGAGAGAGAGCGAGAAAGAGATACAAGCTCCCCCTACCTCAGCTATCGATTCCGAATAGTCAATCTCGGAATCGGAGGCCATAGACGTCCGCGTTGATGTAGAATAGAAGCCCTCAGAGGAGGAGGTCGACTGAAAATAGTTGTACTGTAGTCTTCAGGCCTATTTTCGGGCTTCGTTTATTTTTTTAAGAACTTGTTGAAAAACACCGTTTGACAAACGTAAAACGTCATAAAACAAGCCAAAAACACGCTTTTTGACCGAAAGTCCATGAAAAAAAGGGGCTAGAAATTGACTTTTCGACAAAATTTCGCATTTTTTAGAGGTTTTTCGATAGTTTTTTGCTTGAAATATCATTACATTTTACCTATCTTTATTAAAATTTTTTTTTTTTTTTTTTTTTTTTTTTTTTTTTTTTTTTTTTTTTTTTTTTTTTTTTTTTTTTTTTTTTTTTTTTTTTTTTTTTTTTTTTTTTTTTTTTTTTTTTTTTTTTTTTTTTTTTTTTTTTTTTTTTTTTTTTTTTTTTTTTTTTTTTTTTTTTTTTTTTTTTTTTTTTTTTTTTTTTTTTTTTTTTTTTTTTTTTTTTTTTTTTTTTTTTTTTTTTTTTTTTTTTTTTTTTTTTTTTTTTTTTTTTTTTTTTTTTTTTTTTTTTTTTTTTTTTTTTTTTTTTTTTTTTTTTTTTTTTTTTTTTTTTTTTTTTTTTTTTTTTTTTTTTTTTTTTTTTTTTTTTTTTTTTTATTCATTATTAAGTTACTAGGCACTACTGGACTTTCAAAAACAAAGAAAATTGAGCTAATATGATACCTGCGCTTTCCCAGTTCGTTTCCTATCGACACTACTGTGTCCACTACTTGGTGATCGATGCGACAGCTCGTCCTCCTCTCTATAAAGCACTATTTACCCCTCTAAAATCCCTTACGATATCGGTGCCATCATTCCATCCATTCCGGGCAATGGGATCACATCGTTACCCTCAACTTCTTTGATCTAAAAGTGATGGCTAGCTGGCAGAGATTATTGTGGGAAACCTGGTTGTTATTGGCGCGGTCTCGCTTTTTGAACATGAGCGTGTTGAGTTGGAGGAAATGGTCGGGGACCGCTGAAAATTGACATAAATATATCTGCCTTTTACAACAATTATTTTGGTACATTTTATAGATTTTACAGAATAGCCTAAAACTTACTGGAAGGATCTCGAAAATCCACCACAACACTCTCGTGTCGTTTGATGCGGTCTCGAATCCCGTGAATTTTCCCTGGTTCCCTAAAATGGCAGCCTATTAGCTTTTCAAAAACATTAAAGGAACGTGTACTTTTGGGTTTTAAACCCGGAGGATTTTGTTTAAGAGGTATGCTAGGAAATAAAGTAAATACCATAAACTATAAACTATGCCTCAATACCTCGGTACATATCGATCCCGTGCGACAACAAATGCCAAAAGCCCTAATGCCACAATGGCCATTAGGATGGAGAACCCAGCCAACACAACATTCAACGTCGTCATCGACCACATCTTTTAGACATCAAAAAAGATTCTGAAATAGGGAAACTAGCAGAGAACATTGGGGAAATGAGGCAACATAGCGGAGAGCATTCGAGAAACATTGGGGGAAGGCCTTGACATGGGTCAGGGCATGGTACAGTGGCATGCCATCTTGACAGTCAAGCAGGCTAGCAGAGATTACTTGAGAAAATTCGGACCTCCTGCCCGCTAGGAGAGATTATTTACCAAAAAGATAAAGAGACGAAGACATGATACACAGAAAAAAAAAAAAAAAAAAAAACGGGGGCCCAAAAAAAAAAAAAAAAAAAAAAAAAAAAAAAAAAAAAAAAACAAAAAAAAAAAAAAAAAATAAAAAAAAAAAAAAAAAAAAAAAAAAAAAAAAAAAAAAAAAAAAAAAAAAAAAAAAAACCAAAAAAAAAAAAAATTAAAAAAAAAAAAAACCCCACGGCTTATTTTTAAAACCCCCCCCCCGGGGGGGGGGGCCCCCCCCCGGGGGGGTTATTACATTATCCTTAAAAAAAAAAACGCAGATGGCAAGGTAGCAAAAATCTTTGCGGAAGCGTGGAAATTTGCCGATGTACTAGCACAAGCTAGCGAAGCTTTCTTGCGGAAAACGTCACGGATTCGTGGGCAGGCTAGCAGAATTTCTTTGTGGAAAGGACAAAACTTGCAAAAAATACGATTTTCTGAGCATGCTAGCAGAGATCCTTATGTTAGCGGTAAATTCAAGGAGCAGAAAAACTTGAGGAAGCATGCTGGCTTATAGGGCAAGCTAGCAAAGATTCTTTCAAGAAGGTGATATTTTCCAAGGCAGGCTAGCAGAGATTCTTCTCCTAAGAACTTAATATTAATGCTAAAAGTCGATATTTCATGTCTTAAGGGTCAAATAGAGGAAAGAACACAGTATTGTGTGTCCTTCAGGGGGTGTCCCCCTAAAATTGGCAGCGTTTTGGAGGTTGGTGTGTCTTTTTGGGGGTGGGGGAGAGCGGCTGAAGCGGGGGAAAATGTACCCCCAGGGCACAACACTTATACAACACAGCTTAGAAAGGGAAGATGGCAGTCTGGCAGAGATTATTGGGGGATTTGGGGGCGTAATCGGTTGTTCATGTTGTGTAGACGCGGTATGTTGAGAGAGATAATTGTGGAAAGAACCGGAACATTGCCTATTACCTATTAGTGCGAGTCCCAGGGCAGACTAGCAGAGATAATTTAGGAAGCGTTAGCCAGCTCGTACAAGGCAAGCTAGAAGAGATTATTCGGGATTGGAAGCCGTAATCGGTTGTTCGTGTTGTCTAGGCAAGCAGGGCAGGGAAACAGGGATCACTGGGGGAAATTACTTTTCTGGCTATCAATGCATCAAATTATCAGCGTTTTTGCCTAAAAATGACAAATACCCCTGTGGCCAGTGTATGTGCAGAGTATCCCCTCGGAATTAGGCCATCGCCCTCCCCCATTTTCGGGGTCAAAAAAGACTGATCAGCGCATCCGGCACACCACACCGAGGGGCAACACAACGAATTTGGGTCAACGAATGGGGGAGGGAGGGGGTTTGTGATGTTTTAAAGGGACTGGCAAGGCAAAAAAGAGAATTTGGCAGCTTGCCAATTTTTCAGAAATCGTCTAAAACGCTGATCCCCCATTTTAAAAAGGACTGGGAAGGCAACAAAAAGGAGATTTAGCAGCTTGCCAATTGGGAATTTTATGCATTATCGAAAAAAATGCTACAAAACCAGAATTCAGCCATTTTAAAGGGACTGGCAAGGCAGGAAAAGTAAGTCTCACAGCATGCCAATTCAGCAATTTATGCTTTAATGGAAGAAACCCCTGCTTTAAAAGGTGCCATCAAGTAAAAACTGAGTAATTTTAAAGGGATGCTGCCAGCAAGGAAAGGGAATAGAAAGGTGGCGGAACAGCTGGCAGAAAACCTTGTGGAACTAAAATTTTTGAAGCTAGCAGAGGCAACTTAGGAATATCAGGCGTGCTAGCAGAGACCATTTGAGAAATCAGGGCAAGCTATGCGACCACTTGGCAATCGAGGGAAAGCTTGCACAAAAATTAACTGAAACAGGCAATCAGCGACCATTTGCGAGACAAATACAGCCAAGCAGAAAATCATTTGTGGTTTAGGTAAGCTAGCAGGGATTTTTTGAGAATGGGCAAACAAGCCAGCAGAGACAATTTAGGAATAACAGGCCACTAGCACTAGCAGCAGACTAGCAGAGATTATGCAAATCTTCCAAAATCCTTGGCTGAACCCCTTCTGGGGCAGTGTTTGGTGGATCGAGACGGAATGATGGTCAGTTAGGGGGAGGGGAAGGTGTGACAAAAGAGGGAGAGAGGGAGAGAGGGAGAGGAGAAGCTTTTAGGGGGTGGAAGAAGCCTCTCATCTGTACCGGGCATAGCAATGGAATCCAATGGAATGGCAGTCGCCTCTCTCTCTCCCTCTCTCCCTCTCTCTCTCCCGCTCTCTCCCTCCCTCTCTCCCCTCCTTTTTAGAATCGACTGATCCAGTCACCAAAACCAGAACATCCAACAGCCCCTCTCTCCCCCACAACCGTCACCTTAAAGCCTGAAATAATGGACTGACCAGGCTACTAGATTTAAAGGAACATGGAAGGCAAGGAAAAGCTTTCCTTAAGGATCTTTGCTAGTTGGCCATGAATTTACAAAACCATTTACTAAACAAAAGAACCACTGTAAAGTTCCAGTAGACGTCAAATTGCCTCTGCTAGGTTGCCCGGCCGCGGTACAGATTTCCTAAAAAATCCCTGTGAGCCTGGCATATACAATCCAGAGCGTAAGGTTTCCTCAATGATCTTTGCTAGCCCACCCTTACTACTAATGGGTTTCTGCTATCATGCTTCGGTGGCATTTGGAATTCCTAAAGCGTATTTGCTGGGCGCCCTGAATTCCTTTTCTACTAGTTTGCCCTAATTTTCAAATAATCTCTGCTGCTATACCGAAATGCCTATTCCTCCTCAATCTTCTCTGCTAGCCTGCCCTAAATATTGAGCGAAAATTTGTTCCTTTTTAACCATAAAACGGTCTAAAAGACAAGGAAAACGGAAAAACACAGCTGATCGACTACGCGGTACAACGTGGACGGTTTGTGACTGGGCAATAGAAAAAGGGAGAAAAGAAGACGATTCCCCCTTCCCTCTCTATTCAATGGCCAATCGGACCCTGTAGAAGAAATTCGAGACGAACGGGGGACCCACCAAAAAAAGAGAAGCACACCGGCCGGTTTGGCGGGTCCTGACTGGATTGATAATTAGTGGATGGGTATGGTTGGAGCTTGATTCGAACTATGTTCGGGAATTAGGGCATGCTAGCAGTGATTTTTGGAGGTATTTGACCCTTTTATAGAATTTTAGCATGGACTTTTTTTTTGGGAAATTCAGCTATGGCCAGCTAGCAAAATTCTTTTCGGAAATTTTACGCAGGAATCGAGCAGTGATGCTTTGGAGAAAAATAGGAATGGGTGGCTAGGACATTCTTTGGGAAATCATCTTTAAGGAATTTTTAGTTGGAAAAACGAGTTTCCGGCAAGCTAGCAGAAGTTCTTGAGGGCATTTTCAGCCAAGCGAGCAGCGATTGTTTGCGAAAACAAGATCCCTGCAAGCTAGCGGAGATTTTTGAGGATACGTGAAATTATCAGAGTAGTGGCGAGCTAACAGAGGCCATTGAGGAAATTACGTTGTGTACTGTAAACTGTAGTGTAGTGGACTGGATTTGGGATATAGGGGGATGGAATGGTAGGCAGCATTGGTACGTGGCGGGACATGACCACGTGTCTTCAAGAAGAAGAAGAGAGAGCTCTCAAGGGATAGGGCCACTTGGCACATGGTTAGCACCGGAAGGGAAGAGAAGCCACAGAAGAGAAGACAAGAACTGTCCGGTCTATCTAGGCAGAGAGAGAGAGAGAGAGAGAGAGAGAGAGAGAAGGGATCTACGGCAGACCGGGATGTCAACATCCCCCCCCCATCATCATCCAATGTCCCCCCCCCACCATAGCCCACGTAATTCGGGGTCACCTAACCGGAACCAGAGGACTAGGAGAAGCTGAACCAGGATATTGAATTCTTGGCCCTACCACCGATTTTTTACAACAGGAAAAGCCTCTACAACAGCAAACACGACTTTTCACCAAAAGTCAAAACTTTTTGCCGAGGCCGGGATCCGAAGGCGGGTCATTTGGGACCAAAAGTGGAAGCCTGACCCCTACCCTACACCAGACCGGAGAACCAAAAAATCAGTTTTGGCCTTCGAAAACCAGGATATTTTTTCAAAAAACCAATCTCCCCGTGTGGCCCACCCAAATTAGACGAATGGCCCATTTCGGAGGGCCCTAAGAGGGTGTATTTGGACCCGATGAGGGGATACCTGGCGCGACACTCAATCCACACACAAACAAACAAACAAACCACCAATTCGACAGCCGTTTTTCGAAGCCCCCGAGCCCAATCCACACACACTCCACACACCTTCGCGCTTCAGGAAATTGGGCAGAAATTGTATTTTTCAGGTTATACATAGATATGCGGGTTCTTGTGCATTATCGGGGGGGGCTTTTCCTTTAGGATCCAATTTTTCCGGTATAGATAGAAAAAGTGTTTAAACCCATAAACTATATAAATTTGCATTCAAAAATTAAAAAGATCGATTTTCGACAAGAACTTCGCATTTTTAAAGTTTTTAGATAATTTATGCTTGAAATATGCGCAAATTTTACTAAGAACACCATACAAATACTACATACTTTTTTATCACATTACTAGGCATTTCTGGCTTTAAACCAAAAAAAGAACCCCCTCCACCCCCGGTGATGCAAAAGCACCCAGACTAGAAATTTGCTCAAACAACAAATAATAAATCAACAATCGATTACGCTATAAAATGCGAAAAGCTTGTGCGTATAAAAGGAGCCTGAGATGGGAGTTTAGGAGCTGATCGGAGTATGGGGATCCGGCTTCCCCCCCCCCACAGCTGGAGATTTGCGGTGTTCGTGGAGGTGATAAGCGAATCCCGGCTCTTCCCCATTCGGAACTTGATCCGGAACATCCACACGCATACACCAACCAAGGGGTTTTTCCCGTTATCGGGGGGTATCAGGGAAACTCAAATGTTTGTCGTTAGCATCCATCTTGCTAATTTAAATAGAGAAATGGTTTAATTAGGATTTTGCAAAGTTTGATTTTTAGGTAGTTTTTCTCTTTAACTTGAAATATAGTTAAATTCTGCTATAAATCAAATAAAAAAATTTCTGACTTTATTAAATGTTTCGAAAACTACGATTTTTTGACAAAAATCTCCTATTTTGAAAAGTTTCTAGAAATGTTTTGCAGCCTTTTACTCAAAAACCACTAAAAACCATCAAAATACACTTTACAAAGTCGAGAATTTTGTTAGGTAAGCTAGGTACCCCCCCCCCCCCCACTAAGAGTCCAGTACCTCCAAAATAAAACAGAAACTGAAAGCCTGGAAGACGGGCAGATAATTCGACTGGGAAATTTCACGGAAAACTAGCCGATTTGAATGGCCTGGGGGCAAGTATGTGGGTGTGAACTGGTCCCCTGGCTGATAGGTATGTGCTCAGAAGAAGTCATCAAGGTGAATGTGAATAGAGAGAGAGAGAGAGAGACAGAGAGAGAGAGAGAAAGAGAGCGACAAAGAGATACAGACAGAAAAGACATGACAAGAACCCTCTTGTCATGTCGCGCGGATCGTGGTAGGGGGCGAACTTGCCGTAGCCCCATCCCCCCTTCGAGAGCCGATCCCAGGCGGCACAAGCGGAAGCGCATTCAACGAACAATCCGCTGCCCCGGCCGCGAACACCCACAAAAACCATCGGGCGCTACACAATGCTACACCTGACGGCATTGGAATGGTAGCACTCGATAATGTAGCACCTGGGAATTGCGTTATGCAGCAGCAGGATCCATCTGAAGAAAGTTATTTATCACATCTACTGATGGGAAAAGCCAAAATACCGACATGCAAAAAAAATGGTTGTCAGTATTCTAGCTGTCGGGATTATGTAACGACATCGAGACGAGGAAACTCGCTCTGCAAAAAACCGGCATTAATGCTCTTTGATTTTACAAGCCCACACACTTTTTGGTCAGCTGAACGAAGAGCCGCGTTATCAGAAAAAGGGGCCACCCCGTTTTTGGACTCTCGATCGACCACTTCCAAGCGATAAGCTCCGGCGATTTTCGATTTTTAAAGAAATCGCATCCGGATGTGGACCAAATTGCTTTTTATTCTCGGCCCCCTGGCCTCAGTCCAGGTCTGACTTTTCGTGTCTTTTCTAAAAAATCAAAATACTAGGCCCTAACGATCAGACCGCGCGGGCCACTTCGCGAGGATGTTCACCGATTCCTGCGACGCCGCTACCAGGTTTGGAGTTTGTAGCCCGACGTACCTTAACTGAATATATCTAGGATAATGACCCGGAGCCGAAGCCAACTGCCGATTTTCTCATCGGAAGTAGTTAGTTGTTTTCTAGACTTGAAAACAAAAATCGGGCCTTTGGCATTCTCGGGGGTGCCCAGTAAGGTAATAGGAAGTATTTTTCTAGTGTTTTTTAGTCAAATCTAACTACTTTACAGGTGGAAAAATTATAAAAAGTAAAAATTGAGATTTTGGTCGAAATCTTGAGTTTTGTATTTTTTAGCAAACCGAATAATAAAGTAATACATGTATTTTAAAAGTTTTTTGGTAAGGAATATCTAATTAAAACTCGAAAAACTTAAAAAATTAACAAAAATTATAAAATTTGGCGGAAAAACCTATATTTTTAGTGTATTCTTAGGTTTCCCCCACCCGATAATGCAAAAGTACCCGTCAATTACCCAGAAACCATTGCGGAACTCTATTTAATTTCAGACGGGCAACGTGTAGAACTGTCGCTTGACCTGACAACCCGCGATACATGGATTGTGGACAAAAACTGCGGCACTGAGCTGTGCGATATGGGCACCATCGGGTTCGACGCGACCCAGTCGGTGACGTTCCGCAATTCGACACTGCCCTTCCACGGCACCTTCTACGACGAGCTGAATGGGGTGCACGCCGTCGCCGGGTTTGCCGTCATCGACCAGATGCAGTTGAGCACATACCCTCAGAATGACCGCACGTGGCGCTCCGTTTTTGCCGTCGTCAACGCGCGCGACACGAACAGCACCATGGGCAATTGGCCGTACTATGGAGCGGTGAGTAGTGGGGGTCTTAACACGGAAATAGGTTCTTTACTATTTGCGGGGGGGGGGAGGGGGTGAATTTTCCTATTGCTGAGAAATCAACAGTGAAGTCATGGCAAATATTCTATCATTTTTGGTAAAATTTAGCTGTATTACAAGTGGAAAAACACCTAAAAACCTTGCAAAAACGCGACAATTTTATTTTTATAAGCATAGCGCCAAATGATAGTCTTTTCGAAAAATTTAATTATACTTTAAGTCAAAAACTAATTAAAAATGAAAAATGCTCTAAAAATTCGAAATATGGCTAGAAACCTATATAGTTATTTTCTTAGATATATTTTTGTAGTTTTTAGGTTTCTAAATAGTAAAAAGTCTAGAATTCTAAGGAGAAAGCCCCCCCCGGAAATCTAAAGAACTGAAAACCCTCCCAGGTCGGCCTAGCCCCCGGAGATGGTGACCTCCTCGACCCGGTGCTCCCTCATCTCCTCCAGGGCTACAGTGATCAAGTGCTGACGGTGTGGATGCATGATCAAGACGGGTGGGAGGTACCCTATCTTAATTCACCGGGCCCAAAATTAGATACCAGTTCTTCGGCGGGTTCTTCCCCGGCTCCTATGAGTTCGACTGGACCCAGAATTGTGACAACACCACCTATTTCACCACGCCTGTCACCGAGCCGACCACGTGGCGCTTTGCTGTCAATGGGTGGGTTAATGACCTGAAAGGACCTAAACATACATTTAAATTCCAGCGTAAACGTCGGCACATACACGCGAAAACAGACGGAACAAGCCGAGATCAACGCGCAGTCGATGCTCACAGGGGTTAGTTTTGAGCGTGGATGACTATAAAAATACGGTTCTGGACTTTTAGCGGGGGAGCTATCTAGCCTAGACATACCTACCTATCACAATTGAAGCGTTTATAGTGTTTTTAGTATTATTTGATTACTAAAAGGCATAACAAAATGTTACAAAATAAAAAAACATGATGTTTTCAACGTTTTTCTTACGAACCAAATTTTAATAACTTTTTATCAGCTCTCTATACTTAAAAACGGCGTAAAAATTAAACAAATGGTTTGCCTGCTAGTCTTAGAATCGGCGTAAGTTAGCCCCCCACCCCACCCCCGCTAATAGCCTAGAACCAAAAATTATAAGAGATATCAATAACCCGAAGCCTAGGTCCCGCCGCTTGTCTACAACGCTATCGTCTCGTTAACCGGGGCAAAGCCTGGAAACAGCAATTTGGTAAGACTCGGCCAACTTGAAAACAACCCCTTTCAGCTGAACATCGACTGCCGCAAAATCGACTATCCCGACATAACGATCACGATCGGCAAGCAGAATATCACCGCCTCGCAGGACGTTTATGTCTCACGAGATATGGTGGGTGCAGTTATTCCTAAATTGGCTTCAATTATAAATCTGCTAAAAAGGCCATCGGAATTCATCCTGGAAAATACTGCAATTAACGAAAATCATTGATTTTAAAAATTTTATTCAACAAACAAAATGCAGAAAGTAAGAACGTATTCTGGCAATTTACTTCTGATCTTCTCGACCCTTCGCCAATTCCTCGTCAATTTCCGCCAGGCGCGTAGCGAACTGACGGGCAACCGGCACATAAAGCTCGAATTCCTTCTCGAAATCCGCGGCAGCCTTGTCCACCTTCTCCACGATTTTTCGGCCATCTCCATACTTTACGCAATTCATGATTTGCGTCAAACGATCCTTTCCGGTGAGCAACACCTTCTCCACAGCATCGTTGATGTTCTTCTCCACGTATTGTAGATTTCCCTGGAAGCCTTCCACGATATCGGTATACCTCTTATCGCTTTGCTGCTGAAGTTCGTAAAGCTCAATGCCGAGGAGTTTGGCAACTGCATGGTCGTGATGGGAGTCGAAGGCGCAATTTCCGCAATTGATCGTGCTACAGTTTTGGCATTTGTAGAGACGTTCAACGCTCCGGATGAGACCACAGTCCGAGCACACCATCTCGAGCTCCTTGCTCTGATCTTCTTGCTTGTCGACTGTCGGTATTTGCGACAATTGAGTCTTCAGCTTTTCGTTTTCGGAAACCTGGTTATTCAAAACTATTTTCAGTGTCTCTATCTCTGTTTGGGCGGAGTCGAGCTTTACCAGTTGCCAGAAAGCGACCATCGCACGATCCACGGAGTACACAGTTGCATCTATGATTACGGCATCACATTCCACGCAAAACACGCACCCAGCTCCCGTTCGTCGTTCATCACAGTATTCGCAAACATAATGTCCACATCCAGCTGGCACACCAATCCATTCGTTCACCAGAAGTGGCCCCTCACAAACGGCACAATGCGGCTCGGCGATAGGAAGAGTATATGTATATCCCTCAGCCGTCCACTCGAACTCATCCAGCCCCAGAAAGTCCATGAGCCCCCGCTGAAGCGCATTGTTCGATGCTGGATCACATTCAAAGCAACAGATCTGCTTATATTTTTGTGAGTAGACGGGTCTTAGCTCTTCCAACTCCCATTCAAACGGCCTGTCGCAGAGAGGGCAGTTGAAAGCCTTTGTGAACATCGGCGCTGACCTGAAATTAAACAATCAGTTAGTTGGCTAAAATGAACCGGAACGATGAGACTAATTTAACAAAATGAGTAAATCCGCGAAATGGGCGTGCTTTTCAGGAAAACGGGGACCAAGTGTGCCGACTTCTCTTCTACGCCACGCAATCATCTGGCTTTGCCCCCGCATGGAAGCTGAGCTATCTCTGGCAAGTTTCAAAAACCATAGCCGTTAGCCCCTTCCAGGTTCTATCAAATGTGCTTCCACTTCAACACGAGCCCTCTCTCCGTCGGATTCTCGCAGCAAACGTGGTAACACAAAGCCGAAAATATTGCCGAGCCACGCGAACAGTAAATATTTATCAGTGCTATAAATGCCAGGCGAAGTAACTAACAACACGCGAACACGGTAACAATGGACAACTTAACAGTTTAATAGGATTAGAGCCTTCCAAAAAGGCGTGGGGAAGATAAATGGCTATAAGGGAATGTAGCATAAGCATTAGACCGGATACGGCCACCATCGGGGAACGCGACTATACACGTAATGTGACCCGTATAAAGAGGAAATCTGTTGTAAATTGGGCTAGAAGGAAACTAGAATACGGACTAGAAATGGACAACAAGCGAAGGGGAATTATGCGCCGGGCAGGTCGTCGTCGGAACTGAGTTCGATGACCTCGTTGTCGAAATTGTTTTCCTTGTCGGTCCCCTGTGCCGAAGAACGAGTGCCTGCCGATTCGTGAGATCTAAAACAAATATTTTTCATGAACTAACGTTACTAACCCCTCTCCTCTTTGGTTTTTTTTTCTTTTCCTCCCCCCCCAACTTTTTTATATTTTTAAACCTTTTTTTTTTTTTTTTTTTTTTTTTTTTTTTTTTTTTTTTTTTTTTTTGGTTTTTTGCCTTTTTTTTGGGTGTTTTTGGTTTTGTTGGGGGGTTTTTCCCCTTTTTTGTTGTTTTTTTTTTTTTGTTTTTTTTTTTTTTTTTTTTCTTTTCTTTCTTTCCTTCTTTTTTTTTTTTTTTTTTTTTTTTTTTTTTTTTTTTTTTTTTTTTTTTTAAGGTTTTTTTTTTTTTTTTTTTGTTTTTGTTTTTTTTTTTTGTTCGGGGTTTTTTTTTTTTTTTTTTTTGTTTTTTTTTGGGGGGTTGGGTTTTTTTTTTTTTTTTTTTTTTTTTTTTTTTGGTTTATTGTTTTTTTTTTTTTTTTTTTTTTTTTTTTTTTTTTTTTTTTAATTGTTTTTTTTTTTTTTTTTTGGTTTTGGTAAAAAAATTTTTAAAAAAATTTTTGGGGGAAAACAAAAGTTTAAAAAATTTTCAATTATAGACCAAAAATCGATACCTTGCCGACTCGACAATTTCCTTCTTGAGCTGTTGGAGGCGGGAGTTGGCGCTGTCGGACACCCGCAGCTCGCTTTCATCGTCACAACTGTCTATCGCATTCGACTCGAGCTCTGGATCATCAAAGTTTGTGAAGTCCTCCTTCGAAAGCCACTCTTGCACAAAGTCTTCCTTCTGAAAAAAAAGAAATTCTAAAAAAGCCAGTCAAAAGCCGCACCTCAATGTTGATGGCGAGAGTAGCTGGGTCCATCTCCGGATCCTTGTCAGACACTTTCACGCAGAGGACCTAAAACAAGGATAATTACCCATTTTAGGGGGCTTACTTCAATTTCATCATCGTCGCCCGCGACCATCGCTGGCTTTCCCTTTGAATTTGGGTGGATCATAACTTTTTTTGAGGGCCCATCGCTATCGCCACGCTAAAAAGGTTGAGAATTGGAAAAGTGAAGAAGTTCTCACAGCCAGCCTTCGCTTCTCTCGACGTGATGCCGTAGCGGTCATATCATTATTCGTCCGCGATCCAGTCGGCGTGCTTTGGACTAATTGACGATAAGCCTTGGAAACTTTTTCACATACGGTTGGTAATGTCATCAGGAGAAGCGCATTCCATCGGAGATTTGTCGGTGGCAGTGGCAACAGCTTCAGGATCGTCCAAGACACTCGTCTATCCTCAACCTCATAAAAATATCTTTTTAAAATAATACCGCTTCCGTTTCTTCGTCATGCATCCTCTCTACTGAGCACCCGCTGGAGAGATTTATGGTGGCGGCATCAACCTAAATAAAAACTAATAAATCGGAAATATTACTCACCTTGTCCAAGCCATCTCCCTCCTCACATTGAGCCTGGCCTGCTTCTTCGTCTACTTTCATCTCCAGGTCTTGCGCTTTGCCATCCTCTTGTTGCATCACCGTGTCCTCCGTTAGGTCATTGTCCTCTTTTTCGTCGATCTCTCCGTCTTCGAGTTCACCGTCTTCTTTTTCTTCGCAGCTTTCGTCTTCCTCTTCATCGGCGACAGTTTCCGCTTCCTCTGAAGCCGTGCCGATGACACCGCAACAGCCCATTATTTCGTCCAGCCCTTTGTTGACGCGCGCATCATACTAAAAAGGTTTTGAGCTAAAAAATTTCCCTTGCCTCAGCATCTTGAATTTCCTTGGCCAGCACGTCGTGTTTAGAGGCTTCAGCAGCGGCGTTTGAGCCTTGTTCTTCCTCTTCGATAATCTCGGCATCCTCGTCTTCATCTCCAGCTTGCGCTTTCTAGTCAAGTATTAAGAATTTCGGCATCACAGTCCAATAGACGCCATTTTTCGAACTTTGAGAAAATAAATATGCGATTAGATGTGTGCTTTTGGTAAGGTTAGGCGCAAATCAATATGCGAAAGTACCTTTGGATCGGTGTCGTCACCTTCATCCGGCACATTTTCTAGCTGGTCTTGATTTCGTCGGATCATCTCCTACATTTGCAAAAATCACCGTTTTATAACAAGGATACGTACAACAATTTTGGCTGATCTCTCCGCGGTAGTCTGGCCAGACTCGGCCACTGGGATTTGGCTGCAGAAACTAGGCTCATCAGGAAGAACAGTATCTAAACTCGATAAACTTGATCAAAAAACTAAAATACCATTGAGCATTTTGAAATAACCGCTAAATTCGGCGCGATACTCCTTGAGTTTTTGGTGGATCAGCACTGAGACGTCTATGATGAGTTGCTCTAAACGAGGAGGGCTTCTTTAGTAGCAGTCTTCATACCTGCTTCAGGAGTTCCCAATGCCGGGACTTTCTTTACCACCTCAGCATGCTCCTGGTCTTGCTGGTGTTGGGCGGTAATCAACGCAGCGATTTGATCCGGAAGCAGATTGCTGACAAAATGATATATAACGTCTTCTCGAAACGCAAACCCTATGAGGCGGTCCTGGTCTAATGCCGCGTAAACAGCCTTCGACAATCGATCATCAAGACCCTACAAATAGTGAGTGACGTAACCAAATCTACCTGAAAGCCGGAGCCCGCGATAATGATTTTCGGCGTGCTTTCGTACATGGCGCGGAATGGCTTGTACTTCATCAGCTTAGCATCGATTTCGGCAAGACGAGCGGTACACTGAGATCGAGGTATTAGCGCGGTTTGCCAAGAGTCACAAGTTTCGCATATTTTTGCAAGAAATAAGCGCAACAATGCTGACCACCAATTTTTAAACATAACCCACCTTTTCTTCTTCTTTCATATAAACCTCCTCCTGCTCGATATTGTCGAAGTCCATCTCACGGTCCTGGAGCTGCTTCAATTTTGCGTCGATTTTCTTAAAATTTCAATATGGCCACTCTTTAGAGGCATACCTCCCGCACAGCGAAAAGCTGCTGCAACTGCTTGAATTTCTTGGCCGGGATTTCGTCTTCATTTGTCTCCTTCGAGGTACCGGCAACGGGCCCGGAGCTAGTTGCAACCTGTTAGAAAGCATAATTTTGCAAGGCTGGTGGTCTATTACCTGATCGGGTGGATCCTCTTTCTTGCTCATGCTGCTTGCCAGCAATCACGTGCAGGCTACCCTGAAATCTGTAAATAAGGCGAATAGCCCGTAAGAGGAAATAGAAAGACCAAAACATCTAGTTTGCAGTATTTCATCCAGTCGCGTTAATTTTTTATCCAAGCAAAAAAACAACGGGTCAAAATCAACAATCATGAATCAACAACATATAACGACAATCTAATAATTTTCGAAATGTTCTATTCTGTATGAACGAATTCCTCCATTCTTCATTCCAAGTGCGAGGTAGGCGCCATGTGGTGAGAAGGCTGCCGAGTAGATGTGGCCCAATTTCTCGCGCCTGAACCGGATCAGAGAGCCATCGTAGCGGAGTATACCTTTCCGGGAAGTTTTGATAGATCGTCTGGCTTGCCATATGGACGACTCGAACTTGTTGCTTCTAAATCGAGGTCAGTGGCCCTAAAAATGAAAACCTGTAGCGAACTGGCGATGACCATCAACTTTGAATCGTGATTGAACGTAATCGAGTCCACAGCGGTCACCAGATTTGTGATAGAAAAACTCGTTTCCGGAGATTCCGTCTTTCTCACTGCATCTGTTGCATACACGTTCACGAAGCCCGTGTTTTCGCTAAAGATCATATCAATTTTCGCGAAAATTGCTACCCGATTGCCACATATCTGCCATCCGGGCTGAGAGCCAATGCTGTGCCATGGACCGCGCCCTGGTTGAAGAATGTGTGCAGTTCTTTCGTCGAGCTCGACCAAATGTAGACCCGGCTGTTTTCTGAAAATTATCGAAATTTGCTAAATCGAATTCAAAAACCTCCAAGCGCCCAAAGTTCTTCGCTGCTACCAGGGAAGAAATGGATATCCGCAATCTCCACCGGCGCGTTGAATCGTTGCACAAAGTCGAAGCTCTGATACAACAAAATGGATAATTGCTTCAAAAGTCCATCTACCTGGCCATCGAAAAGGTAAACCTGTCCGCGATGTCCAACCAGCGCCACACGAGTCCCATCGCGTGATACACAATGCTTGCCAAAATTCTGCTTTGGAATTTCTAAACGAAAATCTATGAAAAAAATAAGTAGTAGAACGAACCTGAGGTGACCTTGATTTGCAAGACTTCGTTTGTCTCCATGTCGTATTTCATAAAGAAGGGTTGCGAGCGGGAGCCCAAGAGCAACTGAGTGCCGCCATGCAGGAAATCGCAGCTAAACACAAATCAGCTTGCTATCTTCAAACAACCTCGTAATAGGGAAATTCTTCAGCTGAACACTTTGCAGGAAAGATTGTTGTTTCGCGTCAGCGTGAACCTAAAATCATAATATTGCAATACAAATATTGGAACCTGGAACAATCTGATCAATCCACTGTCACCGGCAGCAATGAGAACAGGCTTTACGCGATGATATAGCATGATATTGAGTTGCCGCTGGAATGGAATAAAAATCTACATAACAAAACTTACACTATCTGGATGACCGAGGGCTATGTCTTGAAGCAGGCGAAAACCGAGCGTATGTTTCCGGAGAAGCGTACCGTCCTCGATATATCTAAACCGACTTGCTCAACGTCTTAATTCTCCCTACTTTCCAGCGCTTCGTGTGACATCGTTCAAAACTGCATCCACATCATCATCCGAATCATAGTTGACTAAAAAGCCATAATCTCCGTACGAGGGTCAGACCTTCTTGAATTTTCGCCCATTTGGGCTGCTTGCCCCTGGAAGCTTTCTTCACATATTCCTCTCGCAAGCGCTTTTGATATTCCTGAAACCAGTGCTGAATACAAAAAGAAACGCTATACCGGCTTTCCCACTAAACCATTTGTGGGATCGCTTGACCGCAAAAGGCAGCCCGTTGTCTTATTCTTTTTCACCAGTACCTGCAAAGACAATAAAAGGGGATAAAAAGCAGCCCACCTCCTCCGTAAGGTCGTCGTCGTCCACATCCTGCCACACGGCAGCCCTATCTCTCGACGGTAACTAAAAAATTTTTTGCTTTCCCAATATTAAAATTTCTACATGTTCCTGCACATCGCCATCTTCTGACGATCCAGAGTCGGAATCTTCATCGTTGGCATCAGATTTGAATAGACCATCTAAAGAATATGATATTAAGCGGGATAACGTACTGCTAAACAATTTGGTAGATAGTACTTCATCATCCGAATCAGAATCCGGAACGATTTCCGGTCCTGATCGCTTCAGAGTGGTCATCTGAACAACTGCTAGGTCAATAGTTTCAACAATCCAAAGTAATGGAGGGGCTAAAAGCGTGCTGCCCGCAGCCGCCCTGGGAGATATTTTGCACTAGTGCGCTCCGTGCCTCCAATGCATTACTCCACCCAACGTGACCACACATACCACCGGGGGCAGTCAGCTTTTGGTGTAAATTATAATCGATGAACGGAAAAGCATCGCAACCACTCTGGCAAAACATTCCATAGGCACCTCGTTTTTATTCTACATCCTGATTAACCTTTCCTTTATGTTTACTTAATTGCCAATCACGCAAAGAAATTTTTCTCCGATTTAGATGCTCGGAAGCGGCTTTTCACTGAATGAATCTTCAAATGACGATGATTTCGGGGAAGCGGTATCACTTCCAAAAAATACAGCATCAAAATTTTAGCTATCCGCCAACTCCGACGCAAATAGTCAGCAGAGTTCTGGGAGCTACACAAATGTAAGTGTTAACAACAGACCAACAATCAAAACCTAAGGAAACTTGCACAAATGAAGACGTCGAAAATGAACCAGTAAAGCATCTACGAACCCGTTTTCCCCATGTAACTGTAAGTCTAAAGCTACTGCGTCGCAAAAGCAATGATCTGCAAATTAGGTTAACAGAAGATCGAATCCTTGCAATGACAAAGTTCAAAATTTATTACTACTTCAACATGTTCAATTAATGCACACACAGAATTCACAGGGAAAAGCCAGCCAAATTTCAAACAGAGGCTAGATATACGGAGGAAAACCCATCTTGAGTTAATAGGGATTCGGACTGCATCATTTCTTCGTCCACAAGTTTTTCGTTCCGGAGTATCGGCGGGCTGAGGACGGTCGGAGACGGGCTCCTTGGTGCTTCAGTCGCTAAAACCAAGCATAAACCACTACAAAACCTCGGATACTACCTTCAAAAAATGGGCTGGAAAACGCATCGGGTGCCTTGTCTTTGGCACCGCGAGGAAGAATACCACGCAGCAAGTCGGTGATGGAAACAAAACAGGCCCCGGTCGACTGTCCGATATTTCTGCCATCAGCGAAGTTTCTAAATCCAATAGATATCCAACGTAAAGATCAATTACTTGAAAGGCTGGTGCTTTTCCTGGATACAGTAGAAGCAGACCGCCAAAATGACGATGAAGGCCAGAACAAGCAGCAACACGGTCAGGAATGAGGTCGAATCATCGTCGGGACGCACAATTGCCATAGCTGCTTCGTCAAAAATTTCGCAGTGAGCACCGGTGTAGCCAGAATCACATCTAAATCGGGACTTAAAATAGTTCCGAGATCACTTACCGGCAAGTCCCAGAGAGAAGTTCGCCAGTCACCGAATCCATGGCAAAATCGCAGTTTCCATTAAAGCCACAGGCCTTGCCTCGCTCACAGAGCTCTTTCATATACTCGACATCAAGGGAGGAGTGCGTCTACAGACAGATTGTTAAAAACGCGTATACTGTACCTTGTATTCCGTGGCGTTAGCAGGAAATTCGCAACCGTCTTGGCTATTGCGTCGGTATCCTTCCGGGCACAGGCACTCGTTTTGGAAAGTGCCTTCCTTAGGAATCTTCACGCAAACGTACTGACATTCGATTTCGCTGTGGCACGAGGCCCAGCCAGGATTATACTACAAATAGGTAGGAAATCGCCAACGGAAAGAGTACCTGTGCCAACGTATGATTCACAGCCAACCCGAACGGACGACTCAAGAGCCTCTCGGTGTGCGGTAGCATATGATGGTCGGAAGAAACATCAATAGACCGGACGACATCCATTTCTCTAAAGAGCGATGATTAAATCTAAGTAAAGCTTACGTTTCACTATAATAGAGAATGCCGTTGAAGAAGGCCATGGCGTAAATAGAGTCGGTCCTCGTGGCGATGATCTGCCGCTCCTTGGTGTCATAGTTGATCCGTTCGATCATTTCATTCCCATTGTCGGCAATATAGAGATCGTTCCTGATCGTATCCCAGACAAGGGAACGTGGATCCGCAAGCTTCTCATCGAGCAGAGTGTGAATTTCGCTTCCATCTGTATTGGCACACTTGACCTTGAAGGATTTGAACTGTTCGATCCAACACATCAGGCCTCTCGTGGGGTGAAGGGCGAGACCTGAACAATGAATAACCAAAATTTCTGAGTTACCTTTGAAAACAGTTGGTTTGCGACGACCACGTCCATCAAAAGCATGTCGGGTGCTTGTGACTAGTTTCGTACAGTAGAGTGCATCATCGGTGCAAACGGTGATCTTCGGGTCTTCACGCACACCACCGTTGATGAAGTAGACGTTTCGATTGATCCAATCATATTCAATGCTTCGCAGTTCTTCGAAACCTTGCCGCACCGCTTGAGGTTGACCATTTGTTGTCCGTGCGAGACGCCACTAGAGGTGAAATCATCAACAGACGAAGAAAATTTTACCTGATCAGTGTGTCCGCCGATTCCGAACCATAAATGTTGCTTGGCAAGATCCATCGCCATATGATAGACGTTGTCACCATTGTCCAGAGCAGAGTAAACACGATATAGCGACGGGTGATCGATTTGGTCGTGCAAAGCGCCAACACGAATCTAAATCAATGAAAGGCTGGCGAAAAAAAACAAACCTCGTTTCCTAAGCTGATCATCAGTTCACCGCCCTTCGGGTCGTTGACAGGCGTGCACTGGTGCATATCGTCTCCCAGAGTAAAACCCGGGGCACAAGTGCATTGGTAGCGGATGCCAGTTTCGGTCGGTCTGCAGAAGTGGTAGCAACGCTGGTGGTGCAGGCAGGGGTTGTCTTTGATGCAGAGCCGGAAGTCGGAAGGATCGCTGATTTGATCGGCAGGGCAAGTGCATCGTGCTTCTGAATCGAAAAGCTTCTAAAGGGTAGCTAAAGCAAACCTAGAGCGGTTTCATGGCAACCACCGGTGCATCCCATCGTTTCACATTCACCACATTTTCCCCTCTCATCATCGCCATCCGGACAGTCTTCAACGCCGTTGCATGTCGCGCCAACATCAATACATTTGGAAGCTGAAAGAGTGTCAAGCAAGCGACAGAAATTTACCTCCTTTACAGCGATACTGATCAAGACGACAGGTTGTGTTGACAGCGGGGGCAGGTTCAGAACTATTGGAAGCCGGAATCGAGGGGGTTCGTGCTTCTTCAGGTACATCACAGGCGTCCTCATCAGAATCATCCGTGCAGTCCGGCTCGCCATCGCAAACCCATTGCTTCGGGATACAAGCATCATCTTTGCACTTCCACTGATTGGGTGGGCAAGTTTCATGCGAGTGGCATTCGGATTCATCATCATTTTCCTGACAATCCTAAAAAGAAACTGTTTAACAAAATCGAACAAAGCTAACTAACCTTGACACCATCACAGACGAGGCTCAGATGGATGCATCCGCCGGCTGGCCCCTTGCAAGCGAAAAGATCCGGTCCGCAGTTCGAAGAAGGTCGTCCGGCACCGTCAGGCTTTAGGTCGCTGTGATCGGAACATGCCCACTCGTCGCGTCCATCATGACAATCGCGCTGAAACAGCGAAACTGGCCAGGAACCGAAATTTATACCACGCCGTTGCACTTGAAGATGGACTGCACACATTCTCCGTGATCGTGGCAATTGTACTCGCCTTTGGGGCAAGGATACATGTAGGAGCATCCCGTCTCGTCCGTTTTATCGAAGCAATCCGGGACCTAAAACAGAAATAATGCAGATTTCAAGCCACAAACCCCATCACAGCGCCACTCCAACGGAATGCATTGTGCTGTCCTGCCACAGGCGAACTGCGTTGTGTTGTCGCAACGACTATTTGCGGCCGTCACTAAAAGAAAAGATGAACTGGAAAAAGGTGGGGGTTACCTTGAAGACAGCATATGGCTAACAGGGCGATGATGCGATTCCGCATCTCCAAGAACTAGAAAAATAAAGCTTATTTTCGATGAAGATCAGCAGCAGCGAAAGAGAAATGCTAAAACAAAAACAAGGAAAGAGAAACCGAGCGGAAAATCCGAAAAAGAAAACGAAAACCGGCGGCCGGCGGGGGCTAGTGGAAGTCCACGAAATAGGCAACTAAATCGCCAATCGTACTACTGTGTAAATGTGTGCATAGTATTGCCCCGTAGCGTCAAAATAAATATAATTTTTCAAAACTTAGTTTCTTATAACAAAAATTTTTTTTTTTTTTTTTTTTTTTTTTTTTTTTTTTTTTTTTTTTTTTTTTTTTTTTTTTTTTTTTTTTTTTTTTTTTTTTTTTTTTTTTTTTTTTTTTCTTTTTTTTTTTATAATTTGAGGTGATACAAAAATTTAGAGCTCACCGTTGCCGACATGTTGGAATATCAAAGACAAAAGCGACCTGATCCAGCTGACCCATCAACATCTGCGCATCACTCACAAAGGTGTAATTTAAAAACGGTCAACACTAAAAATGTTTCGGAATGGAACAAAAAAAAACATGCCGAAAAACTTCGGTATGTTCATATTATACAAAAGCTTCTAGGAATCTCGTTGGTGAAGCCACCGACAGAAAAGGGTTCCGCAGCATTGGTTCGAGCAGACGCAGCCGTCCCTCGTTGTTGCGGTGTTTATTATTTTGAGGTATCTACGATTTTATACTATTCGTCCAACACTTCACTTTAGTTGACGATCGTCAAAGGAAAGGATGGCCGAGTTGGTGTGGGTTTTGGCCCGAAAAGTATGGGCAGAGAAAGAATGCCAGGTGCGTGGAAAACTATGAAACACAAGAATTCTTCCGTTTCTCTAGTATTACAAGCCACCGCAACGTTTTGTTTTCTCTAGTTTATAAAATTTCCTTCAGGTTGGGATACCGATTCGTATGCCTACCACGGTGATGATGGACATTTTTTCACGGGCGATGGTATTTGTATTTATCTATGATCAATCCTTTTTGTTTCAGGAAACGGCCGAGAATACGGACCCAAATTTAAAGAGGGTGACGTTATCGGCGCTGGAATCAACATGGTCGAACGCTACGTGTTTTTCACGCTCAATGGACATAGCTTGGGTGAGCTGAAATACTTTTTCTGAACTTTTAACTTTTAGGCAGAGCCGCTCCCTTGGCCAGCTCCGTGGAAATTTACCCCGCAGTTGGTCTGCAAAGTGCCGACGAAACAGTAGAAGCCAATTTCGGAGATCGACCTTTTCTTTTCGATTTTACGAGTATGCACGAGGTGATTTCCGGTTTTTTAAAATAATGGTCTTTAGCAGACATGGCAATTCCGATCGGCCGAGCCGCGCGGCCGGGCCGGCGGCCTAATTTCCATAAAAACGCGGCCCCTACGGCCGCCGTAATTAGTTACTCCGGAACGCGCTTCGCGGCCGAGCCGCATTTTCATCGCGGCTCGGCCGGGCCGCCGCGGCCAAGCCGCAAACCGGAAGTAGCTCTTCTACATACCAAAAATCCGCGAATTTCATGCGAAATGCAAATGGCAATGAGAAAATTAAGGCTGTCGAAAATAAATCCTCCTCGTTAGCAAGCTAAATACCCATTACATCTCGGATTTGCGTACCGGAAGTTCTCAAAACTCATTTGGATGCGGCCTTAGCCGCGCGGCGCCGCCGTGCGGTCAAAACGGAAAAGCCGCGGCCGCACCGGAAGTGCGGCGCCGCGCGGCCCGGCCGCTTCTAATTTTGCGGCCGAAAAAGCCGCGCGGCCCGGCCGATTGCCATGTCTGGTCTTTAGGATGCTCGGAAGTGTGTCGCCGAGGAGATTGAAAACGTCGAGTTGCCAGGCGAAAAAACAACGTGGATGAACAGGTAAACGAGCCCTTATAGTCGAACCTTTGTTTATTTTAGTGCCATCTGCTCTTGGCTCCTCAGCGAAGGCCACGTCCGGGCTCTAACCACTTTGAACAAGACGGCGCAACTCGGGTTCAATTTTACAGAAGAGGCCATTGCCAGGAGAAATTGTAAGGATACTGCAATGGTTCAAGTTTTTTTTGCTGTTTTTAGCTATTCGAAAGTTAATCCTTGCTATGCGAGCTACAGAGGCAGCCGATAGGATCGAGCAGTGGTATCCGCAGCTTTTCGCCAAAAATCGCAAGGTTTTTCGATTCTTTCTGGATTTCAATGGCTTTTTCTTTGAGGTCGAGCTTTTTGTGAAATATCAAGTGTTCGTCGAAAAATCGCAGGCGGTCGCTTTTGATACGGTATTTATCTTATTTTAGGGGTTATTCTGCGTTTAGGGTAGCACAAATTCACTGAATACTTCAAATGGATCGTCTCGGGTGGCTAGCCGAAAACAAGAGAAACGGAAGGCGAGGGGACAGAAACGGAGACAAAAAGGTTTCTTAGTTTCCCGTATTCTTTGTGAGGCAAGAAAGCTTCTGTTTTCACGGTTATTTTTCAGACCTGGAGGCGAGTACTTCCCGGGAAGAACCACCCACTAGGAGAAGCCCAACTCACAGGTTTTGATCTTTTTTCGCGTTTAAATGTTTTATATGGCAGCACCCACGATGCGGATAATGCGAGCAACGGCTGCTCGAAGAACGGCGTGGAGAAGAACGGCAACGATGCGGCCGGAACCACCTTTATCGAAGAAGAGCAGTTCGATACCGAATTTGACGACGGTATTATTTGTTTGAGTGGCACCTTATTCTCTTCCAGGAGTAATGGGTGCTTCTCGGGAGGAGAACTCCAATTTGACTAACCGCTGTGGCTATTCGTTACTTGAGAAGGCAGAGGCAGAGAACAAGCTGGGCGAAGTGATTTTGTTAAAAATAGTGATTGAATATTCTCTTTTTCTAGGTTCTGGCTTATGGAAATTACGTCGCACGACTTCGAGAACAGCCAGGCCTCGAACTGACTGGAGAGGAAAAAGCTTTCTTTAATGTGAGTTTCGTGGACAGTTTTGAAATCTATTCTTTTTGTTTAGGAAGCGATGATGGCCATTTTGACGCCTCCGGAAGAGTTCGATCAGCTGCCTCACATGCAATTAGATTATATCTGTCGGTTGGCGAAAGACGTCAACTCTGCGATTATGGGTACGTCGGGATTTGGTCTGCTATTCCAGTTTTTTTAGAATACGAGGGATATCCCCGCGAATCGCTACTTGATGAATACTTATCAATGCTACACCAGAACAAGCGTCGTCTTATCAAGGTAAATACTTTCGTTCTAATGCCACTAGCCATTTTAGTGCCACCAACCAAGCGGGCTCTTCCTGGACGTGGAGCAGGTCTTCACCTCTGAATGCTTTCAACAAGAAATCCCCATGGAAGTAGAGCCAAGCTCATAACTCTGTGATCATTCACCCCATGCGGCCTTTGCCAACTTGTGATCCTCGTGCCCATTACCCGGCCACCGGCTCAAGCTTTCATCGACCTCCCAACCCTTTCCTCAATTTATTTGCATTTCCAAAGCCTCCTAAAGCCGACTTATGAGAACCGCCAGGCGGTGCCTCACCCGGCTCAGTCACATGTGCCCGGATTTTACATGTATATTATTGTCCGATTATCGCTAGCAAATAAATCGCATGCCTTTCACGGCGCCATTTGTTACAACACGATAAATTACACAATTTTTTGAATATTTTGCCGGATTTCGGTGATGAGACATAGAAAAACAACACGATTTTTAGCCATGCCGGCTCCGTTTCGGCCGGACCTTTACAAAGACAAGGTCATATTGGCTCCGATGGTACGGGCCGGGAGGACACCGTTGCGGTTTGTTGGCTTGTAAAGATAAAGCCCGGATTCAGGTTGCTAGCTCTGGAATATGGCGCGGATCTGGTTTACACCGAAGAGCTAGTCGATCAGAAGTTGATATCTTGCAAACGGATTGAAAATGGTAAGACTGCAATTTTGCTAAAGTTGCGGTTTTTTAGATATCCTTGGGACGATCGATTATCTTAACGAAGATGAGGTTGTGTTGCGAGTAGCTCCAAAAATAGAAGGTAGGGCCGGTTCAGAACTTATTAACGGATTCTAGGAAGCAGAATCATTCTACAAATCGGGACGAATAGCGGCGAAGGGGCAGCTGCCGTCGCGAAGATGGTGTAAGATTTACGAAGAAATTTTTCAATGCGTCAAAGATATTTTTATTTTTGCGATTTAGAGGTACTGATGTAGCCGGGATCGACGTCAATATGGGCTGCCCGAAGCCCTTCTCTATTGCGGGCGGAATGGGCGCCGCGCTTCTCACACAACCAGACAAGATCAAGGAGGTTAGAAAAAGGAACAGACCCGATTTCTGTTTCTAGATTTTGACTGCGCTAGTTGAGGCATCATTAGTTCCCGTCACTTGTAAAATTCGAGTCCGAGACAATGTAAGCTGTTTTGAGTGGTATTGTAAAGAATTTTCAGCCAGAGGACACGCTAGCGCTCGTTCATATGATTGAGAATTGCGGCGTCTCAGCGATCGGTGTACATGGACGAAGACGAGATGAGAGGAATCCGGATCGGTATTTTAGGATTATTTCCCGGTGATTCCTAGTTTTCAGATGCCGTTGCGAGGAGATTGCAGAAGTCGTAAAGGCAGTGTCGATTCCAGTAATTGCAAAGTAAGGGAGATTTTTTTCTTATTGGCTATTTTAGCGGTGGTTCCGGGGAGATGACGTGCCGATTGGACATTGAGGCATTTCGAACAGCTACCCAGGCCTCAAGCGTGATGGTAGCGAGACAAGCGCTCGCAACGCCCAGTATTTATCGGTATTTTATACATATATGAAAACTAACCGATTGTTTTTTGTGCAGAATCGAAGGTGTGCTCCCGATGGGTAGTGATATTACACGGTTTCTGGAGCTGGTAACTTTGAGTTGTTTTTAAAGTTTTTGTTTAGGCTTGTGAATTTGACGAGAATTATACGATGACCAAATATGTGGTGCAGAGGATATTGGGTGGAGAACAGGTATCGTGAATTTTTTATATGAAAGTGTTCTTGAAGGAGCACAATCCGCGCGGAAAGGCAACGGTGGCTGCAGGCTGCGTGTCTGAGATCTGTTCAGCATGGGATCTGGACGATGTCTATGATAAGTGGCGCATCTATCGTCAGCGAATGAAGTAGGGTATTGCCTGATTCAAAAACAATTTTTCTAGAGCCAAACGAAAGATCGAGGAATGCCCGGAGACTGGTGCTCAACTTTTTGACGTCTCTTTCCCACTGTATGTAGTTTTTTAAAAAGTTGTCGATAGTTTTCTAGAAAACGACTTCGCGATAATTCGTCAGGATCGCCGAAATGTGTGCTCAACAAAATATGTGACGACCGACGGGAGAAGCGGCCAATCTATTCAACGGTGACCACCTGAAAATCGTTAAAAACCTTTTTTTTCAGATTATGCGCGAAGGTGATAAACGCTACACAGCAACGATCGAGGTGATGGGCAAAAAGTTCAAGTCCCGCGTGGGCCAGGTTAATAAGAAGATGGCCGAACAGGTATTGTTTTTCCGGGCCCTTCAAACTGAAGTTTTTAGGTGGCCGCCCTTTCGGCGCTGATCGGACTCGACCTGCGGCATCTTCTACAAGGAAATTGGGAGGAAGATTGATCGTTGTGTTTTTTAGTCAGGCACCTGTGATAAGTGTAACTTTTTGTTGTTTCGTTGTTAAGAAGCTTTATTTTTTGCAAAGTATCACAAGGCAGGAATGGTGTAAGAGCGGGCTGTAGAGATTTGAAGTTTTTGTCGCTCTAAGCTTAAGTTAAAGCTCGCTAGCCAGCCCAGCCTGATCATGGCTGAGTCTAAGCTGCGTCAATTTCATTCAAGCACGCTCAAATATAAACTACAAACTAAAGGGGTTGCAATTCTTCTCTGCAGTTCTCCAAAACCCAGGACCCTCGGTTGCTCTTTGATTCCATAGATGTCTGCTGCTTCGGCAAACGTTCCCGAGATGGGCCTGATCCCCGATTCAGGGAGCGTCTTATTTGTATTTAAGAGAATATGACCGACCGATTGACCGCGTCGCTGTCAGCCGGGCAAAGAAAAATAATGTGGACAGCCACCGTATTGCTCGGGTTGATGCATTGCAGCTACGGCTATTTTAACCCGGAAGAGGATTTGGGGCTTAACCTCAGCCCACAGTTTTGTGAGTTTTTGATGCGATGCTTCGATAGCTTTGTTTGGACCATCCTAGAGTTCAGGGAGTTGTGCGTATACACCTAGGAACGTCTCTCTCTCTCTCTCTCTCTCTCTCTCTCTCTCTCTCTCTCTTCACCAGTCTGTGCGTAAATAGGTGTATGTGTTAGTTCCTGAACATGCGCTTTAAATTTCGGTTTTTTTTAGTTTCTGGTTCGTCATTGTCTCGCGTATCACCGGCCTTGGATTCTAACCTTGGACAAAGATGCGCCGGTAGAGGTTCGATCGTCTTGGTCGTCTTTTTAGAACGCATTTAATTAACGCGATCCTTTCGCATTATCGGGGGGTAGAAAAATTATCTCAATACTTTCGAAAAAGTCTAAATTTTGGTCAAAAATTGCCCATTTTTGGTGGAAAAATCGATATTTTTCTAATAAAATGTTGTAAGGTTTTCACGTTTCGGAATAGTAAAACAGTTTACAATTACTTCACGATTTATATTTGAAAAACTGCTCCCCCCGATAATGCGAAAGAACCAGGCTGAGAGTGATTTAATGTCGTAATCTTTTGACTGGCCGAACTTTAAGCTTCAAAGCTTCAATAGAGGAATCAAGCAATTAGAGCGTTCCCATTCTTCACTCGTCGGTGGCCATGCGGTTGTCAACGAAAAGTTAGAGCGGTTCCTCTGGGCAGTCGCACTCTTCAGAAGCGACCCGACGTCATCTGAGGTGAAGAGGATAACTTTTGCTGGCGATCCAAAAGTTCAGCCACTATTAAGTGACATTTTCAGGTGAAGCCATTTTGTTCCGGCACGCTCATCTCCGATCGCCACATTCTGACGGCCGCCCATTGCACGGCGTAAGTTTGCGATTATATTAAGTGACTTCAGAAGCTTTACCGCTTCATAAAATGTGCATTCAGCGACCTCGACAAAGAAGAAGATAGCAAAAGCGAGAAAACACAGCCCACATGGGCCGAGCACGACATTTATGTGGCCCTCGGGGCCAAGTGTGTCGTCAAATCGGGCGTTTGTGAGGGGCGAAAAGCGGAAAGGACTATTGTTAAGGTACGAGAAAGTGAGAGAGAAAGACATCTTTCCTTTTTCAGGTAAAAAATATTGTCGTGCCCAAGGAGGCGATCTACGGCGCAAACTGGCGTCGCGGCGGCGATATCGCCATTTTGGAGCTCGAAACCCCGGTTAAAGAGGTAAATATATCATTTTCTAGTGGTACAGTTTTACTACGATTTGAATTATTAATATTCTACTTTTCCAGGCTTCCAACATCAAATATGCCTGCTTGCCCGGGTGGAAGATCACGATGCCAAAGCGGAAGACCTATGTGCACTGGGGATGGGGATATTTGGAGCGTACGTTTGGAGCTTGTTTTAACACGATGAAGCATTTTTTGCGCTGACGTAGACGTCTAGACGCGTCGCGGTCGCATGCTGTAAGAGAAGACCGAGAATCGTGTACGAAAATAGCTTTTTATAGAAATTTTGGAGACGATTACTTTTAGAATCTGAATCTTGGTGCAAAAATTGGAAAATAGGAGCTCTATAGCCTAGGAACTAGAAGGATCGCGTATGTCAGATTTTCCAACCCTTTCTCCAGATGAAACCGCCGGCAATCCAGTGAGAAGCACTTCCGATACACTGAACTACCTTGAAGACGTCGAACTGTTCGACTGCGCTTCTAAAAGTGAGTATTTGGCAAAAAGTGGTTAATGAGTACGTATGTAATAGAAGTATGAAATGGTAAGTAACTAGTCGAATTTTATTAGCTGTAAGTATCCGGCGTATAAAATAGTATTGATAGGATTTATTTAATAGTACGAATAAAAAACTAGGCGAGCGCCAGGCCGGTGATAAAGACGTGCTCTGCGGCCGATCGGATCAATACAATCAAGGGATTGAGGGGGTACGGTTTATAGGTTTTTAACGTACCTTAAACTGTAGATCAGTAGTATTTCTATGGCTAATATTTTATTGTAATTTTAAAAACCACCCGATAATTTTTAGGGAGATTCCGGGTCGGGCTTCGAGTTGAAGGGGGAACGTGGCCGGCCGAATTTGGTGGTCGGCGTCTCGGTGTATGTTGCCTCAAAGGTATGCAGGGATAATAAATAAATATATAAATAATTTTGGCGTGTATCTTTGTGTGTGTGTGTGGATGTCAGTTTCGAGGCCCGATTTGAGGACCTTCCCGTGCATAAAATGCCCTAATTTTCCGTCACCCGGGGGAATCGACCCTTCTGTTTCCGATGGCGTTCACAGAATTTCGCTAAAATACAAGTTTACAAAGCTAAAGCCGGTTTTATTCATTTATGGGGGTAATCTGCATAATGTGAAAAATACAAATTTGCTCATTCTTGCGAGTTGCTCGCGCGCGCGTGGTGGGGGGGGAGGTCAGAAGGACCCGAGCTATTGGAAAGTCAAATTTCTCATGCAAACGCACCATACCAGCGCCCAAGGCCCGCGAAGCGGGTTTTGGGCGCTGGTAAATATATAAATAGCTGGTTTATGGCATTTTACACAGTTTTTAGATATAGAATTTCACTACAAAACATAAAATTTTTGAATTTTAGGGTAAAAAATGGATGCAAAATACCCACAAAATAAAGATTTTCCAATTTTAAAATTTTTGTAAGTTCTAGTAAGCAAAAACTACTAAGAACGGTATAAAAATAAACGATTTTTTCATAATGGGTTCAAATAGGAGTAAAGAAATTAGTTTTAGACGAATTTGAGTTTTAGAGCGACGAGTCGTACAGCACGGACATCCGCCGGTACGCCAAGTGGATCTGCGACCTCACCGGGTTGTGCTATATGAAACACAGTTGAAAAGAATCAATAAATATATAATAAAGTTATATTGCAACCAGGCATTTTCCGGATTTTTACCGCACGTATTGCAATTTATGACCAAGGGAAAATCGTCTCGCCCGGAAAAACGATTAAAAAGCCCTAAAATTCCATTTTTTTTTAATATTTTCGATCCATTTTACACGGGCGTCATTCCTAAAATGCGAGCGGCTACCGTATTCCTTTTGCTTGGGCAGGTGGTCCATTGTTTCGACGGGGTCCCCGAGCCGGAGCTTGATTTGAGGCCGAACACCTGTAGTTTCGGGTTTTCAGGCTTTAAGGGTATTTAGATACGAAGAAAACGATAACTCCGTTGGATGCAACCATCGATAGTACACTCGCGGAACGATGTGGGAGTAATTTAGGTTTGTTTTAACACATTAAAAAATTTTTTTTTATTAGAATGCCTTGATTTGAGATGATTAATTTTAGAGGGAGATGAGAGAGAGAGAGAGAGAGAGAGAGGGAGAGAGAGAGAGCGAGAAATTCTTTAAAAGCTACAATTCAGGAAAACTGCCGGAAGCGGATAGTATAGTTGGCGGAAAGCCGGTACAAAACGAGTCCGATGAACGTTTTCCATGGGCCGTTGCCTTTTTCCGGAGTGATCCAGCGGCCTCGGGGGTACGGTAGGCAAGCCAGCAGAGATCCTTTGAGGAATTCCGACGCAGGCAATCTAGCAAACACCCTTCAGGAGCGCCCCTACTGCACCGGAACCCTGCTCTCCGACCGTCACGTCATGACGGCCGCGCATTGCGTACAGTAAGGGATTAAAAAACCTGGCTAGATGGGTACGGTATTGAGGGCGCATTTTAGAACATGGGGCCCAAATAACGAGTATGAAGAAGCCGAGTGGTTTCCGATGGAGCGGTATTATGTTGTGATGGGTGCGAAATGTGTGGTTTCCAATGGCCAATGTGAGGCATTGAGGGCGAGGAGGACGATTAGGAGGGTCAGTTTTTCTAGTTCTCTCTCACTCACTCTCTCTCCTTCTCTCCCTCTCTCGCTCTCCATCTCTCTCTCTCTCTCTCTCTCTCTCTCTCTCTCTCTCTCTCTTTCTCTCTCTCCCTCTTACCCCATCTCAGATCATCAATGCGGTCGTCCCAATGGAAATGAGCAACCATCCGACCAAACGTCGTGGCGGTGATATCGCCATCATCGAGCTGGAGACCCCGGTTCTCGAGGTCAGCTAGCAGAGACCCTTTGGGAAACGGATCCGCATCCTCCCCGGGCCAAAGCAAAAAGTGTTGGCCCTGATTTGGATCGAACCCGAGCTGTTGAGCACGGGAGGCGAGAACTTTACCAATTGACCAAATTCAAGCCAGCTAAAAACAGAGCTGTAGTTTGTGGGTTTGTAGTTTGTAGTTTCTCGTAGCTTAGCTTGTAGCTGGTTTTGCATTTAATCTACACTATAGAATGCGACGATGAAATATGCGTGTTTGCCGCCGGCTACACTCGATCTCCCTCACACGGCCGACTACACGGAATGGGGATGGGGACTTTTGAGACGTAGGTATAAACAGTTATCAAACATTGTATACTGTTAATAGGGCAGCCTATATATACAAGAGTAGGGCATGCGGGATTAACATAACTTTATAGGCCAACTTTTCAGATGGAACCCCCCAGGATCCTTCTCCACCAGCAAGTGATACCTTAAACTATTTGGATGGGGTGACACTGGATGAGTGTACGCCTAAAAGTATATTTTTATTATTCCAATTATATATCCATAGAAAGTATTTAAGGTACCGCATTGTAATGAAACGGCAATATTTTCTATGCCTTTTGAAATGAATTGAGATGTCGGGCTTTGAGATAATATAGCGGGAAATTACAATATTTTTAGAAAGTTCAACGGCGGGAGACCTGGACGTAATATGTGGCCATTCTGTCGGATATAATGATGGTATCGAAGAGGTATCAAGATTTTACTTTAATAGTTTTCTACCGGGTTTTCGAAAATACGGATACAAAACCCAAAATGTTCGACGTTTTCACAATTTGGTAATCGAGAAATCTGCAAATGTTGACGTTTTAGAATCTCAAAATTTTGCCTAAGCAAGTTTTTGAGAAAAACGCTCAAGTGTCACGCAAAAATATCGAAATTTTGATAATTTTGACATTATGATAAATCAATCGATAATCGCTAAATTCCCAAATATTGACGTTTTACTTGTGTTCGTATCGAAATATTTAAATTTCCGAGCGTCGACGTTTATTTTCGTTAACATTTCGATGTTAGTCTGTTTTTCGAAAATCTAGTCATCTTGGAATTTCGACATTTTGAAAATAACCCGAAATTTCGACGGCTTGAAAATAATCCCTTCACAATCCCGTTAAAAATGTGCTGCAGGGTGACAGCGGTTCGGGATTCGAATGGCAAAGAAAGGGGAAAGGCCCGAATTATGTCATAGGAGTATCTGCTTATACAGTTGGCAACAAGGTAGGTTTTAAGGTGCTACGTGATACCTTTGCGGCCCAAGGGGTCTAGCAGAGATCATTAGGGAAAAGCTGGTGTTCGATCGATACCGCAATGATCTCTGCTGGATTTCCAAACTATAAGCCATGATATTTCCAGGCGAACGTCGGGTATATGACCGATGTGAGGAGATACGCCAAGTGGATCTGCGAACACACAAAGATTTGTTATATGAGACGAAAATAAGGGGAAGAGTTTTGAATAAATTTGTTACGTTAATGTTTTGGCTAGGATACCAAATTCCTCGAGAATCTCTGCTACGCGTCTCCTTCTCAAGAGTCTCTGCTAGCCTGCCGTCTCTTATGGACTATCTGCTAGACTATCTTTTCCAAAGAAACTCTGCTAGACCCCTTTCCTAATGAATCTCCGCTGGCTTGCCTCCTCCCCTCGTTCGTTCAATTTCAGTCTATTATTTGTTGTCTCTGGGGATCAATCCATCAACCTCCTCCTCCACCCTCTCCAGCAATTGACCTCTTCCTCTTCTCCTTCTTCCCCCATCACGAGCCCTTCTCAAGCCCAAAAACAGCCGGGGAAACCCGAGATTCTCTACCGATCCCCCCACCCCCGCTTCAATTATGCTTTTTCGTTCTTGGCACTGGGCCAAGTTTTTGCGTATGTCACGCTCTTAATATTTTTTAAAATTGAGCCTTACTTGTCCCTTTAAGGGGGGGGGGGTACTTTACGAAATTTTACGTTACGCTACGCCTCGTTCGTTATGTACATAGCACGCGTGTTACGTAGCTCTTTAAGCTCTCTCTCTCTCTCTCTCTGTTTCTCCCTTTTCCTCTCTCCCTCTCTCTCTCTCTTTTCTCGCTCGGTCCTACTGCCTCTCTCTCTCGCTCCATATCTCTCGCTCTCTGACTCTCTCACACTCCATCCCCCTCTCTCAACCCTAAAATCTGAGAGTAGATGTAAGATGGGCCCGATAATGGATGCCATTTTTGAAATGTGAAGGCAAAAGGATGGCGGCTAGATGCTACGTTCTTTACGAATCCAACAGCAGGAAAAATAGCTGGAATTTTAAAATTTAAAATGCAATCAGCAGTTCCTCAAATAACCACTTGTCACTCCCCCTTTAAATCATAGATTTTTGAGGTTTGAATATGTTTCGTATTCTACTCACAGGAGTTTTGTGCCCATCTAGGAAGAAGAAATCCACGTGTGATATTAATTTCGGCTAGGATTGGAAAAGCGGGGGCTTCTTCCCCTGCATTCCGGGTCCATCCAAAACTCGGGTAAACACACCCATCCAGTGAAATTTCCCAGAATTTCCCCGATTTTTTCGGGGTTTCGATTCTTGAGCTATAGCTGGGTGGAGGAAGCTTAGGCAGACTTGTATGGTTCCCAAATCGACTCTGTTCGTTGGCCTGGTGTTTTATTGTCTTTGGAATCGATTAAGTAGAGCGGCTTTCCGTTAGGCCACGTTGCGTTACGGTATGCTACGGTCTGCAACGCTACGTTCCGTTTCTCGGCGCTATGTTCCGTTCCGTTACGCTACGGCATGCCCGCTGCGCTACGCATGAATTATGGCTCACCGAAAATAGCAGCCGCCCAGTATTCTCCGGCAAACCAACGGTCAGCTGGCTTGCCAGCCCCTTTAAAACACAAACGCCGCGGAAAATGGTGGATTTTTTCTGCTTGTGATGAACTTCGGGAGGACAGGTGGGGGAACTCGATCCGGAAACCCGAAAAAGACGGACAATCGGCCAAAACCGGAGAACCTTGCCGGAAAGGGGATATTTCGGGGGGGTGGTTGCAAAATGCTGCTTTTGACAGCACCCACAACCAAACGGAAAGCAGCTGCTGTCATTTCCCTCTTCGCTAAAATTAGTATATGGTTAGGATTATCACTCATCGTGCTCTCTCGCCCTCTCTCGCTCTCTCTCGCTCTCACTCTCGCTCTCTCTCACTCTCGCTCTCTCTCTCTCTCTCTATTTCTCTCTCTCCCCGCTTCTAGGTTTGATCCGGAAAACCGGATTGTTTTCCAGCCCGCTCCGTTTTTTCCGCTTTACCGCCCACACCGCATTTTGCATAATTGATTCGAAAATGGGGATATATTTTTCTTGGCCGCGAAAATAGCGTCTAGACGTGTTCGGCTTAATTCGATGTAGGAACCCATTAAAATTCGGGTTTAAAGGGGCGGTTTAATCGATTACAACATGAAATTTAGCCGTTTTCCCGATTACGCCATGGAATTCCGCCTTCTCTGTCCTTTAAACCGACGGAAAACCGTCAAAAATCGTCAAAAATCTAATTAAAGGCACCGGCAAGCCATAACCACGTCACAACGCCCAATTTTTTTCGGTGAAATTTCCGGAGTCTTTGTGTATATGCGGTTGAAGCCGGGGTGGGGGGATAATTCCATTTAGCGGCGAGCGCCTAAAAATGCCTGGCACACGCGCTTCGCTAAGGAACATCCGCCCTCTGGAATTGTAAAGGGGAAGAAGAAGCATTTCCGGAATGTCCGGAATTAGTATTGGCCTGGAATTCAGGGCGATACGGTACTTTTTGCAACATTTCGGCCAAACCAAACTAGCTGTCCTTTTTAGAAGTGCTTTGATGGCGATATTGGTATTGGACTGTTAGCGGGGGGGAGCAGGGACAAACATGAGATGCTTAAAAACCCAAAAAGAGCTTTTTTTGGTCAATTTTCATAGATTTCTTAGCGAAAAAGTCACAAAAATTTCCAAATTTCGAACAATTCAAAAATTGTTAGGTTTTTAATACCCAAAAAATTTCTAAAAGTCCATAAAAATGGAGAGTTTATAAATTTTTCTATGGTGCCTTACGGGTTTTTTACTGCTACGTCGTTTTCCTAAGTATTTTTTGTGCATATTCCTTCAAGGCCGCTGATAATCATATCGACAAATTTAACGAATTCAACGAATTTTGCTTCCCTTTAAATTTTTAGTTGTTTTTTTGTCAAGCCACATGATATGTTGTCGCCTTTTTTGGGATGTGCGGCACCCTAAAGCCTGCCCCCACACCCCCCATATTTTGCCCTGCTAATCCCTGGCCAACCTCACTCGCTGGGGCAAGTTTGAAGCTAGAAAAATCTGAAAACCGGCAGATTCTAGGGTTTTTTTAGCTGTTACAGCACCTTTAAAAGCTGAGAAATAGCTCCAATCTGACCTTGTCATTAGTGCGTAAATGGATTCCCGTTTTTCCATGGCATTTCAAAGTCGTGAATTGGCCGAGAATCACCCTGCCGCCATTTCTGACCTCTTCCAAATCCCCTCCCCCCTCCCCCCTCTCAGAGAAAAGCCGCAGAAACCCGATCTGGGGCCGCTATTTCGCCGAGGGCATTTTTAGGGTCTCAATCCGACGGAAAGTTTCTCCCTCTGGCCGCCTCGTGGATTCGATGGCTTCTGTCTGTCTCCTCATTTTTGAATCGGCCCGTTCGAACGCCCACAGACACGGCAAAAACCCACGCTCGCCCCGGAAATTTGAGTAAATTAACCTCGAAGTCCGGCTGGGCCGCCGAAAAGTCCTATTCTATTCCATTTTCTGACTTCCGGACGCTTGGGTTACGCGGTTTAAAGGGGTGGGCAAGCGATTGATTATCTGTTAAATCATCTGTACCCGCGATACGCGACGCGCACGCACGTTTACCAACACGTGCATTGCGTGTTGCGTCACATGCAAAATTCTTAGTGTAGTCTTACTTGTCTTACTCTAGTCTTACTTGGCCCTGTTTCCTTCAAACTTTAAAGACTTTGGAAGCGAAAATCTATCACTTTTCAACTACGCTACGCAATGCTATTTGTCACTACGCTACGCTAAACTCCCCCGAACGCCCGAATGCCGAGTGCCAAACCCGTGTTCTGATCGATTACGCCACCAAATTTATTTTTTATGGATTTTCAAGGCTTACATTTGTGGCTTTATTGGAGCCGTACGGAGGAAGGGAGCGGAATTTTGGACGGATTACGCCATGAAATGAAAATGAAAATCTGGATATTTTGCAATTGGTTACCTCACTGTATCGAATGATTTTTGGGCCTCTCATTAATGGGATGAACTGTAGGGAACTATTCTTTAAAAAGGCAGTCTAGCAGAGATCCTTGAGGAAACGGAAAGCTAGCAGAGATTCGGTATGAAATGACAACCTGGCCGAGACGATTTGAGGAATTCTCTAACGCTCTCATTAATGCATTAGGCCAAAGAAAGCCAAAACACCAACCCTAATCCATTATTCTTTTTCTTCCTGTTTTTCCATTCTTCCCTGCCCCCACCTCTTTTTTGGGGGTTTTTTGGCTGGGTGCCAAGGGCCGGATAGGGGCTCCCGCCATCCGTATGCTAAAATGTGCCCCCCGTACCCTGGAAGCACTTTTACCATTTTTTTGCTAGTTACTCGACTCTACTCTTGCCTCCTGTTAATGCCTGGAAATTTAGGGCCCCCAAATTTCTCGTTTTTTTAGATATGCGAAATGGGCTGCCGGGCAACTGGAGGGACACAAGAAGCACAACTACCGCCTTTTCGCAACAATTTCTCGTGCTCATGTGGCTGGTGAAAGGTGGGCACTTTTAGGGGGTTATGATTCTAATAAAACTTACACCACAATTCTTGGTTTAAAATAAAATTAAAGAACACTATTTTTTTACGAAAGCCAACAATTTATGAGAGGAGCTTGAAATTCCGGAATGCTACAGATTACACCGCTTTTTTTAAACGAAATTACTGTGCCATCCTGGTTATCGCTTTCTCTCCTCCCTCACTCTCTCGCACTCACTCTCTTCTCCCTCTCTCTCTCTCTCTCTCTCTCCTTCCATTCAATTACCGTTTCAAGGGAAGGTGCCAGCAAGAATTCCTGCAAGTTAGGAGAGCTAGACAGGGAGAGAGAGGGAGAGAGAGGGAGAGAGAGAGAGCGAGAGAGAGGGGGAGAGAAAGCGAGCCCCCATTATTCCAATTTCCCTCCAATCCCTCACCCTCCAGCTCAACCCCCCTTAAATCTCCGTAAATAGAGGAGCGGAAGGGCATCCACATTTCCGGGTGATTGACTGAGGGCACTCTGCGATTATTTCAATAGAAGGAGGAAGGGGAAGGAGAAAAAGCACATCCATTCCATTCAGCTACGGTTTTTTGGGTATTGTAGCGGAACGGCTGGGCTTGGGAGGTCAGAAAAGATGTTTTAAGGGGCTCGTAAGGCAGGACTATGGATTTTGTTGGGTTTCCAAAAACGAGCCGCTCCATTACGCCATGAAAAGCGACCGGTCGCGTGCGTGTCGCGGGTTGCCAGTCCCTTTAAGGGGTTTGGAGCTTTAGAGGTTTTCGAAGAGAGAGAGAGAGAGAGAGAGGGAGAGAAAGAGACAGAAAGAGTAAGAGCGAGAGAAAGAGAGTTTTTAGACTCTAGTACGCTTATGAACTGGCCTCTTCCAGTATTCGGGTTGTTTCGCTGCTCTCTCTCTATCTCCTTGTCGCTCTCTCTCTCTCTCTCCTCTCACTCTCTCTCTCCCTTACCGAAACAATGACCAACCCACGCTTCCCCCCCCTTTTTTTAAATATTCCCCCTCCTTCCCCTCTGCTGTTTCTATTGTCTTCCGGATTCACCGGGCCGTAAAAACTCTGTCAGGTTGTCTACCCTCTCTGCACATCCTCAATTCTAAAAAGTATCCTTTTCACCGGATATTTCTCTAATTGGGCCCTGTTGTCCTCTTCAAGATCCAGAATCGTTAGAAATTATCGAATTTTTACGTCAAATTCTACCGTATTCTGACTGGTGTTTTTGTTGGCTGGGCGGGTCAAGCTAGCAGCGATTCTTTAAGATTTTTACTTTTGACTGCCAATCAGCGACCCTATAGGGCAAACTAGCAAAGATCATTCATCCCTAGAACTCCGATTAGTACGTTCCACACCTCAGAACATGCCACACGTCCGGAAATCTGATGCCCGGCCGTGCAAAAACGAACGCCAGATTTTATAATGAGAACCCTCGTGGGGAGAACAAAAAACTGACATGTAGGTCTTGAGATAGCTGTCTCTCGCAGTCTGCCTGTCTCTCTCTCCCTCTCTCTCGCTCTTTTTTTCTCTCTCTCTCTCTCGCCATCTATAATTGGGGGATCACATTTTCGGGTGTGGTGCCTAGGGTTTATTCTGGTATGCGGAGGCTAAGCATTCGTCTACATATATGCCATTTTTGGTTTCTTCTTCAACCGTTTATGGTAGTTTTAAGTTTCTCTCTTTCTATCTCTCTCTCTACTGAATTCCCAAAGGATCTTTGCTAGCTGGCCTGCTGTTCTTTCGTATAAAAGAGAAAGTGAGAGATAAACAGAGAGAGAGAGCGAGCAATAATTTAAACGCAGACTTCAACGTTCCTTTAACCCTGATTTTTTGGATTTTAAAGACGCTGACAAGTCAACAGCTCTGGCCGGTAATCACCTTGGCTTCAACGTCCCTTTAAACCGATCTATCGCTATTAAAGGGACCGGCAACCCAAATCCACAACCTGGCACCTCTGGCACGATTCTAGTCTTTCCACACTGCCCGAAATCACGAGCCCCAAAATCACAAGGCAGCTTTGGGGTTTCCGCATTCGTTGCGGCCTTTTGGCTAGTAGAGTTGCCGCACCTTGGGGGGAGGTGCATCTTTTAGCGGATGGGGAGGAGGAGGAGGAGGAGGAGGGCTTCTTTTGAGGAGGTGGGCCTCTTGCAGGCACACACAACCATTCACACATTCATTTGGAGCAGGAGGTGGAGGAGGAGATGGGCGAGGGGGGAGGGGGAGAAGCTGGATAATCCAGCTACCAGCGAGATTTTGGTGCAATTTTCATATATTTTTTAGTTTCGGTAAGCCGTCTAATTTTGCTCCCTCATGCTTTGGGTCGCTCTCTCTCTCTCTCTCTCTCTCTCTCTCTCTCTCGCTCGCTCTCCCACTGCACTCTTTCCGGTCACTTATGCCTCGCATTCGAACCGGAGACAAGCTAGCACTGGAAAGTGAGTCGCTCTCTCTCGCCCTCTCTCCCTCTCTCTCCCTCTCTCGTTTTAAAGGCACAGCAACAGTAAAAATTCTGCCCCAAATTTTAGAGACCCTAATTTTTACACCAAATGCGCTGTTTTCATGCCATATTCTGTGCTTTTCGCGATGAGCACATCGGCTCTAAAATCCCCTGGGACCCGGCTTCTCCCTCTGTGAGCTCCAGCTCCTTTTTTGTCTCAACATACCGATTATGGGGGTCTCTTCTGATGGGCTGTTGCCTGCCTTCCTTCCACCCCATTCTCAGCCGGGGCCCCCATATTTGGATCCCCGGGAATTGGTTAATCTATTATTTTGGGTGATCACATGCCAATTTGGGGTTGATGCCTGAACTGCTTGAAGATGAGGGATGATGGCTTGACTTGATGAGCCCTTTGAAATAGTTGGATTTACGATGTTTCGCTTTTAAAAGACGCAAAATCGTACAGAAACTCTGCTAGAGAGAGAGAGAGAGAGAGAGTGAGAGAGAAAGAGAACAAGAAAGAGAGTGATAGAGAGACAGAATTCTAAGATTCCCTTCCTTCCCGTTCCATTTAAAACCCAAAACCTCGATCCACTCGAAACTTTCCCGTTGTCTGAATGCCCCTTCCCGTCATTTTCAGACCCTGACCCTCCTCTTCCTTTTCTCCCTCTCAAATGGGAAAGCCGATCCCTTTTTTCGAGCCAGACTCCCGCCCCAGATGCAAATTTGAATTTGGCCCCGGCGGTGCGCTTGTTGTTGCGTCGCCGGGGCGCCCGAGTGGCGCACAATTTTTCCGAAACTTGTTTAAAATCCGGGTTTAAAAATTCTCTCTCTCTCTCTCTCTCTCTCTCTCTCTATCGCGCTCTCTCTTCTCCATCCGAACGCCTTGCCCTCCTCGTGCGTCCACAAAATATCAAATAACCTCCTCCCCCATCGAGTATCCCCCGATTTCTCGCGCGTCTAATTACTTTTCCGGGATTGCCCCGATTTTTTGCATTCCGGGTTGCAAAAAGATTGGATTCCGATACCCTGCAGATGACGTTCAACCCCCCGAAATTTGAGCCTAATCTTTTCAATCTCGGCTTTTGTTCGTGAAAAGGGGCTTTCAGCTTTTTTTTGGTTGGGCAAGCTCGCAGAGATTCTTTGAGGAAATAAATCGGGCGGGGAAGGCGAGCACCCAGTTTTGCAGAAAATGGGGTAGGCTAGCAGCGTTTTTCGTGGAAAAATTATTTTGAAGATTTGATGGGCGGGCTAGCAGAAATCCTTTGGGGAAAGTTATTTTAAACGTTAAAAAAAATTTAAAACTAGCCGTCTCACTTTCTCTCTCTCTCTCTCTCTCTCTCTCTCGCTCTCTCTCCTAAGGCGTGCCGCCGAGATCCTTTGCGGAAAGTGTCCCATTTGCGCGCCCGAATAATTTTCAGGGCAGCTAGCAGTGATTCTTTGCGGAAAAACGCTCATACACTCATTTTCCCATTTTAAAGGCCCTCGCAAGCCAGTTTCAACCCAAAATTAGCATATTTGGGGGCGTGAGAGATAGGGTGGGAATGGCTATGAAAGCCGAGACAGACCCACACATCAGCTGAGTGTTAAAATATTCGATGAGGGGGGCGGAAGGGGGCAAAAAGGCGCGAAAAGAGGTATATATTAGAGCTATGTTGCAAAATTCGGCGGGCGCGACTGGGTTTTGTTTGTTTGTTCATTTTGTGCTCTGCACCGACATGAGAGACTGAGTTTTTAAAGGTAATAGGACAGCTAGCGCTCAAAAATTAGCTTTAGAAGCTCTCCCGAAAATTTATACCTCAGGCACCTCTGGCCTTCTCGTGATTTCTCTCTCTCTCTCTCTCTCTCTCTCTCTCTCTCTCTCTTTCTCTCCTTCACCCGCTCATACGTTCTCTCAATCACTCCCTCCCATTTTCTTGGAAATCGCGGAAAGTTTACAACCAGGCGTTCCAAGTAATTTTAAGAGAAACCGAGGCAGAGAAAGAGAGAGAGAGAGAGAGAGCGAGAGAGAGAGAAACATGAAGCCAGAGGGCAAAAACTGGAGATGGTGAAGTGTTACCGGTTCTTTAAACTACCAATCTCACCCTCTCTCTCACTCGCTCTCTCGCTCTCTTTCTCTCTCCTCTGTCACGCTCCCTTTAAAATGTGTCGAACCTTGTCGGTGCATCCCATTTAAGGGTCCGCGTGGCCCTTCAGTATCTTAAGCCCCCCTCGGTTTCTCCCTCCCTGAAAAGTGGGTCCTTATGCCATTCTCTTCACTTTTCCACGGGTGCCAGGATTCCGCGAGGCTCCGATTGTGTTGTTGCCAAATTTGGGGTGGCTGGGTTTTGATCTTTCGGGATTGTTCAAGTGACCTCTGCTAGCTTGCCCTCTCTCTGTCCCTCTCTCTCCTCTCTCCCAAACTCTCTCTTCAGCCTACCTCCACATAGAATGCTCTCCTTTCTACTGGCCTTCTGTATCTATCCGACGGTGGCACAGCGAGTACGAGAAGGTACTCATTACGCTCGGCTTATCGATTTAAAGGCACCAAAAATGGGTGCCTTTGAGGGGATGGGTGAGACCCCCAGGGGGACAATTGCCAGGCGGGCACCCCTTTTTGTTAAAGATTTATGGTGGCGGTCAATGAGCGCTCGCACGCTTCCTAGACGCTAAAATAGACAAAAACGCAGGTTAAAAATATGTAAATAGGTATTGAATGGATTTTCTGGTAAAAATAGTAAAAATCAGGTTTTGAAAGTATTCGGAAGGCCAAAAAGGGGCAAAAGTACAAAAATTAGATACTAGCCAAGCCTAAGCCACGCCAAGCTTTGGTTTCAGCCCAAGGCGAAGCCACTAACTAAGCCTCTTAAATCACTATAATCGTCATTGTTACAGTAATCTGGGCGGGCGACTACGAGAGAATGCTATACGAGAAGCTAACTATGGGTTACAATCGATTGGCCCGACCGGTGAAGGTACGAACCTCCGAAGGACTACCGTATCAATCGGGTGCTTTTTAGAATGACACGGAGCCAGTCATCGTGCTTCTCGGCATCGATTTTCAGCAAATAATTGATATCGTGAGTTTTTACATTACTGGAAATTGATTTAATTGTATAAAATATACCCAAGATCTGTTATTTTTATTTATAATTGCTATATCTAAATTCAACGTTAAAATTTTTCAAATTTTAGGATGAGAAGAGCCAAATAATGCACTCGAATGTCTGGCTCAGAATGGTGAGTTTAACTGAAATAAAAATAAAATTTAAAAAGCCCAACTTGTCTTGACGCTCCCTTGAGTCCCAAATAATCACTGCTAGTTGCCCGTGTTTTTAAAGGGACAGCGACAGGTATTGTCCGCATTTTTCAGAGTTGGACAGACCACTATTTGACGTGGGACCCGGCCCAATTCGGCAACATCAAAGAGGTCCGACTGCCGATTGGATCTATATGGAAACCAGGTGGGTGTTATTGGAAAAAATTGGGGTACGAGCAGGGAAAATTTGGGAGAGTTTTTGAACAGAAATGGCGGCAATCTAGCAGAGATTCTTGGGGAATTTGGTCCAAAAGAGATCGTGACGATTCGGGCGGGCTAGCAGCTATTCTTTGGGAATTCTGCATTTTGGGCTCAAGTTCAAGCCGCTCAGCTGGCAGAGATCCTTGAGGAATTCCATTAAGTTTCGAGGATTTCCTTTCAAGTTCTGCATCGCAACTGGTAGAGTTTCTTGAGGAATCCGCTCGTCGGGCTCAAGTTCGAGGTGGTCAGCTGGCAGATTTTTCAAATTTTTTTTCGTCCAGCTCAAGCCCAATCCGGTCAGCTAGCAGAGATTCCTGAGGAAATTTCTCGAGCAGCGCGGCCAGTTAGCAACGATCCTTGAGGAATTTCATCGATCGAATCGATTTTCTCTCGCAAACTAGCAGTGGTTCTTTGAGAAGCCACTCGTCGAGCCAACTCATCAAGTTCGAGCCGGTCAGCGAGCTGGCTGAGATTCTTCAGGAACTTTCTCACCGAGCTCAAGTTCAATGCGGTCACCCAGCAAAGTTTCACCTAGAATTTTCCAGGGCCTACCAACAGAAATCTTTGAGGAAATTCATAAAATCCTTTATTCCACACACCAGATATCGATCGAACAGGGCGGAAGGGCATTTAAACCAAAAGTGAACACGACTCGTCAGACTATTTAACAGAATTCCACCATCACAAATCGACAGCAAGAGGGGGCGGCGAGAGAGTGCGAGGGGGAGAGAGACAGCAGATGGCGATGGAGAGAGACAGAGGTAGAGACAATCAGAACTTGACGTTGGCCGTGTACTTGTTGTATTCAGCGGTGAATTCGGCCAGAGGCCCTTCGATGGATGCATCCAGGTATTCCGCCTGAAATTCGGAGATGAACTGTGACAGTCCCTTTAAAGGGAGAAGGGCAACTAGCAGTGGTTCTTGAGGATTAAAGGGAGTGTGACCGCTAATAGCGAACATGGTCAACTGACAGTGATTCTTAGGGATCAAATGGAGGCATGACTAGCCGGCAAAAGGAGAGCGATCGCGGAATTGAACTGGCATACTCCCTTTAAAAGGGCAACAGTGGTAACTAGCAGTGACTCTTTGGGCGATAGTTTCCCTACCTTGTGATAGTAGTTGAGCAGCACCTGATGCACGTACAAATACTGATAGTCCGTCTGCACCGAGTTCGCGCGCTGGTTCCGCAACTCGATCAGCAGCTTCTCCACCTTGTCGCATGGCTGTAAATCGGTGGTTTTTGAGCGGGCCGTGAGGCGACCGCAACGCGGCGGTGACACACGGCGACACTAGGAAATTGCGAAAAGCACGCGACGCAACCGCGACGCAGCAAAACCTTGTGGTGAAATTCCCAGATGCACGCACGACACAGTCGCGACGCGACGCAACCGCAACGCCTACTCCTTTTACCTTTCCAGCCTTAATGGCCTCCTGGATGTATTGGATAAGGACAATCGACCCGGTGCGTCCGATTCCCGCCGAGCAGTGCACCACCATCGGATGTCTGAAAGTACGCGAATTGATCGCGTCGCTGCCCACGGCCTAAACCCCATCATGCCTCACGTACTGTATCTCGGATCCCTGTGGTCCTACAAAGTTGTAAAGTATACCAAAATGCTTCCCTGACCGAGACGCACATTTTGGTATGCTTTACAGCCATGTAGCGTAACAAGGAACCGAGATACAGGAAGGAACAGCGCCACAGCAATGCCAGCAGTACGCGACGCAAATCGCAGCGGTAAACCTTACTTTGTCCGCGAGAGAACATTGAGCAGATCGATGGGCGCCTGATCGGCTGGAGGAACCCCGCGGTCCGGCCAATCCTGCCAGTGGTAGTGGAGAACCTTGTGTTGACGCCCGTCAACTTCGACAACCAATGAAGACACGACAACAACGGCTGACGTCGGGGTCGGCCATTTAAACTGAAACAACGCGGTTCTGGGTTGTTAGCGGGGGTCACTTATAGCCTCCCCCGTTAACGGAACAGAACCAACAACCCTTTAAAGGTGTCGCTGTATGGCTACGTCCACAGTATAGTCACTCCGTAGGTAAGAGCACGAACATTCTCCTTGTTGGTACAGCGGACGGTGTACGGGCCGAAGACCTTCGGCTGGGTGATGTCGGTAAAGGGGAAATATTCGGCCGACTTGACAGTGTCCTTTTCCTTGAAATTGCACAGCATCAAGATCACCTCGACATTCTCTTGGACGATCATTCTGAAAGGAGAGAGAGATGAGAAAGGGAGAGAGAGAGAGAGAGCGAGAGAGGGAGAGGGAGAGAGAGAGCTTTTCCCCCACTTCCAGTGATCGGTACACGTCTTGTCCAACGGTGCCTGGCAGCAGATGAAACGCTTCGCACTCTCGGGGGTGGCCACGTAGTTGGCATGAATGTAGTCGTCGGCCCCGTTGTCGCGCAGCACCACACGGGAATCATCCAGGCAGCCGACATCTTTGTAGCGGTTCTTCTGCGGGTTCTTTTGGAAGACCGAGCACTTGGACATGGCGAAGTTGCTGGAATGATGAAGCAATTATATGTGGTGTTTTTGAGCAAAAAGCAAAAATTTGGTTTCGGCTGGGGGTCGAACCCTCGAGGGGGGGGGGTGGGGGCCGGCGCGGCGGGGGGGGGGGGGAAAAAAACCCCCCCCCCAACGGGGGGGCAAAAAAATTTAGGATTGAGGGGCGTGGCTGCAAGCCACTAGGCCAAGGCAGGAAAGGTTGGGAGGGGAGGGGTGTCTGATAAAGGCTGGGCCAGGTAGTGAGCCAGGTGGCGTGTGTTTCGGGGACGGAGGAGGGAGCAGCGCAAGCACCCACCGCTTATTGTCGGCAAACTCCTTGCGAACCCCTTGGAAGGTGCGCTTGAGGATGCTCATGCAAAATGCCTGCACCTGCTCCTGGACATCGATCGACACCGATTGGTTGATGCTATGTGTGACTGAATACAGACTTGTCAGCCCCGTGAAGAATCCCTACCGGATGCCTGTTGGTTGGAGGGCTTGTTGCGACTGCCCTTTGTGGCGTGGCGTGAGTGTTTGCTCTTGCTCTTCTTCTTCTTGTCGTCCTTCCCCATCTCGAACGACGTCGGCAAGGAGGACGGCGAGGGAGAGTGAGAGAGTGGGAGAAAAGGAGAGAACGAGGGTGGCGAAGGAGAGCTGGGTTTAGGTAGTCGTCAAGGTATGGAAAAGAGCGTGATTTCCGATTTTATAAGCAAATTTATGCAAATTTAGGTATTTAAAAATGGCAAACTAGCAGAGATTATTCAGGAACACTAGCAGCGATCATTTAGGAAGGCTAGCACAGATCATTGAGGAATCACATCATTTTTAACTTTCAGACGTGCTCCTCTACAATTCCGTGGACCAACAATTCGACTCAACATGGCCAGTAAATGCGGTTGTCCTCTAGTCGGTCCCTTCACTCGTCCTTTAAAAAGTATTACAGTAACGGAAACGTCACCTGGATCCCTCCGGCCATCATCAGAAGCACGTGCAATATTGATATCGCCTGGTAAGTTGCGTTAACTACTACGCGTCCACCCCTCTAATCTTAGAGGTAATTTTAGCTCCCAAAATTCAGGTTTCCGTTCGACACCCAGCGCTGTAGTATGAAGTTCGGGTCGTGGACGTATTCCGGCTTTTTCACGGATCTCCGAAATCAAACCTCATCTACAGCCACGTATCAGCCGAATGGGGAGTGGCAACTTTTGGGTTGGTTTGGCCCTCTCTGTATCTCATGCTCAATTTCAAGGGGAACTGGACACATTCCCAACGCGTTTCATCCTGTTTTTCAGGGCTCGAATCCGGACGTTCGATCTTCTACTATGAATGCTGCCCAGAGCCATATTATGATGTCACATTCACTATCACTATCCGAAGACGCACACTTTACTACGGGTACGGCAATTACCTGCCTGTTCCGCTTGGCTTAAAATATAACCTAGTACTTTTCAGGTTCAACCTTGTGCTCCCCTGTATGTTGATATCAGCTCTTGCTCTTCTCGGCTTCAGCCTCCCTCCGGATTCTGGGGAAAAGCTCAATTTGTGTAGGTTTTGGAAGGTTTTCTGGTTACCGTACCCCGACCGGTTTTTTGGAACGGGTTGAAAATACCTGCTCTAATAGTTAAAACAAAGGATATCTAATCGAAGTTCTGAACATCTACCTAACCGGAGGTTGAACAGCTTCAAGTCGTCGGCCGACGATAGCCGTTTAAAATAGCAATCCTGTTTTGTGCGTTGAAATGGGGGCATTTTAAAGCTGTATTTTGGACACCTACCGTAACCTGGTTCTGAACAGCTTCAAGTCGGCGGCCGACAATAGCGGTTTAAATTATCTATGTTATTTTCACGTTTTCATTTGCCTTAATCGACAGTACTTGACGACTTTAAAGCTGTTGAACATTTACCGTAACCCGGACCTGAACGGCTACAAGTCGTCGCCATAATATTTCAAAAATCGGTTTTTTTACCTATCGAATCGAACTTAACCCATCTTCCGTAATCCCAGGTGTGACAATCTTCATGTCTCTCTGCGTGTTCATGTTGATGGTGGCTGAGGCGATGCCCCAAACTTCTGATGCCCTACCGTTAATTGGTAAATTTGGGAGCCTAGCAGAGATACTTTGCGGAAATTTATCGTAACCTACCGATTTTCAGAGGTGTACTTCTCGTGTATAATGTTCGAAGTGGGGGCAAGTGTATTATGCACAGTGTTGGCACTCAACTTTCATCATCGTGGGCCCGAGCAGTATCGTCCGATGGGGGCTACGGTAAGTAAGCATAGTACAGTAGCGTACGGTTTGCCGTGTAAAGCGTATAGAACGGAATTTTGTTGGAGTTATTAGCTACGGTAGGTAAGAGCACAAAATCTATTAAGGAGAGCCAGTAGGATCTTTGAGGAGGGCTAGCAGAGGTCAAAGAGGCAAGCTAGCAGAGATCATTAAGGAGGGCTAGTAGTGAGCATTTAGGAGGGCTAGCAGAGACCATTGAGGAGAGCTTGCAAAGATTATTAGGGAAACCTAGAAGCCCTTCTGAATGAATTGTGAATATTTGGGAAGGCCAGCAAAAATAAAATAATCCATACTGTCGTTTTTCTAATTTTAAAATCGCTGATAAAACTACCGTAATTTTCACATAAAGCCCACCACTCTTAGAAAACCCGTAATTTCAGACGCGAAAGCTGCTCCTCGATTGGCTGCCATCAATGGTATTCCTGGAGAGACCGGCCGATTTCTTTCCCCCATCTCCATGCCCTGGTAATGGATATATCAAAGATACACCAAGGTAATTTTAATAAACCAATTCAATCAACTCAATAATTTTCGAAAAAAAGCGTTACACCTATGATGTGGTAGAGGTGGATCGACAGTTGTTGAAACATCCTGGACAATATCCAAGGACTACTGTACATCTCGATTTATGCTCGGGGAAGAATGGTAGGCGGGGATTTGCCATTAGTGCGTCTATGGCCGGCTGACAGAGATCATTTAGGAATTCCCCCCAATATTGACGAATTCCAGGCAAAAAAGAAGCCCCGCCAAACGTGGCCCCAACCCACAATTCCGCGCATAACAATGTCGCTCCAACATCAAAACCACCTACCGTAAGCCTTAGATACCGTAACCTATCATATCTATTCTTAGTCTCCCGAGCGATCACCACCGTATTTGTATACGAGAATACCCCCGGTACAGTAGCATTGAATTTTTGGAAATTTTGCGTTGTTTCCAGCCGCTGCATCACCATAATGAAGATGAGCATCAACCTCGGAACGGGTCGATAGATAGGGGTCTCGAGAAGAAGATGATTACGGTAGGGAGGGAGGGAGAGAGAGAGAGAGAGAGAGGGAGAGACGGAAATGGACACAAAACTACGAGTGACTGTTTAGATGGCTCGAACTCACATGGACGATACCCAATTCCACAGTCTCATCCAAGAAATAAAGGTCATTTCCAACAAGATCCGCAAGGAGGTCAGTACCGTCATATACTGTAGCACGCCGTTTTCCGGATTTTCCAAGCTTAAAGCTACAAAATTCATAGCTCATTTGACTTGCCGGTCCCTTTAAACGCCTTAATAGCCCATTCGCTTTCCAGGAGATGATGCACAGCGTGCGCGGCGAGTGGATCTTTGCCGCGATGGTCATCGACCGGATTTGCTTCATCAGTTTTTCTTGTTTTCTCTTTATCTGTACATTCATCATCGGCTACAAGGCGCCCCATCTTTTCGCCTAGGCCAGGCCCCTTTTCAGGCAAATTTTTGGTACTGGTCTGTTAGCGGAGGGGGACTAAAAACTTTAAAAATAGATTATCTTTTCTTAACAGGCGTATAGGAAAGAGAACCATTAAAAATCTAACCTCCCCCGCTAACAGACCAGTACCTTCCATGGTAACTGTCATTTTTTTGTTAGCTACCGTACCCCCTAGCATATACTAGGGCTGTATTTTTCGCTGTATTTGTATGTAAATTACTACAGTTAAGCCCACCCTCCGCCATAATCTAATGCAAAAACCGGTGCCCGCCCCTTTTTTGAATTCTTTCCGACGCCCCCGTTGAGTGTGTTTTTGATGTGTCACTTTGTGTTGTATAAATTTTTATTACAACGTTTTAATGAGGCGACATTTGGTACTCTTGCAATATCGGGGGGGCGGTATCGGAGGGGGAACTATAAAAATACTTCAAAGTAGAAAAACATTAAAAAAATTAAAATATGAAGAAATTTTGGTCGAAACTCGGCCATTTCTTGTCTGAAAATTTATCTTTTTTAATTTTTTATAACTAGTTTGTTTTAGCAAATTTGGAAGGGGACGATTTAAAATATTACCAAAAAACCTCAAAATCGTAAAATTCACTTTTTAGAAGCTATTTAAATTTTACGTTTTGCGTTTTACTTCGAAAAAATTGCGCAGTTTACGTTTAAAAATTATCTTGACCCGTAAAATTAAATTAAAACCTTATTCCAAAGTCAAAAAAATTTAGAAATCCAAGTGCAGCTTAAAAAAGTTAATTTTTCGACTGTCCGAGCGTCCATGGCCCAACAAATCCCGGAAACAGCTGTGGCTTTTCGCATTTCGGTAGATGACCATCGAGATGTTCGGCCATCCGGAGGAGGGTCAGATCCGACAGTTTCGAACCGACAATCTATAGGGGGACATGCCTTCAATGGTCCTTTAAAGGTACCTGGACAGATAGAGGAAGACCATCACCGCTCAGGCCTAACGGTACAGCAATCACCGGCATCCCGAATGCGTTCCAGACAGCTGAAAATGGATTTACACGGGGTGATTTCCTAAAGGATCTCTGCTAGCTTGCCCCGGCTTGGGAAACGCTAAAATACCAACATGCAACAATTCGGTATTTTTTGGGCTGTCGGTATTTTCGCTGCGTGATTTTTGCTGGAATATCTCCCGAATTTCGTGGACTCCTCAAAGATTCCTGGCTAGCCAGCTCTCTCTCTCTCTCTCTCTCTCTCTCTCTCTCTCTCTCTCTGTCTCTCTCACCTGTATGTGTGATCCCCGAATGCTTCCAAACAGTCCGATTGTGATAAACAGCTGTCGTTGGCCAACCGGGAACTATCAGAATCCCATCATCGCCAAGTATTGAACACAGCTGATCCGAGATCTCATCACGAAGATGGGTGGCCTGAAATAAACGGGCTAAAAGGAGCGAGAGAGCGAGAAAGCGAGAGCGAGAGAGCGAGAGAGAGAGAGACTCGTACCTGTTCAACTTGTTCTTTCGTCACGCCATGCATCAGAAGTGAATTAACGTTGGCTTGTAGGCTGAGCCGGGAATGCTTGGATTTCCGGTTGCCGAGGAGGGTTTGAGCCCAGTCAACGATGAATTCGGCGTATGTCTGGAAAGAGGGGAGGGTGGCAGAGGTCATTTAGAAACCGGAAAATCAATAATTTGACCAAAAGGGGCCCAGGGCATGCGAGCAGAGACCATTTAGGAACAAAGAGATCGATGTTTTGAGCGATTTGAGCTGTTGGGCAGGCCAGCAGAGACCATTTGGGAAAACGAAAGTACACACCCTAGTGCCCTCCATAATATCACAATACGGCTTCTCCAACCCGTCCTGCACCGAGGTGGCGCACATTTCATACAGCTTCTCCTCGTGCGGCATCGCCAAATGGGTCACCGGTTGATCGAGCGCTTCCTCGAAGTATTTCACTACCTGAAAATGAGGGTATTAGAACGTATTTTTTGACTTTTACGAAAATCGACCTCTCGGGGTTGGCGTCGAACCTGGAACATCTACAAACGTCAACCTCAAGACGTTCAAGCAGATTTTTATAACTTTTAGGAAATTTCAGGATTTTTGTAACCTTTCAGCTAGTTTAAATTCCACGTCCTTTGGATAGTCGTGTAACTGTCGATACCCAGTCGACGGGAGGGGGCGATTCTCTGTTTTCGGGGCCCATTTAAACGGCACCAAGGCAAAAAACCTACCATATCAAATGCAAATCGCTGATCTCCACTCAGACGCTCGGTGCACCAGCCCTTGTAGCCGGAGAAGCAGAAAGCCTGGTGCGCAATTATTTGAAGCCAAGAACTTTAGAACCCACCTTCAGCTCCTTGAACTCCTTCGCCGGACGGAGTTGCCCGAATTTACTCGGTAAGCACATCGCCTAAAATTTGTTGATTTCCGCTATAACCTTTTTATTTTTAAAGATTTTAAGCTAAAAAACTTATGAAAATTTTTTTATCTGCCTGTCCTTTATAATCAACAAATTTTTAGAAAAATTTGCTTTGATATGGCAGTGTTCTGAGGTATTTACACTGCCATCCTTGCCTTCCAAGTACCTTTAAAATACCACAACTTTTGCATATTTATCAATCTTTGGTTCAAATTCAGAGTTTATTTAGTTTTTAACCGTCCGCGTGTTTGGTCAAAATTTCGAAGAAATCGGATTTAATCCGGAAAAGTTACGTGATACTTTCGCTAAAATCCTAGCCTTACAAGTACCTTTAAAGTTATATAACTTTTACGCATTAAAGTATTCCGGATTGAAAATTTTGTGAAAGCGGAAAATACACGCCCGTATTTACCTTAAAAATTTTAGAGCCATTGTATGCAAGCCGGAAAAGTTACGGCCATTTCTTTCCCAAAGCCCAGCCTTCCAGGTTCCTTTAAGGTACCGTATACCTGAATACCTGAATAAATATACCTGAAACATGGGGGCCAAATCCTCGGCATATCGGCACATCGGCCCTACTGTCTGCAGATAGGCTCGACTGGCCCTATCCACCGGATACAATCCCTCGATTGGAGAGATTTCTAAATGACGCCCGCTCTACCGTAACCCAAAACACTCACCGGCACTCGGCTTCAGACCAAAAAGACCGGAAAACATGCAGGGGACACGGATGCTGCCCGCGATATCTGTGCCGATTCCCACCTAAACTTTTCAGTCTTGACGTTCTATTTATAGGGCCAGGGACATGGCTATAGATTTTTCCAGGCAAGCGGCACTTCATGCGCACTATTTTTCGGCGTTTAAAAGGGTTTAATCGATTACGTCTTGGAAAATCGCGCCGGTGCGTTGCGTGTCGCGGTGGGGGCAAAGTTCATGACCGGGAAAATCCATAGCGATGCCTTGTCAATCCCTTTAAAACCTACAACACTCGCTCCGGCCGAGATTAGGGCCGCCTCGCCGCCGCTCGAGCCACCGCAAGTGCGTCGCGTGTCGTAGGCGTTATTCGTGTAGCCTGGAACAGAAGGTATATTTGTTTTGCTCTCTCTCTCTCTCTCTCTCTGTCTCTCTCTCTCTCTCTCTCTCACCAAATGTCGTATTCGAAGTCTCAATCCACAAGCACAATTCCGGCACGTTGGTCAACGCCACGATTATCGCCCCCGCTTCCCTCATCCTAATGTTTATTGATCTTCCAGAACACTACAAAACACACCTCTGTACACATGGTGCATCCTCAGTGGCTCTATTGTCTCTCATCTTCCACCATCCACAAACATTCACATGCCGCTTGACGTCGATGTTGTTCTTCACGGTGATCGGGATACCAAAAAACGGGCGATGGATCGAGAGCTGAAAATGTCGTTCAATCGAATCCGACGAATTCAACAAGTACGGCCTGGGATTTCGAATCTAATTGATGGATAGCGACCCAAATGATGCGACATGTTCGAGCAGTTCCGGATTCGACAGATTCGTAAGTAATCCTAACGCTGCGCGCCCTCGACAACCTCGAGAAGTTCAAACCGGACCAGGCGGTTCGGTGGGACCACTTCGACAAGTACTCTGGGTTTCCGATTAAATCTTGCGAGATTACGGTCGAATTATTCCGTCATTTTCGAGAGATTTGGTATTTGGCAATTGACCGTCGTCTTGGAGCAGTTCAACCTCATTCTCATCCGATAAGACGATAAGGCCGAACGCCGAACGCCCTTCAGCAATTCAAAACGGCTGAACTGCTCCAACTTGACGCACGATTCAGATCAACCTCAACAAGTGCAACTCCCTTCTCACCTCATTTCTCTTCTCTCGACTCAAATTCTTCAACATATCATCCATCGCCTTCGCCTTCAGCCTCGCCGATCCATAATCCTTTGCACAGATACCATTCACAATCGGGTTCACCTAATCAAAAATCGTCAGCATCTCCAGCTCTACCGACCTCCTCAAGCCGTTCGATGAAAGCCTCCATGACGTCGGCGCAACTGTGCTTTCCCTCGATGATATCCTTATGGGTTTGGGTGGCTGATTGGAGAAGGGCCGGGTGTTTTGGTCGGGTGTTGACAAAGATTCTAGGGTTAGATAATGTTGAGCGTTAATGGAAGGGTGGGGATACCTTGGTTTGACAGAATAATAGACGGCAAAGCAGAAGTCGACGAATAGGACGTAGAGGTTGAAGAGAAACTCGAGGAAGATGTCTTTAACATGTTGAAGCTGGTCGAATTGCATCGCTAAAACAAATCAGTGATAGATATAGAGAGTGAGCGACAGAGAGAGAGAGAGAGAGGAGAGAGAGAGAGAGAGAGAGAGAGAGAGAGAGAGAGAGAGAGAGAGAGAGAGAAGAGAGAGAGAGTGGGTGAGGGAGAGGAGAGAGAGTGGGTGAGTAGAGGGGGGAGAGGAGAGGGCGGGAGGGAGGGGAGAGGGGGGAGAGAGAGAGAGAGAGAGAGACCTTTACCTCTTGTATATCGTTTCCGAATCGCCGCACGTAGTGACCGTAATTTTTCCGCCATTTTTTTCTGCAAATAAAACTCATATCACAGAAAATTAAATTTCATTAAGAATATCTTTAGAAATAAATATAATAAATGATGAGAAATAAATGCCGCAAATAAGACAGAATTTAAGATATTTTTTAAGAAACAATTCCAAGTACACAACTTGGCGGGAATTTCGAGCGCTGTATTAGCATTCGATTGCGCAGATCTCAGGTCCGAGTAAGCATTAATGATCACGCACAATTTTAGCACAAAAATATGATAAAAAAGCGGGCAATTTTTAGGATGAAACCGGGTAAAAATGTGGAATTTCATGCACGCGACCGCTTGGCCTTGTTTTCCTCATTTCCCTCCCCCCCCCCTCTTCACTCATCGGTTGTTTTGGTGCACTTGCTGTCCGTGGGGGGTCGCGTGCGGGCTGTAAATAGCACCGTTCCGGACTGAACCCATCGATAGGGGAGGCAAAAAGATGTTCGGCGGCTTCTCCCGGATGTTTCCTCAAGGATCCCTGCTAGCCTGCCCCATGATTCTTTATTGACACGCTGCGTGAAAAGTAATCTTAAAGGTCTAACTTAAATTTTTTATGCAGTCAGAATACGTTTCGGTGAGGATCATCACAATCTGGACCGGGAGGAAAGGGGATGGAAATGTGACACCGGGAATTCAATAAATAATAAAAATAATGAACAATTTAAGCACAAAACAATAAAATAATGAAAGAATTTAGTGAATGGAAAGAGTGATAAATACAGTGGAATCAATTTACGGTACCCTGGATATTTATTAAGGCTTTTTAATCTCGATGGAATCCGGTGGCCGGGCAAGAATTGACGGTCGGTCGGAGACGGCCATAATTATGGAGGTTGAATAGGTCGGAGGAGCCTGGAAAGGATCGCAAATTGTCTCTGCTAGCTTGCCTTCCAATTCCTAAATGGTCTTTGCTTTCTTAACTTCAAATTCCGAAATTCCCAAAACGTTTCTGCTGGCTTGCCCCCCCAATTCCTAAATGATCACTGCTATCTTGCCTTAATCCCTAAAGTGTCGTTGCTAGCCTGCTCCCGAGTTTCGAAAGTCTCTCTGCTATCTCGTCTTCAAATTCCCAAATTCCTGAATGATCTCTGCTTGCTTGCCCTCGATTTCCCAAACGATTTCTGCTAGTCCGCCTTTTTCCTAGATGATCTCTGCTATCCTGCCCTAGCTTTTTGTTCAATTACAGTTTTCTTAACACAATATTCCTTTTTTAGCTTCACATGTTTCCTAAATGGTTTCTGCTAGCCTACCACCTATCAAAGCTGCCCTGAATTGCTTTGATCTCGGATTTTCCCAAACGATCTCTGCCAGCTTGCCCTAGATGGATTCCAAATTCCCAAAAACCTCTGCTAGCCTGTCTGCCTCCCAATTATTTACCTCCAATGAAGCGACCGCAGACGAAAATGTACGGAAAAGTGTCCTGGCCGGTCACTTCGAGCAAATCTCGCTCCAGCCGCCTCTCGAATGGGTAGCCGTGGCCCAATTCTAAACGACAATCTGCCTACCGTAACCCGGAAATACCCATGAAATAGGCGGGCACGTCGGGGTACTGTTGCTGCAGCAGAGATTTCGTTTTTCGGCACGGGATACAGTCGTTCAGCGTGTAGATCATGATCGGGGCCCCGCGGGTGTGTCGTTTGATGTATTCTGGAAATTTAGTTAGCGACTCTCCCTCTCTCTCTCCTCTCTCTCTCTCTCCTCTCTCTCTCTCGTCGCATACCCTTATAATCGAAGCCATATCCACTATTGACCGGGTTGTTGTAGAATCCCGGACTACGCATCGCTCCTGGGAACGTCTGAACGGAGTGGTATGGAACGCTCCGCAAAACACAGACAGACAAATAAATAGACTGATCGACAGACAGACAGAGAAGGGCCGGAACTCTCAAAGCTTGATGGGCACGTGTCGCTGATATCCGGCGGTGATCCCCCCGCTGTTTCGAGGGTTTTTCCCCCGTGCAGCCCGCAACAATTCGCGGGAGGCAGGCTAGCAGAGACCATTTGGGGAATGGGTAGGTTAGCGGTGATTTATGGGGAAACAGATATTTTCTAGATCTTTTAGAAATAAGAAAATGAAAGTTTTTCATTGCGAAAACACAGAATGTAGGCAGACCAGCTGGGGTCATTGGGGAAAACTGAGGCTTTCCAGCTTTTGCAAAAAAAAAATAGTATTCCTTTGTTTTGATTTGTTTACTGCACTTTTATATTTACTAATTACCAATCAAACGCTACTAATCTTTATTAGTTTATTTACACCGCGCTCATACCTTAATTTATTTAAAAAATTCTATAAGTACCGTTTCACGTTTAAAATTTTCGCACCAATTTAAGTTCCCCTCTACTGGTGGCTTCATAAAATGAAAAAATCAAAACGTCCTATTAATTGCGCCATTAATCTATTGCTGAGAATGAAATCCCCCTCCAGCTTTTGTATCTGGGCTCCCCGTTGGCATAGAGATTTTTAAAGTATACTAAAATGTGTTCGTCTTGGTCTTGCGAGCATTTTGGTATACTTTACAACCCTGTAGGACCATAGGGAGCCGAGATACAGTAGGTGAAGACAAGCTCTGGGGGTACTGTAGTTTGGCCAGTTGTATATTTATGTTTACATCGTCAGAAAAAAAAGCGGTCTTATCTATTACGCCATAAAAGCTAACAAAAATCTAGACAAAAACCCGCTTATTACCAGCTTAATTACCAGATACAAAAATTAACAGCTTACCTCAATAATATAGGCATTAGCTGCCAGAAAAATTACGCCAAAGCAGATGAACAGCCCGCGGATCATCTCACGACTAGATACTAGGGATCAATGGCTCGGAATGATAATGCCAAAGCTGCAGAAGAAGCTGGGAGAAGCCGGCGGGCGTGGACCCCGGGCAGAAGAAGGCGTTCAAGTGCCCCGGTCCATCCATACGACCAACAGACCAGATACTAGATAGAGTCTCCGCCCCAGATGAAGAAGCCTCACGAACACCGGATGGGTCACATCACACACACAGCCCCACACACACACACACCGTCAATTGGCAGATATCCACTAATCTTGACGGGACCTCAGCCACCCCGCCACACACACATCCACGCATCTTGCCACCATTTTTTACGCAAACAATCGGCCGGAGCGCCCCCGTGCCCAATCATCGCCCCCATCCCACCGAGATCGTCACTTTATCCAAGTGACCCAGGAAAAAGGGTGACGTCGGGGTCGGATTCGGATGGAAGATACAATGAACTTTGAACCTAGAGCATCTGGAAGTCTGCCTGACGCTGCGGACCTCTAACTACCGGATTTCCTCAAAAATAACCTCCTCCCCGACAAGAGATACCTGGAAAAATCGGGGACCATTTTGCCTAGAATCTTGTACAGCCCAATCACGAAGTATTTGCAACGTTTTTAGGCTTCTTTCGTATTATCGGTGGGGGGGGGGGGTTATCGCCGGGAAACCGAAATGTCTTTCTAAAAGTCTAGAAATGCCTAGTAACTTAATAGGAAGTAGTTTGGTACTTGTTCGTAAGACATAACTATAATTGAAATAGAAAAACTATCTTTAAAAATTTTGAAGTCGAAATTTGATCGAAAATCGTAGATGTTTTGAATATTTTTTAACAAAAAAAATGTAGTTTTCGCGTTTAGGAATGGAAAAAACCGTTTAGAAGGACTTCCACTGGTTAGATTTGCAAATTCGATCGTAAGAAAGAGCATCGGCAAAGCCTCTTTGCTAGCATGTCTCTGCCTAGCAAGCTGCCTACCGACGGAAACTTCGATGATGAGCGTGATCTGATCAAAAAATATTAATTTTGATTCTCAAAAATATTTGATGTAAAAGTTAATTTAGACCCCACGTTAGTAACCGGGCATCCCACCGAGTGCCCTTGTTCCTATTCCTTGTGCCTATATTAATGCTCAAAAATCGACGATTTTTCAGGCCCCATGCTAAATTTTTTGCAGGGTTATCCGTTTACAAATTTTTAGTTTTACTTCAATTTTGTGAATTTTGTTAAAGGCTTTTGGCTTTTGCCCCTACCAACACGCTAAAAGCGCGCCCCTTCCACCGTATGTCATGATTGGAGCCGCCTTTGAGCGCGCGTGCCGGGACCCTGCACCGCCCGTTTCTCCTCGGCTAGAGCCCCTCCCAACACTTTCCTCAATTTCTCGTACTGCCATTCAAAAGCTCCCCGTATTTACGATCGATATTTGCGTCCTCATTTTATTCCATTTCCTTTCATTTTCATCCTTCGGTCTAATCCTCACCTTTCCAGGGTAGAATCTATCTCAGCATGTACTGCCAGCGCCTCGCCGTTCCTCTCGCCCGCTCCATCCTCGTGAGTTTTTCATTGGGGTTTGGTGGTTTTGCATAGCAAAATTGATCCGGCACCGTTTACGCTTTCTTTGGTTGATTTGTGAGCGATTTCTAGCCAATGCTCGGGATCAATATTGATTTTGGCCTAAGGTTTTTTTGGTATCTAATTATTTGCCTTGAGCTAATTTTTCGTTTCAGGCCCAGAGGACGTCGGTGGCCCTGCGCGCCGAGGGAGCCCTGGCTGCCCGCTGCCTCCACACCTCCGTGGCCCGAAAGGATATCGACAGCGCTGCCAAGTACATCGGAGCTGGAGCCGCCACCGTTGGTGTCGCCGGATCTGGAGCTGGTATCGGAAACGTGTTCGGAGCCCTCGTCATCGGATACGCCCGCAACCCGTCCCTCAAGCAGCAGCTGTTCTCCTATGCCATTCTTGGATTCGCTCTGTCTGAAGCTATGGGACTTTTCTGCCTCACCATGGGTTTCATGATCCTCTTCGCCCTCTAAATGCCTCTAGTTAGTGTATAGCGAATTGCGACACCCCCTCGTAGTAAAATTATGAAAATAATTGTTCTCTGTTATTTAAGAGTACGTGTTTTTCAAGGATAAATGTTTTTGAGGGTCTCTTGTTGATGGAAAATGCGTACGTATAGATACATATAACGGATTACGGAGATACAATCACATTTTATCAAGCTCTTATTCACCCGAATCGTGAGTGGTTAGACAGGATATTCAAAGTCTGGCCGTGAGAGGATATTGATTGCGTCCCCGGACAGGGGCTTGTAGGCTGGGGTGCCGAACAGCTCGGGCCGGTCATCAAATATTGTCGGCACGGATAAAACGAACCTGAAAACGCGAGGCGGGATTATTCTTTAGTTTTAGCGACTTGCCAGACATTAGCGCCTAAATTTAGTAGAACGTAAACGATTAGGAATATTCGGTCGATGACAAGGGACATCAATCTCCACTCATCGGTGATCTGTAATACCTCAATCTCGCTCTTACGTTCGTCTACCTTGCTCTCCTGACTTTGATTATGAAAATGGGCCGCAATAATCTGTACGGAATTTGACAACTGTTTGATTAGTGAGTGGGCGTCGGCCGCGCTTCTGTTACGGAAGCTAACGTCCATCTAAAAACATCTACGTCAAGTCCTACGTCGCACCTCGACAAGGCTGAGTAGTCTCAACCTTCTTGACCGAAAGACCGGAGATGTGTCTGCGGCAGGAGCGCGCTTCGATCTTACCCGCCTGCCTCGTCTCGCCATTCTCCTGAGCTTCCTCTCTTCAGTCTCTAGGACTTAAGATCCAGATGATTTGCTTTAGCTACCCTTCCGCTCTCGTTCTTTCTCTTCCTCGCTATAATCGAGCTGTTTCAGCTTCAAATATTTCGGTAACGTTCGCACAAATAGCCAGCGCTGCCAATCTGACATTTCCCAGGCAAAGGCTTGTCTGAATGGATTTTTTAGTTTTACTTTAGTCCTACCGTCGGTAGATATTAATGTTCACCACGGAAACGATCGTGCAGCAAAAGATCATAATAAGAGTGAAAAGCAGATATTTTCCTGGATATTTTTTTGAAGGATATTTAGGATATTAGGGCTACCGATTAACGGAAGAACAAGTGAAGTGGGTGGAATGATTTCGATTAAGACCAGGTAGAACACGGAGAAGGCCACGAAGATCGAGATGGAGAAGGTCATTTTGTGCTCGATGGGTGGAATGAAGAAGACAAATGGCGTCATGTTTGCTGTAAAAGGTTTGCTTGTCTATCTTTAATGTCTACTTACTAATCAACATCGATGGGATGGTTAGCATGACCGTAAAGAAAATAGCTTTTCGCCGGAGGACTAGTGAATAGCGAATATCGATGTAGTAGACTTGCCCTGAATTTAGCGGTGACCTGAAAATTAGTGGTTTCTCACCGCAGCAGCCCGGGTAAATTTGGGCATAACGGGAAGATGTTATCGATATTAAATCCCATTCCGCAGACCTAGAAGAGTTTTTTGTTTTCTATTTGGGTGACTTACGAATGATAGAATGAAAGTCCCATTCCATTAGGCAAAAATTGATATTCGGTCCCTGTGTCATCGAATCGTTTCTCTGGCTTTTCATTTACGACGGGCGAAATTTGTTGTAGATCAAGGGTTTGACCTATTTTTTTTGTTTTGATAGCTGTAAACGTCCAACCGTCGTTTGTCCACCCTCCAAATTTCATCTCACACGTCTGCGAGTCGTATGGGAAATCAGCAATGTTGATGGCGCAGAAGCTTTTATAAATGGAGGGTGGCATCCAGATCACCTAGGTTGAAGGTCAGCTTTCGGACTGATATTCACGTACAGTTCCCTGAGAATCGACCATAGCAAGCGAGGCGATGTTGATATGCGGTTCCCCGTCAGCGCTAAACAAAGAAAATCTGTATCTCTCTGTAAGCGTAGCTTACTTGTTGTATAACACAACATCCGGCGTCCAGATCTGATCGGACGCTATGTGGATCTGGTTGATGCCTCCCCACTCTTTCGGGTTCCAAACAAGTTTGCTATCCGTCCATTGCTGCGAAATTTTTGAGTATCAAAATCATTAGCCTACCATTTCCAGCCAGAGACTTGTAGTAAGAACTTGGTTAACTTCGTCCTGAACGGGTATCGGATTGATTTTTCAGACTTACCACATCGATTAGTCGGCATAGACTGGCCCCAAAATGGACAGTAAGGGCATCCGAGGCATTTTTCACGGGGCGCACGTTCTAAAGCGTATGATTTAGGATATTTCTAATACTTTATTGTAGTCCATCATCAGGTGCTCCAGAAGTTGGGCCACATAGACGTCTCCATAGCATTGGTGTAACAGGAGGAAGAACACTGAAATTGCTTGATTGCGAACGCCTTTAGCGCAGCAGGCAGTGACAGCTGCCCTTTGTCGTGCGGTTGTAGGCAATTAGTCTCTACCAACAAGGTGATCAATCGGATTTGATAAGTTAATACTGGGGATTGATTAATTTCGGCGAAAAGGTCGTGTATTTGCGCGTTTACAATTAACTTAGACGTTAGCTAGGTATTTCACTGATTATGGATTTGAAAAGTCCAAATAGACTTTCTAAGCAAATCCCAGATGGAATCCCAGAAATGGTATCCCATCACTTTTGTTTAGGCGTCGCACACCTACCGGAGAGTAGCAATAGTAGACTGGCTGGTGGCTTCGGCATATCAGTGCATATGATGGGGCTGACAGACCGAGACCCGCAGAGACAAGGATCAATCTCGGGCCACAGCCGCGAACTCCACTCTCATAAGCAGCTCGCAGGAACCCCGGGCCAGCACCCTCTCGGCAGCCCTCGCCACAACGCGAAACCCGAGCAGCGTTACACGTAGTTGAGTCCGGCCGCTGAAACAACCTGGATGTATCTCGCCAGGGCAGCGAAATTCAAGGGATTTCCGAGTCGTCCCCATTTTGGCTTGGTACAGTTTTTCAACCTTATTTTTACGCTATCTGGAAGAGCATGGTCAAATTTGTAGGGTTTTAAAGTTTCGGTCATTTTTTGTTCAACAATGATTAGTGCCCGAATATCGTGTCATAAATCTTTCCGTTTTGCTGACGCGTAGTTTTGAGAAAATTTTTGGTTACGTTACCAGGCTCTTTCAGATGGCGTCAAAAAAGTGTGAAAAAACTTTAGCGAGCCATTTCTGGGAAGTTCAATTGAATTCTGGGAAACATTTCAATTATAGCATCGTATAAGTCTAGTGCCCGTGGATTGAAAGCCATTAGCGAGCATAGTTTACGACTTTGGGAAACCCGGAGGGGCTTCATAATGCGGCAAGTATTTGTGGGGGGAGGAGGAACCACGATGCCTCAGGCCCCAAAACCACATTAGCATCGGGGGGTGCCAAAAGACTGGTGGTGGCCGGGACGTGTGAATGTGGTGGAGAGGATGGCCAGTATATGCGGGTGGTGGAAGAGATTTCCGGGTGGGATGTATTGCCGTCTATTGCCAGCCGACAAGCATGTGTTCTACAGCTTGTTTTGGGCTGCGGACAGGTGTCAATCGTCGGGATTTTGTCGGGACTTACAACAAGGAGGGATCCGGAAAAATTGAGTTTTCGGAAGCGAAAGTAGAAGTTTGAGAAATTTTGGGCGCCACTTCCATTTATTTAATTAATGGTTTCGGTATAACTAATTCGAGTCTGAGAAGATACGAATAGTCGTGCTTTCACATTATGGGGGGGTTTCCTATAGGTTCAGAATGCCCATAATGATAGCAACGACGATATTTCAATAATAGTATTTTTAGCAAAATTTAATTATCTGCTAAGTAAAAAACTATTCGAAAACTGCGAAAGTTTAAAAAAAACCCTGAAATTTCGGTGCAAAAATTCGATCATCTGTCTATCGCAAAACTAAAAAATTATCAAGAGGTAAATTTTTGTATTTTTGATCATCATTACGTTTAGAAAAACTTCCTCTAATTATATTTGAAAAATTGGATACCAAGAAAAGCCGTTGCCCCCCCCCCCCTCCCGATAATGCGAAAGCGCCGAAATAGTTTTTATTGACACTTTGTCGGCCTAACATTTGTGTTTTCGAGCTTGTAACATATTTTAGATGTCTTTAGCCAAACTCGCTTCCCATTCCTGTCAGATCTTCATAACGTCGTACCAACCAAATGCACCGGCGACAAAGGCGTTTTTCAACTCCTCCCCGACGGCGGCCCGCTTTCCCCCCTTCCACTTCATCACCGGGCACCCGGGATATTCAGCGGGATGACAAGTCGCAAGAGCGACCCCCCATGGGGCAAGAGAAGCTCCCCTCCTCGCGCAGCCACGACGAGCACATAAAGCAATTTCTTCGGCTTTCGGCACTTCTTTCAACGCTTCACGCATTCTGAATATTCGCCTGGGTTGGCCGGACACCCCCGCCACACAGCGGCGTCATCCGTTTTTCGGCCACCACTGGCCACAACAGCATCCCAAAATGGATATTCTTGGCGCTACCTAAAAGGGCCTTCACGTCGTAGCTTCAGAAATGGGTTTTGGATTTGGATTGGCGGTTCTGGTTCATTAGCAGGGGAAAACTAATTTCTTTTATTCAACCTAAAGTATATAAAATATAGAAGATTTTGGGCAGTTTCCTATCAACAGAAAACTATAATATCTGATCAAAGAACTCAAAAAGCACTGCCCAACGCTGATTTATTGCCCTCTTGACTCATAACTTCTTCAAAACGTCCTCCCCTCCTACTACTAAATGCCCATGTAACTGGTTGGCCCTTTTAGACAGCCAGTCTAAATGCCGAAGATCTCGACCTGATAAGGCAAGTCCCTCGGGTCTCTTTTAGGGCCATTTCCGACCCATGCCGCTGCAACCCCGCACAAAAACCACCAGCTGTCCATTTCGGCGACCCTGGCGGCCCATCCCATTTTCCAGGCGGGTCAAAATTTTTTTGGCGGCGCACCCCTGGGAGCTTCAATAACTCAAAAACGCGCTTGGCGCTCAAGAATCTGTAATCTATTTATTCCGGTGATTCGACTCTTGCTACCTATTCGTTGAGGGGAAAGCCAGTGTAGGGTGCTATAGGCCTCTTTTTTCGGTGGCAGCACCAGAAAGGGCAGCCATCTGTCTTCATTTTCCCCTCAGCAATGCAAATCCCCTGCAGCAGTCGCGTCACCCGGCGCGCCTACGGCTTTTGACTTTAGCCTGAGGTCAATGGTTGGTTTAGGTAATGTGCCGTATCCGAAAACTGGCTTGTTATCTCCTCGTTCTCCGGCTTCAACAAAGTTTTCCGTTCTGAATTGTAAGGGGAGACCTAATTTTGATCTATCGCCTTGTAAGGGTCCCATATTACTGAAATACGCACGACGTGTATAGCTACGTCGTTTTTAGGGCGAGAAATTTAATGAAAAAACTATCAAAGCTTCCGAAACATTTTTATTTTTGACCTGAAAATTTTCAAAAATTTGAAAATTTATTTTTTTAGTGCTCTAAAATACTAATAAAAAATAAAAAAAAAAAAAAAATCATCTTAAATTTTTTACTCTTTTTTATTCGGGATACCCCCCGCCCCCCCCCCGGTCCTCCAGTGCCGGCGAATGTGCCGTATCCGAAACTCGAAAACTTGCCTTTCCTCAACTTCTCGCGCTTCCGGCCCCAAATTGACTTTTGCTACTGAACTTTCCACGGAGTCCGCCCGCACCTTGTCCGCTTCATCGCGCGCGCCAGAAAGCCGACCTCGGCTATTCTTTGACCTCGCAACAATGCCTCATTTTTATTCATCTACTCGGCCCCGTCACCCAATTTGCAAATGGTGCCCAAGACTCCCAGGGGGTTTCATTGCTCGCCTTTAATTTATACGATTGGCCACCCTTGGTGGTACCGCTATGCAAAATTGGTCGACGCAAACATTTCAAATGTGCCCTTTCTTGACACATGGGGTACAAAGGAGAGAGGGGGAAGAAAAAGGAATAAAACAAAAAAAAAGAAAAAAAGAAAAAAAAGGGGGGGAAAAGGGGAGAGGGAGGGGGGTTGTAGGAGAAGGGGTTTAGAAGGGGGGAAAAAGAGGAAAAGGAGGGGTTGAAAAAAAAAAAAAAAGGAAAAAATTTTTAAAAATATTTTAAAAAATTTTAAATTTTTTTTTTAATAGGAGATTTTATTTTTTTTTTTTTTTTTTTTTTTTTTTTTTTATATTAATTAAATTTAAAATTAAATTTTTTTTTTTTTTTTTTTTTTTTTTTTTAAATTTATTATTTATTTAATTTAATTTTTTTTATTTTTAATAAATTAAATTTTTTTTTTTTTTTAAAAATTTTTTTTTTTTTTTTTTTTTTTTTTTTTTTTTTTTTTTTTTTTTTTTATTTTTTTTTTTTTTTTTTTTTTTTTTTTAAAAATTATTTTTTATTTTTTTTTTTTTATTATATTAAATAAAAATTATTTAAAAAAAATTAAAAAAAAAAAAATAAAAAAAAAAAAATTTATTTTTAATTTTTTTTTTTTTTTAAAATATAAAAAAAAAAATTTTAAAATTTTTTAAAAGGGGGTAAAAAAAAAAAAAAAAAAAAAAAAAAAAAATTTAAAAAATTTTTTATTTTTTTTTATTTTTTTTTTTTTTTTTTTTATAATTATAAAAAAATTTAAATTTTAATAAAAAAAAAAAAAAAAAAATAAAAAAATTTAAAAAAATTAAATTTTTATTTTTTTATAAAAATATTATTTTTTTTTTTTAAATGAAAAAAAAAAAAAAAAAAAAAAAAAAAAAAAAAAAAAAATAAAATTTTATAATAAAAAAAAAAAAAAAAAAAATAATAAATTTTTTATTATTAATTAAAAAAAAAAAAAAAAAAAAAAAAAAAAAAGGGGGGGGGAAAAGAAGGAGGGGAATTGGTTTTAAATGGAAATTTTAAAGGGGGGGGAGGTGGGTTTAAAAAAGCCCCCCCCTGGGAAAAAAGCCGAGGGGGGTGGGAAGGGGGGAAAAAAAAAACCTCCTCAAAAAAAAGGGTTAAAAAAGGACTTTATTTAGGGCTTTTATGGGATGTTTGATTTTGACCAGCGCCTTCGACACTTTTGTGGGCGCGATAAAGTTTCGAGGCCGCCAAAACAAGCGCTTTTATGGTGTCCACGGCGGGGATTTCGTTTTGACGCCTCATAGTTTTTCTTTATTTTTTTTTCTCTAGATTTTTCTCCTCATTCCAACTAGTTTTTTCAGACAATATCTTCTTCATCCTGTTATTCTAGAGGCCAATTCCTCGTCGATATCCTGGCTTGCCAAACGCTGGAGGGATGCTTTTAGAGCGGTGGGGCGCTGCCAGGATTGGCGGTTTTGTGGGTAAATGGAGCAATTCGTCAAGACGGCCGGCCTCAAATTTCTATTAAAATGCCTGAAAGCATGGAAGCGCCCCCAATGCCAACCCAGCCAGCCTTCCACGCATCTCCCGAGTGGCGGTGGCGGCTTTGTCAATAAAATACCGTGGCGATTTTTTTTGTATACAAAAAATAGCGTACGTTAATTTTTCCTAAATTAATTTCTCCTAGAACTTGTTTCCTTTATTTAGCGGCCTTGGAATTTTTCGGTATTATCGGGATTTCGCCTTTTCGAGGTTTTGCTGGCCACGGTTGAACCGCCGGAGCCGCCAGGGGCAGCAGCGTTATCGAAAAATTAACTGAATTATCGAGAACGAGATCCCGAATTCTCGACCCTAGCACCATCTTGTGCCACTA